TTAAGTATATTTAGGTAAAGAAGTCTTATTAATAGCTAGTAAGCTAAGTATTCTATCTAGTACTAAGTAAATATATATATATATATAATAGTCTTACTAGTAGGGTTGTAAGCCTTAAGAGAAGGCTTACAATTACTTAGGTAAGCTGGTAAGTAAGTTTATAGCTAGTGTAGTAAGCTTAGGTAAGGCTTACATAGGTATAGGTAAGCTAAGCTCTGGTTAGCGAAAAATGTAGGGTATACGTGATGTAACTGCGGGGGATTGTAACATTTCTCTAGTAATCTAACCTTAGATAGTAATATCTTACTTATAAATATAAGGAAGGATATAAAGCTATAGATAAGACTATTAGAATTATAAATAAAATACTACTACTTATAGATATTATAGTATATTTAAGTAACTAAAATAAATTTATTTGGAAAGTTGTAATTAAGATTATTAGCAAGTAATTTAAATTACTAGATAAGATATTTAATTATATAAAAGCATAATTAAATAATTAGAATAACCTCTATTAGTAGTTTATTTTTTATATACTAAATAACTAAGTAACCTTATAAAGTGTAATACTTAAGGTTACAATTGCGCTCTTAGGTAATCTACTTATCTTATTTTAATAAGTAGCTATTATTTATTTAGAAAGATATAGCTAGGCTATTTATATAACTCTTAATATAGAACTTTTAACTTTAATACTAAGTATTAAGTCTCTTTATTCTATTTCTTTTAAAAATTATAGCTTAAAAGTTTAATTAACTTAAATACCTTAAATTTATAGCTAAAATGTAATAGGAAATATATAAATTAAGAAGTTTTATATAAGTTATATCCCTATATTCTTAATAATAGTCTTATATCTTAAAGTATACCTATTTAAGATAAAGCCCTAAAATAACAGAAGGTTTTACTATATAGATTACTAATAGTTATTTTATGTAAAGTTTATAATAATTATCCTCTATATAATACTATACTATATATAGTCTTAGTATAATTTTGTAAGTATATCTTATAATTTAATATCTTATTACATAGTTAGCAATAGAGCTTTTTAGTTAATTAAGTAGTAACTTTTGTAATTATTAAGAACTAGAAGGTAATAAAGATTAACTAATCTCTTTACTATTAATTAATTAAAGTACTTTAGCTACTTAAGACCTAGCTTATTATTTATTTATTTATTTTAGCTTATTATAATAACCTAATTACTAGGGAGGTTATATTTTTAGTACTAATTTACAAAGTAATATTAGCCTAAACTAATAATAAATAGTAAGATTAATTAACCTTTTATATTAATTACTAGAATTATAGTAATCTATTTATAGTTTCTAGGCTAGATTAATTTTAGTCTTTCTTACCTTTCTACACTTATAATAGCTATTTTAAACTATATAAGGCCTATTATAAAGCTAATCTTATTAAAGTTCTAGATATTACCTAGTTAAATACTATACTTTGCAATTATATTCTATATAAGCCTAAACTAGCTATAAATAATAGTTAGATCTTTATATTTAGCTCTTTAATAGTTATATTTATAAAAGATATATATCTTTAGTTCTAGTTATTATTTTATTAATTTATAAGCCTAGTACTTACTAATAGGTAATATATTATAGTTAATAAGTAGAAAATTAGCTATTTCTTTTATAAAATATAGTTATAAAGGAAATCCTTGTAAATCTAAGTTAAGGATAAATTAAACTATTATCTACTCTTTTAAATTAGATAATCTCTATAAATTTAAAGTAGAATTGCTTTATAATTAAATACTATTATAATAGTAATATAATTTACATTTAGAAATATTATATATCTTTATAGTATATTAAGTACTTAATCTTAGATTATTTTAAAGTGCTTAAAGTATAAGAAGGGTTTTAGCCTTAATTAAAGATTATAATATAATTTATAGTTAAAAACTAATTAATTAGGTATAGGTAATAATATAGAAGGGAAAAGTATAATACTTACTTAACTATAATACTTGTTTATTATATATGTTATATATAGTAAGACTAGTTATAATAAAAGGACCTATTAGGTAGCTCTAAAGGTATTTAAAGAAAAGTATAGTAAGTAATTTTAATTAATTAAATAGGTTATATTACTTTTATTAGTAATTAAAAGATAATAGCTAGGATTTTTAAAGTACTTGCTTTACTAGAGTACTTACTTATTAAATACGTTAATTCTTAATTATTTAAATTAAGTATAATTTAAATAGTACTATAAAAAAGAAAAGAAGTCTTATTACTTATCTTTATAAATTAAAGTCCTATTTTTTATATATTATACTAACTGTAAGCAAATACTAGCTAACCCTAAGTAAAAGTTAAGGTTATTTTAAGCTAATTAGTAGCTTAACCTAATGTTACTTAATTTAAGTCTAAGTTTTAAGTAAAATTATCTATTTTAGTAGCTAATATCTAGCTAATTGCCTTTAAATAGTTCTTAGGGTTAATAAGTTAATATGTTATAAATATAGAAAATAATACTAGGACTCTTAACTTCTAGGTTTATTAGCTTGCTAAGCTCTATCCTTGCTATAGCTAGATCTAAAAGAGTAAAATCTACTTGCGTATTTTAATTAGTATTGCTCTTCTGGGCCTGGCACTTTAATTAATTCTTAAAAAAGTATTTATTCGTATTACTAGTCAGGTTTATCCTATTGTTTTTGTTATTAAGGCATTTTCTTTTTTTCTTTTAGTACTCCTAGATATATAGATTGCTTTAATGTAGAAAGTCTAATACGATATCCTCTAACTCTAAGGAGGTTAAAGTAATAACGATTAAGGAGCCGGTATCTTAAGCTATAGTAATAGCAACTTAATTAAGGAGATCGTATCTAAATTGCCTCTTGCTTAACAAGATAATCCTACCCTCGCTTGCCGCTGACGTGGTCGATGTATGCAGTGCAGCTGTTATATCTAGCACATCCTCTATCGCGAGTCGGTCGATGCCGAAGTAAGCGTTTGTGGTTTTCCCTTTCTCGTCCAAGGGAGATTTGAACTCCGCCTCGTTTGTAAGGGCACCGTTGACAGGTTCAAGGCATGTATTAAGCTGCTGAAGCTCATCGAACGTTTTAGCGTTGTTAAGGAATCACAGTAGCATCACCAGGCGGAAACTACTAATAGACCCTTGCTTGTTCCTATTACTAAGAGCATCGGTCTGTGGAGTTATAAGGCCTCTTTAAGACTGAGACATTGTGGACAAAGTTATTTATTGATTTAGAACGTTCTAATACGATGGGCTGTAATTATGCGTGGATGAGATACATAAGTCAGAAGGGTTGTTAAAATGCTCGACTAGTAGAGGAAGCCTGGATCACCTTGGTGTATAGAGCTTTCCTATAGCAACGAGCGCATATACCCATCGAGAATAATCAACCGATCCCATCACAGTACTATAGCAGTAGACTCCCGATCTTTATCAGTTAAGATAGTAACGTCTGAGAGATAGCCTATTATGCTCTGTACAATTTTAAAGACATACCACCGCTCTCTGTCTGCTATTTACTAACTCGTCAGCTAATACTAGTACCTATCGCAGCTACAACCCATTGATGTGTTAATTCTCTAGGTAATTTTACAGCTACTAATTAGTTCCCAGGGTATTAGAAGAATTTATTGCTAATAACCTTAAAGACTAAATAAATTTTATAGCTTAGGCTATTAAAACAAGTTCCTTAGATTAATTATTTTTATCACCTACCTGTTAGTGTTTACAAGATCCCTGTAGCTAAGACCTGACTTGTTACATTCGGCTGCCCGGAACAAGCCCTGGTCTCAGTCCGGAGCTGCGAGCAACACCTGGAAGACCTGAGTTACTAAAAAAGAGGACCTGGTTTTTAGCTTACCAAGATATACTTAAAGATAGATCAAATAACAAATCTTGATTATTCCCAGACTACTATAGTAGTCTTAACGGGTAGAAACAGTCTTGAGGGAATACCTTGCTTATCAAGTTTGCTCTCACCGTTCATGTAAGTGTTTCCAGTAAACTGGACATTTTTAATTAGCCCCAATTCTTTGTTCTTTACCGCTAGTAATCGGCGAATTAGACCTGTTGTTGATTTACACGTCACTACTGTACTGGGTCCTGAAAACAAGGGTGGTCCAACCATTTGTCTTTTCGCAGCGAATTTTAATTATTGCCCCGCATTTAGTAGCCAAGTCCATGAATTGATACGTTATTGTTGAATCTGCATGTGGAGATTGATATGTGCTGTGCTTGTGTGCTGTCTCTCCAACATCCATATCTGGCGTGACACATTCCCCTCTATTGGGTTGATGCCTCAATTCATTTTATTCCTCAAACCCTCCCGCCGTCAAACAAATCTGTCCAATCCCTTTTCCAGGTTTATTCGTCTTCATAGGTGGGAAACAGACACACCAGACGGCATCCTAATCATTCATTAATATTACCAACGTTGAGGCCATCAATCTACATCATGGTCGTCTCTGGTGACGGCATCATCCTTCCTGCCCTTGGACAAGATGTGCAACTCGGCATGCTGTACAACGTCCGCACAGCAGAACTGTTCGCAGGCATATCCCTATGGGATAACACTGTTGTCAATAGCGAGCAGACCAAGGATGAGAGCAAGGTCCAAAATGCCGAGTTTTTCTATTCTACATCCATCGAAGATTCTCGCAAGAAGTCAGCCCTTGATGTCGAGGGATCTCTCGCTCTGGATCTAAAGATAATTCAAGCAACCGGCTCCGCCAAGTATCTGAGTGATACCAAATCTTCCACACACGAGGCACGTCTTGATGCATCATGCACCGTTACTCGTTGGACACGCCGAATTCCACAGGAAATCCTCTCTTCCATGAAATATCACCGCACCCTCGATAATCCTCGTTTTACACACTTTGTTGCAGAGGTGGTCGAGGGCGGAAGCGCAACTATCAGTCTGGTTCGCTCTGCTTCCTCAGAAGAGGAAGCAAAAGAGATTGCCGGAGACCTTAAAGCCACACTCATCGGTGTCCCAGTTAATGGCTCGGCCAATCTGGAATACAAAGATGTGAGCGACGCTAACCGCGAGAAAGTCAAGATCTCATACAGTGGCGCCATTGCTGAGAACGTGTCCACTTGGGAGGACGCTCGTCGTGTTGCAAACGATATGCCGACCATGCTAGCTAAGCAGACCAACACGCTTTATTATAAGCTTCTTCCCGTCGACCTCCTTGATAGCAATGCAAGCCGTCTGATTCGCAGCCTTGACTCTGGTATTGTCAACAGAACAGCTGTAGCTCTCAAGACAGGAATCACGGCTCGATTGAGACTCGATGAGTTGCTCCAACACCAAGTACTCCGCAACTGGTTCCCCAAGATCAAAGGTCAAATCCGCGGCCTACTAGAATCCTTTTTGGAAGGCGAATCGGACTTTACTGAAGCAGCACGTCGTCTCCTGCCAGAACTACGGGACGGTAATACCGACTACAGTACTAAGATTTCGGAGCTCCGAAGGGCTATTTCTCTATTTGAACAACGTGTTCGAATCGCAGAACAGTTTGCAGATTTGAAAGAGAAGGAACTAGACGTTCTTCAGTCAACAGTTTCCTCCATGTTAGGCCAAGGCTTCCAAAACCATCTAGGCGGGTTGAAACCAGAATCCCTAACGACTGTTTCTGCCCCGCGAGTACTGTTATCATTTGGTGGAGGCCAGATAAATCGAAGTCGCCATATGTTGGAGAAAAAGATGCAATCAACGGAGCTATGCGACGATAGTACTGATGATGACAGCGATGATGAAGAGAAAGAGAAAAGTGAACAAGAGTGGTTTGAGAGTTCGCCGACTGTCAACGGCGTCAGAGCAGCCTGTGCAGAACTGATCGGCTTGCGCCCAAGTGCCCCAGAAGAAGTCATATTTGGTGTGGCGAGTGTGGACAAGGCCTATCGTGCGGGTGAAGAAAAGCTCGTGTCAACTCGTGTCGGAGACATCATACTTGGTTACAATGATCGATTCACCATTGTTACTGGCATGCTCCCCAAAGCGCCAACGGCGCCCACGTTGACGATTGACGAACAGGGAATAGCTCTCTCGTGGGAAACAGACCAAGGAAGTGAACTGGAACCTGCTATTCCGACAACTTCTTACGTGATTCGCTACCGTCCTATCCCTAACCCCGAGAAAGATGGTGTCCTTCCTCGCATTACAGCCGACGAAACATTTATCGAACTGGAATTCAACCCGTCTGAGAGTTCCCTTATTCCGAGAAAAAACGGCACAGGTGATTCGTTGTTTGACGACTGCGATTATGAAGTCATGCTCAACGTCAAGACGATAATAGGGCTCTCTAGTTGGAGTATCCCTGCTGTTGTCCGGACACCTCGTTGGCCCTCTGTGGCCTCTAGGATGCTAGAGTTCCATGAGAGGAACCATCAAGCATTATCCAACCCCAATAGGAAAGGCACAAAGCCATGGGATATGGACAAGGACACCGGCAACAGGACACTCTATTTGGGACACACAACTATCGTTGATCGTAACTGTAGCGATCCCCGCTTTCCAGACACTGTCGCAGTGCGCATCGTCGACGTTGCAGCTGAATTCGAAGCCAGGATCCCTGCCGCAGATCTCGCAGACAAGAACAACACTATCGTCACTGTCTTCACAGGTCCCAGTGGCCACGGAAAGAGCACCCAGATCAACGCTTTCGTTTCATACTTGCTGGGCGGTGACTTTGAGGACTTTGCACGCATCATGATGATAGACGATCGTGGTACCAGCCAGACATCATCGCAGTTTGTAACCTGCTATCGCATCAGACCCTTCTCCCCTCTATTCCGAGGTAAAACGATGCTTATTGTGGACGCACCTGGCTTCGGTGATTCGAGGGGCTACCAACGGGACGCTTTCGTCACGGTCGCCATGTCAGACTTGTTTAGCACAGTTAGCCATGTAAACGCCATATTCTTCACATGTCGTGCAATGGAGTCTCGAACTACCTTCCTGACACCTATTTATACATACATATCACAGCTCTTTGCTAAAGATGTTCAAGACTGTCTTGGAACTATTTATACTTTTGCCGATTCTGGTAAACCGGCTGCACATGACACGCTTCAGAAGCTCGGCTGGCCTGTACAGAATGGCGAGATCTCGGTGAACAACGCTGCGTTCACTGCCACACTGGACGTCACCGACATCAATCATGTCCGGGATATGTGGCTTTTCTCCACAAGAGGACAGTTCCAGATCATGGACAGGCTTCTCAACACCACTGCCGTGCCTACCGATTCCAGCGCTGAAGTGATGCGAGACCGTGTTGATCTTGAACAAAAGTGCTCGCTTACCGAACACAAGATCTTCAAGACAGCACCCAAAGCGTGGAACCTGATCGAAAACTTAGATAGTCTCGCTGATAATATTGGAAACGCCCCGGATGCTGAAGTCTCCATCACCGAAGATCGGGTAGTAACACAGGATCTACCTGAAGGTAAAGGTTCGACACGATGCCTTCATTGCAATATCACCTGCCATGAGATCTGTCCGTATAGCAATGATGAGGACATAAGGTACTGCGAGACTTTCAAAGATGAGAAGTGTACTGTTTGTCACTGCCACTGGACAGAACATTGCAACATGAGATATATGATCAGGACGAAAAGAGTTACTCGCACTATGATTCCAGAAGATATGATCAAAGCCTGGAGCGACAAAACCAATGAGCTCGAGACATCACTCCTCGGTGCTATCGACGCTTTCCTCGAGCTACAGCAAGAGCTCCGAGATGAGCTTCTCGATCTATCTGAGTTGACTAAGAATGTCATGACCAAGGCATTACTCCACGATCCTTCAGCTTTCATCGACTACATGTACAGGTTGATCCATACCGCGCGCGCGTATAGCTTTCCTCCGGCAAAGCTAGTCCAATTCGCCACAGCCAAGAACACCCTGTTGTTGCTTCAAAAGGTCAAAGAGCAAGGGAGCGCCGCGGCGATTGAACCAGAGGCGTTACTCAGTATACTAGGGAGTGTCAGGACAGAAATGCATCGCAGGATGCAACTTGAGATGCACCAACGAGTGCGTGAGGAAAAGGTTCCATGCAGTCTTTACTATACTCTCTACGAGAAGCTTCCCCCCTCTATCAAAGACAAGGCCCCAGCGCCTCTTGGAGAAAAGGGCATGTCGGCCCCAGGGGAGCTTTATCCTGCGAATCTGAAGTCGGTGGTGTTACTTGTGAAGACCGTGCTTAAAGACGGTGGTTATGTTGCAACACTTGCGGTCAAAGGGTAGATTTCATTCAAGATTAGACTTTCAGCGAAGTTGGGAGGCAATATTTAAAAATCTTGTTTTTATTCTATTTGGATATAGTCGGATATGGGTACTAGGCGTTTAAATTGAATAGATAAACTGTTGGATGCTGTTATACCACTTCTAATCATTAGCTCCTATGCCTGTTGTAGGATTTATGTTTTTCACAGTACTATAGGACCAGACTACCGATCTTTGAGCTGGGACTACTGACTTCCGAGAAACGGCTCACGGGAATGAATCCACTGTAGGTATCGTCACGCTCAGATGTGGCTGGGGACATAGTCATAGATGTGAGAGAGAAAGGCCAACCAGGCTGCAAGTCTTACTGGATCCGACCTCGAAATCCAGTCCTGTCCAATCTAACAGGGTTACTGGCGATGAGTGAGATGCCATAAGGATTGTGATTATATTCTTCTCTTTGCAGAACTGGTCGAAATCGGCCGAGACACGGCTCGAGTGACTGTCAATTCCTAGCATCTCGAATCGAGGACATATTCAATCATGTCCGTCTGACTGCAGTTCTACTTTGATTCTACAGCGCGCTAGTCTAATTTGGGTATGCTTATACCAGGTCACCGTAGCCTTGAATTATCAGACATGCTTGCATCGCGATAGGGGGGCGCGTACAATAATCGTGCCTGGTAAAATAAAACCTGAACGGAGTATTTCCTTCAGGTATTGAATTCCAGCCAGGGACGGATATTGCTGGAAATTTAATGGCTGCCTCTCTCCTCTAGAATTTGTACCCTATCCAAGTGGAGTGAAGAACGCGACACCATTGGCCACCGCGTAACCCCACGCGGTATGACTCCTCTGTACCTGACACTTTGAACGTGTACAATTGGTCATTCGTATTAACGTCCTCTGTAGATCTCTATTAGCGCCGTGACATGGTGCAGTCCTATCTCAGTTTATGGATTTGTACATTGAGCAAAAAGGCTATAGCGGAAGAGGCTGGTCTATATAAATAAGTCTTACTCTCCTCCATGTTGACTTCTTCATTCTACAATAAGTATCACTCAATCGCTCATCTTCACCCATTATGGAAGACGACGTTATGGGCCAAGGCCTCTTTATTGGCCTTCTGGATAAGATCTTCCCCGGTCTTACATACCTCCCCTACTTCGCCGTTCTTGCGTTCATTGCTAAGAACATATTTGAGTTCTGGTCCGAGTCCATCACCGCCCGCTTCATCTCAACCATCGAGATCAGTGCTCATGACGAGACGTACAACTACTTGATGAACTGGGTGTCGCAAAATGGCATCTCCAAGGATAATTACCGACTCCGCGCCTCTGCAACTCTGACCAATGAAGGCTTCACATGGTCTCCCGACCCAGACGAGAAACAAGACGCCAATAGGAATGACGATGACGAAGACCCTTTGGCCAAGCAGATCAGTGAGATGCGATCCATGTCATCTCTTTTCAACGTCAAGCCCATTTACTGGACGCCAGCGCTTGGTACACATTTCTTCCGCTACGAGAATCGTATCTTGGCTTTTTCAAGAGGTCTCGAGAATCAGAACAATGGCGCCACCCCAAGGCAGCCTGAGAAGCTTGCTATTTTGTGTCTAGGACGAGACGCGACCATCCTCAAACAACTGCTGTATAATGCGCGCATTGACTTCCTTGAGAAGCAGAAGGGCAAAACAAGTATCTTTCGGGCAACCAAGCTTGGACCTGAGGAAGAAATGACATGGACACGGTGCATGGCTAAGGCGACGAGACCCATGTCTACTATTGTCCTCGATGAGCAACTCAAACAAGGCTTCATCGAAGATCTTCGTCGATATCTTGATCCTCAAACTAAGCATTGGTATGCTAACCGTGGCATTCCTTATCGCCGAGGGTATCTCTTCGCTGGTCCACCAGGAACAGGCAAGACCAGTCTTACCCTCGCGGCTGCTGGTTTGATGGGGCTAGACATCTACATGGTCAACCTTCATTCTCCTCGACTGAACGAGGACAGTCTAGCGTCTCTGTTCCAGCAATTGCCCGAGACCTGCCTCGTCCTTCTTGAAGACATTGATGCTACAGAGCTGGCTCAGAAGCGTGGTGCGGGTACAAGCATGAGCTCACAGAAGCGCAAGAGACGAGATGCAGAGAGAATCTCACTTTCTGGTCTTCTTAACGTCATCGATGGTGTTGGGGCGCAGGAAGACCGTGCGCTTGTTATGACGTCGAATCATACTGAAAATATTGATCCAGCTCTGCTTCGCCCAGGGCGAATTGACCACACTATTAATTTCCAACTGGCCACCTCAGAGGCAGCAGAAATGCTCTTCAAACAAATGTACGATGCCCCAGAGACGCATGCTGAAGGCTATGGATCGGAGAAGGCATTGGCAGAAAGAGAGTCAATAGCAACCAAGGCATCCAGGTTCGGGAAAGAGGTTCCCGATTTTGCTCTAAGTCCGGCAGCTATTCAAGGATTCCTGCTTACTCATCTGGATGATCCTGATGGAGCGTTAGCTGCTGTTCAGGCAATTGAACACCAGAACAGCTCTGCCCCAGACCCACAGGACATAAACGACAGTAGTGCAGAAAGCTTTTCAGAATCCGAAGAGGAGCATGATAGCAATACCTAGACGAACACTTATATCTTGGACAGAGACTCTTAGAGCGACGTTTGCAGAGAACTTACCAATTGCATATCAGCTATCTATTGTTTCAATTTTAATAAATCTTTAAGACTAACAACGCACTGGGACAGGGTAGACTCTAGTTGGATCAGATTGTTCTTACCAGTGGTTATCTGTTAGCCGTACTTTCCCCTTCGGGACTGATAATCCTGGATTAGTAATAGTAGATCGGGTCACGTGAGGCGAAGATCCACCTCTGTCCTTTTTCTGATTGCCCAACTGGCTACCTTCTGGATCCACTGTTTCTGTTCTGTGTACAGATTAATCAGTTACTTTCCCCCGAGAATGTTCTTAAAATACACAACAAAAAGATCAATGGTACTGCCTGAACACAACGGTAGTCCATAGCAAGTGGTATCCTAAAGTGAGCTTGAGCTGCTTTTCGTATCTCCTCTTGTGTTCTGTATAAGCCACCTGTCAACGCCACAACCACCAGCCTCAGCAGCTACAGACAAACCATCACCTATGTAATTTAGTTTTGGAGACATAAACAAACCGTAGAAGTGCGACTTCTCCTCGTCGAAGTAGTATAATTGATCTTAACTTGTTTGTACTAATCGAATCTAGTTTATGTAACAGAGACCCGTTAAAAGTATGAAGCAGCAAATATGTTTAGCATGCACGCGTTTTGTAAAAGCAGGAGAGTGATCGTGGTATACCCAGAGAAAATTAGTAAACACCGCATGCTCTGGATGGCTTGCGCAAGCGTCAACTGGCTAAAATATCACCAATATCTTAATTCCAAGCAATAGCAGCAGATCTACATACACTGGTCTCTCGTTGTTCTTTTAGCTGCTTTGTTCTTACTCTGGTTACTGGTTCAATCGGAGATCTGCTACCCTATACTGTAGATGGACAGAGAAGATTGACGTCATTGATGAGGTCCAAGAACTAAAAAACCGGACGGGCTGTGATTGGAATGGAAAAGTGGAGTGATACGTGGCAGACGATGGGGCGTCTGGTGACTTGATGTTAGGCTTGGACTTTGACAAGCAGGATCTCCAAGCTTTTCATAATAGAGAAATTTCTCTTAAGCTGGCAATTTTCCATCATAACAGAGGCCACCATAATACTACTGCTAGTACAGGTCCTCTATAGTTATATCTAGAAAAACCTTCAATAACTTCTTGCAGAACAACAAGGTTGGGAAAAAGTCGCGCCTTAGTTTGCTGGCCCACACCGCCGGGTATAATCTCGGGACAGATCACGCGGTAATTAAATCTTGAACCTGCAGGGAGTGTTGTTATTGCTCCACTATTAATTATTTATCCCTCCTGATCCATCCGAGGGAACTCTCTAAATCCTCTACACTTACAGGTATCGTCAGAGAGATGGTTCAGACGAGTCGCGCCCACAGCCCAGCAGCCGTAGCTTCGAAGATCCGGCAAGTTTTGAACTTGAGGACCTTCTCGGCTGAATCTTCTGCTGCCGATTCCGCTGAAAATATCGGTAATCGCGTCTCGCGCGTCCCACCGCCTTCTCATCGTAAAAAGCCACAACCCCGACCCATCAACAAACGCGTTCTGTATCAAGCTGCCATTGCAGAACATCGTAATATTAAGCACTTAGAAGAAGAAGCACGCCGTGCGCAAAATGAACGCCGGTCTCAAAAAGTCCCACAAAGAGCCCCCAAGAAAGATCTTGCACAACATGGCGCAGATGATCCGGCCACGGAGAGAAGACGTTCACCTAAGCGTCATAACTCAAAAGAAGAGGGACTCACAGGAGATAAAGATGCTGGTGGAGTTTTTGGCTTTTTGCGACATATGATGAGTTCGAAGGATCATCATAAAAACGAACCAAGCGAGGAGTCCCACAGACAGCATGACGATGGTCGGATTACCGGGTCTACCGGGAAGGAGACAGGCTCTAGGCGTCATCACCCCAAGGAAGGAAAGAAGGAGGACCGCGAATCTCGAAGAGCAGAACGACGTGTTCAACGTAAATATGAGAAGGAGGGGGACCAAGAAGCTCGAAGGAGTAAGGCTCGAACTTCGCGTAATCATCACGAGGATATACAGCAAGAGCGCGACAAGCAGAAGTATAGAGAGGCGGAAAGACCCTCAACGCGGGACAGAAGCATACATAGTCATCATCGACGACGGACTCGAAGCGACGATAGAAGGACAAGAGAACAAGAAAGAGGAGCTCGACTAGTCGCAAGGAAAGCCGTCCGTCAAGCCGAGGAAGAGAGAAGGCTTAGAGAGCAAGAGCAACAGGTCTCGAGAGCCACGCAGCACAAGTCACACAGAGACACAAAGGCCGCCCTGTTTGACGCAAAGAGCTCTGCTTCTACGTTCACTGATGCAAGTCTATACCGGACTCGAGACGAGAGCCAACTTGAGGAAAAAATTAATGAAAAACGAAAGAAGGATAGAGAGGCGGCAAAGGCGGCGTTACTAAACTATGCGAGACGGAAGATTGATGAAGAGAGAAAAGAGGCCGAGCGGCAGGCAATGGTACAAGCCGCAGAAAGGATACTCGCTTCGGAAGTGGCGAAACGAGAAGCTGAGGAGAAGCAAGACGAAGAAAAACGGCTTCAAGAAGAGGAAGAGAGGTTAGCCGAAGAAAAGGCAAAGAAAGACGCCGAGCAGAAACAGAAGGAGGCGAGTTTCCTCAACGCAGCGGAGAAGTTGGCTAGTGAGAAGGAGAAGGAGATGAGGCAAATGAAAGAAGAGATGGAGAGACAGTTAGCTGAGGAAAGGGCGAAAAAACGCGCCGAAGAGAGAGACAGGGTAGCAAGGCAGTTCAAAGAGGAGAAGGCTAAGAAGTTGGCAGAAGAGAAGGCGAAGATGGCTTTGGAAAGGAAGAACGCAAGAAAGCAAGCTGAAGCAGAGGCATAAAGCAGGTGGAAGTGGAAGCAAAGGAACAAGCTCAACAAAGGAAGGAAAGGGAAGAAGGAAAGGACGAAAGAGCTTGACAAGCAGCACTACGATACTCTCGACAACAAAGGCTTGACGAGAAGAAGCAAGAAGAGAGGAATAATGCACGAAAGATGGAGAAGGAGGGGTTGGAGGCTGTCGCAACAAAGCAGAAAGAAACAGCAACAGCACCAACGATAAAGGCCTTTGAGCCACGGGGGATCCTACCCATAACTCCCAGACAACCTCAACTGATTTCAACTACCAGTCTGCGCGCAGACTTACGTCTATCTTTGGGTCCCAAAGATGACCAACACATTAATGCTTAATGTATAAACGACCAACTCCTCTCATGTCAGTTATATTGAAACCCAGATACCCCCATTTTGTAAATAGTATAAATATCAGAATTACTTCAAGTCTTGTATCATAGTAAACTACTTGATTTACAGTTAACAAAGACTCAGAAATCACCACAACGGATTGTGAAGCGGCATATGTAAGTGAACAGTCGATAATACCAACTAATAGAAGAGAAAGGAAAGACAGTAAGTAAAAAGAAAAGAGATTAGAATACAAGAGGAACATCCACGTTCTTCGAGAAATCCGTAATGCTATCACAAAGAGCATCAAACAATTGCTCAGCAAAGTCCTTGCCCACATGTCCACCCGCGGGGTACAAGAAACAGACTTCAGTACTGTCTGAGCCTTGCGGTGTAGTGACGACGCTAAAGTCGGCAGTATCCTCCTGCGAAGCAATCACGCCCACATTATACGTGTTATCTCCAATGGATAGACTATCAGTTTGAGCCATGCTCTGATGCTGAACCATGGTAGGAAAGCCCATTGCTCCATCGTCATTCCAATCAGTGCAGTTCCTGATGATATCCCTGAAGCCAAGTGATTCATATGGCATGGTGTCCACTTGTTGATGCTGGATATGGCGAAGAAGATCGAGCACCGTCCAAGAGTCTTGGAACGGGACACGGACGGGAACTACATTCAGGCAAGGACCGACGATAGCTTCGATACCAGGAACGTGATGTGCGTTGCGTCCGTTGATGAGATGCCCAAAAACAACGTCTGTTTTTCCAGTGGCTTTGGCAAGGACTGTAGACCAGGCTGCTTTGATGACGGTAGCGGTGGTGATGCCGTAAGCCGCCAGAGAGGCTGTAGTTACAACTCTCTTAAGGACTTGAGTAGGGAATGTGCGCATTACACTCGTTTGTCGAGGGATGATGTCTGTCGGAGTGGAGTGTTTGAGGAGAGATCGCCAGTATGTGTATTGTTCGGACCTGGTCCTGCCCCTCACACCGCAGATATATGTCGCATATGATGGTGTGGTGACGATAACGTCTCCCTCGTAAGACGCCTTCAAGGCATTGAGAATAGTTGGGAAACAAACACCATCGTACAGAGCGTGTGATAATCTGATGAAGATCCTATGTCTTTGGGACCTGTTATGTCGTGCAATAACGAAGCGAAGAGAGGGACGTTCGGGGAGTGCAGGTTGCTGAAGATGGTTTGACTCAAGCTCAGAAGTGAACTGCTCGATATCATCAACGTCGTGGATGGTGATATCAGGCTGTAAGTGACGGAGGATAACTTGAAGGTAGGTCGCCTGATAGGGCACGAAGACAGTGCGGAGGATATCGAATGCAGCAGTGATGTTTGTGATACTCTCCCGTAGAAGATCAACGTCCAAATGTCCACATCCATCGAGGTAAAAGTAATTCAGCATCCATCGTGAGTCCAACAGGCTTCCTTCAACGGCTTGGGCTTGGAAGTCGGTTGTGGGGAGAACATCAATGATAGTGGCCCGAGAAATGCCAACGAGAGGGCACACAATGTCACGAACGAACCTTTCAGGGTCCTGCTGTCCTAGAAGAGACAGTGGTTTGTAGACATACTCGGCGACGACACCATCGTTCTTGGAGTCCACTAGGGAAGTGTCACCGTCGGTAGATGCCATGTCGTTGTCTTTGTATGATTTGTCTCTCAGAACCTTAAGCATAGAGCTGAATGTTGGGTTCTTGAAGATGTCGGCTACCGTGAGAGGGAGATTCTTGTCTCTGGCGTCGCCGACCATGGCCATGGCGATGATAGAGTCACCGCCTTGTTCAAAGAAGCTTGCCTCGTATGTGATATCAGTCGTCTCAACGTCAAGATGATCTCTCCACAACGATGATAGCTTCTCATGGAATCGATCCTTGGCCAGGGTACCCCAGGAGGCTGATGGTGAGAAGATGGTGGGACCAGGGCCTGTTGAGTAGCTGACTGTCGAGGCGGGAGTCGAGACAGCGCGGCGCATATGGCCGTGCTGGAATGTCCAGTCGTCTTCCATGGATGAATCGGCGTGGGTAGGTAGAGATGAATCTCGTGACACTCGTAAATGCGACAGAGCCTCCTCGTTGTGATCAATGATGTCGCTGAGTACGTCGGACATCACGTGCGCAAGGTCCTCGGCCTGCGTGTGGGAAAGAACGCTATTCCAGTATCGGAACACAATGCCTTCATCACCGCGAGTGGTATTTGCGTTGAGTGTGACCGCGTATTCACTCGGGTCAAACGCCTCCATCGATTCGTATTGAAGGCCACCTAGATTTGAGTCTTCTGATGTACCTGCGTTTTGAATGGACACAGCTGTGTTAAAGAAGCCATGTTTCGATTGTCCCAGTGCATGAGTAACACGGGCGAGAGAGAAATGCTGATATGGAAGACTGTTGACGTAATCTTCTTGGGCGTCGAGAAGAACTTGCTTGAGAAGCATGCCGTGTGTGAATTGGAAGCGGAACACGAGCATGTTGATCAAAGGTCCAACGATATCAGCCACGCCATCAATACGAGCGTCGCGACCGGAGGCCAAGTATCCAAAGCAAACATCTTGCGAATTAGTGTATTTCCGCAGAACAAGTGCCCATGCGACCATAATAATGTTGGAGAATGTCACACCCAGCTCCAAACCTAGAGAATGGAGTTCGGCGAATCGCTCAAAGTCGACGGTAATGGAGCCGAGGTTTTTAATTAACATACGATCTGAGTTCATGGTTGGAAACTCGGTGAAGTAAGCACCAGAGAGATAGGTCTTCCAGTAAACGAGAGTCGCATCAGGTGACTGGCTGAGGATATACTTGATGTACTCTTTGTAGGGGGGAGCTTTTGTGGTCGATAAGCAGTTGCTGTAAGCGTCTGAGATGTCGCGGAGGATAACAGCCGTAGAAGCACCATCTGTGACAGCGTGGTTCATCTCAACCTTCATGAAGACCTTGCCCTGTGGTGTTGCGCAAATGGTGATCTGATATGGAAGAATGGGCTGCCCATGTTTCTTGTTAGTCTTGGCCAGCGATCTTGCGTTCAGCTTTGCCATGACATCGATCTCACGACACTTGATCGTGCTGATACGAGCTTTGCGGGGACGTGTAACAACTTGATCAAATGAGCCACTACCGTGAACACTTTCGATGAAGATGGTGCGTAGTGCGGCGTGACGTTCAACGACCGCTGAGCAGGCCAAAGCCAACTGTGAAGCGTCGATATATACGCTAGTTGGAGAGGATACTTCGAGTACGGTGTGGAACAGGTAATGGGAAGGATCAAGTAGTTGGCTTAGCAAGATACCCTCCTGCATTGGCGAGCATGGATAAATGTCCTCTACTTCATCGTAACGAAGATGAGCGGCAGGTAGAGACTTGTCAACTATATCTTGGAGCCCGGCGTAGTCTAAGGGCATAAGAGGGAAGTCGCTGAGGGTAGGGAAGGATGGAACTGCGCTGAGCTCCCTTGCCATGTTGGTAACAACGTCCTTGCACGTGGCAATCCATTTCTGAATGAGGTTTTGACGAAGCATGTGCTTGTTGTACATGAAGATGAATTGGATGCCCTCATCAAGGATACTGATGGAGATCTCAAAAAGAGCCATGCGTTGAGTATCGGGTCCGATATCTGACATCACCTGAAGATCCTCCTCGCTCAATGGCAAGTTCGAAGAGCGCAAGATAGTATCTTCCTCACCACTCTGTTGAGAGCGGCCGAGGAAGTTCAATAAGATCTCCATGGGTTCATGTGTGTCGAGATGGAGCCTTCCAGACTCGGTAAGGTAGCGCTGAGCAAAGTACGGACGACCGTTGCTGGGAATGCTACGTCGCAAGTCCTTGACCTTGCGAACATAGTCGATAGTTCCAGAATGCTCAACGTTCTGTCGCGATAAATGGATAGGACAAAGGGAAGTGAACCATCCAACAGTTTCAGAAAGATCAATGCTGTCGTCCCATGGTTCGCGACCGTGGCCTTCGTTGAACAACGTTGGGAGGTCTCTGTCTGGGAAACACTGTCCAAATGATTGGAGCAAGGATGAGATGAAGAGATCGAGAGGTTCAGTCCTGAGGGCTGCGTGGGAATCGGTTAATAGCATGGAAAGAATGTTGGTATCGGAAAGGGAAAATGATTGCTGAGTGACTTGGGAATAGGTGTTGAGAACCTTGGATATACCCCAAAAGTTCAGATCTGCGGGTTGTACAGTAAATGGAAGGAATCGTTCACCCTTTCTTTCAAGTGACTTGGCGTGCTCGACCTGCGCAACATTCCATCGTCGGAATGAGAGCGGCTTAGGTGATGGAGGGAGCGAGGACGAGAGTAATGTCTCCAGATCTTGAGCAATGTTGATCCAGGACACAACGTCAACGACGAGATGGTGGGCTATCAGCGACACTGTTGGAGGAGTGTCAGGCATGATGAAGTGGTCGACGATAAAAATGGGACCGGAAATATCAATGCTCTCTTGACTGGAAGCGATGACGTCGACCAACTCGGATGTGGCGCTGACATTGTGGAAGTGCAGTGAGTAGGCACTTTCGCTGTCGGGGGCAATCTGTTGTGTCCATTGTCCATCGATGGATTTACTGAAACGAGCGCGAAGCATAGGATGTCTTTGCACAAGAGCACGAATGGCTTGTGCAAACCTGGATGTATCGATGGAACCGTGCATAGAAAAGAGCTGGCTCTGGTTGAAGCGGTCTCCACGGTCCTTGTTTGAGCTGTTGTTGAAGAAGAGCTGCTGGATCGGTGACAGTCCGAATGGTTGGTCATTATTATCCTCGTCATCCGGTATGGTGGTCTGTGTAGGCCGGTCTTCTTTCTCGAGAATAGAAACCAATTCGGTAATGGGGCGGCCGCTCATGATGTCTCGCATGGTCAATTTGATGGAGTGGTCGCGGCAGCGAGACATGATTTGCATGGCCATAATGGAGTCACCACCGAGGGAAATAAAAGAGCGGTTGGTAGGTGTCTTGTCCTCTGGAATGCGAAGAACTGAAGACCAGATTCGCTGAAGGAGACGTCCAATCTCCGTGGTGTCAGACACAACAACATCCTCGCTGGGCCCACCGTCAACCAGAAACTCGGGCATCTCTGCATCCATATCGGCAAGCCAGGTCTGGCAACTGACCCTATCAAGCTTGCCAGATAGTAACAAAGGAATAGCGCTAACCACAAGCCACGAAGAGGGCATCATGTAAGGCGGCAGATTCTCCGATAAAGTGTGTTGTAGGGTAGAAACATGCAGGCGAGCAGCTTCCATTTCAGAGGCGGAAACCGGAGTGAACTGCGAAGTTGCAAGGCCAGGATTCTCGGACTCGAAGTCCTTGAAAGAGACTATGGCCACGAGTCGACCCTTGAAGATACCAGATTTCGGCAGTGCAACAAGAGCATTGCGAAGGTCTGCATGCGTCTCAAGGCAGGCTTCGATCTCGCCGAGCTCCATGCGCTGACCGTGGAGCTTGACCTGGTTGTCCTTGCGACCGACGTATACCAAGCTTCCATTTTGGCAGTACCTGACCAAGTCGCCTGTCTTGTATAGACGAACAGGCTTCTCAGTAAAGGCGGACATCCAAACCGGGTTGTTGATGAATGCTTGTGCGGTCTTGCGTTCGTCATTGAGGTAGCCGCGAGAAACAATAGGCCCGCTGATGAGCAACTCGCCTTCACAGCCTACAGGAAGAAGACGATTGTGGTCCCTAGGATCGACAATCCAAGTGTGGCAACCGTCCAACGCTCGACCAATGTTGGTGTGATCCTTATCGGCAGAGACATTGGCGTTGGCAACGGCGAAAACAGTACACTCAGCAGGCCCATAACCATTTATCAACTCAACGGTATCTGCCCACTTGGCAATAGTCTCAGCCGACAGGGCCTCACCTCCGCAGACAAGCGTCTGGAGTGTTGTGAAGGCGTATGGATCTTGCATGTTCGCAAGTGAAGGTGTCAGGAAGGCCCATGTAGCGTTGAGTGAGTTCATCGCGCCTGCTAAGTCGGTCATCCTCATCTCCTCGCTAGGAACGCAGAGACAAGCACCAGTGGTAAATGCACCGAACGTCTCTCCCATGGCAACGTCGAAGGCGTAAGATGTAAAGTGGAACACTCTCGAAGTTGACGTAAGATGCGTGCGTTGTGTGTAGGCTCTCAGGCTTGCGATAAATGAGCCATGTTCAATCATAACGCCCTTGGCCTTTCCGGTACTGCCAGAAGTGTATATGACAAAAGCGGCATCGTATCTTGACACAGTCGGAAGGTCTTGCAGTGCGACACGTTCATGGGTGTTGGACAAGCTTTTGTCGACATTGATTACAGTGTCAACGACGCCGTCGAAGCGGTCCGCATACTGCGGGGAACATAATACGACACGGGAATTGCATTCGCGGGTGATCTCTGCATGGCGAGCGGGAGGATGAGCGGGGTCCAAGGGAACGATGGCTCCGCCTGCAAGAATGACAGCGAGCATGGCAACTGATGTCCAGAGAGACTTGTCCATGCAGCAAGGTACCATGACCTCAGCTCCTACACCCTGTTGTATGAGGTGCTTGGCGAGCTGCGCAGAGTATTGTGCGAGAGACTCATAGTTGAGATCACCATCCCAAGCGCGGATACCGGGTGCGTCGGGATAAGTGGTTGCAGTTTGCAAGAACAAGCTGGACATATTGTCATGGGAGGTAGTGTGTGACTGGTTGTTCCATCCTTTGACCATTTGGACATCCTCGTCACTGTGTAGTTGAATAGCGGACAATGCACGATCAGGTTCCCGTGAAAGAGAAATAAGCTGATTGACAAGAGCACCAAATTGGTGAGCTATACGCTCTGTCTGCCAGCTCGTCAAGACGGTCTCATCGTGATGGATCGTCAAAACCAGGTTGTTTGCCTCAATAGAGCATTCGACAACCAATGGGTAAGTGAAGAAGGTTTTGTGCTCCACTTGTTCTTCAAGTGGCTGCAACAATCCTTGGTCGTTCGCTGTGTCGTCGCTGGACTGAATGACAAGCAAATTCCTGAAGTCGGAAGCAACCGCGATCGAAGCCCCTAGACGTTTAATGTGCTGAAGGCCGGAATGCTGATGGGGGATGACCTGAGCCACATGCTTGTGAAGAGTGCTCAGGAAGTGACTAACTGTAGCACCTCGATCAATCTGGACTCTCCAAGGTATTGTGGTAAGTGTTGGGCCGAGGATATCCTCCACATGGTCTAAAGCAATATCGCGGCCGGATAATGTCTCACCAAAGCCGACATCATCGGAGCCAGTTTGGGTCGCCAGAAGCAGCGCCCAAGCTGCGCGAACGATGGTTGGGATGGTGATATCAATACCTAGAGCTTCCTTGCTGTACTGTACTGTATGACCCAACGAGGCATGCGAAGGTTCCTCGTCGGTAGCAGTGGTAGTTGGGAAGTGAGACACGAGAGAGGCCGACTGGAATCTGGCCTTCCAGAACTCGTCTGAGGACTGACCATCAACGTCGGTCAAGTACTTGGCGAAGTTGACGTAGGGAACAACTGGTGTCAGGCGAGTCTCTCCCTGGTAGAGATTGGAGAATAATTTGAGGATGGAGGGCATACTCCAAGCGTCGTATAGGGCGTGGTGCACCGTCCACACGAAGTAGCGCATGTCAGGACTGGAAGAGTGGACAATGGCATTGCGAGATAGTACACCGCCATTGCGATCGGGGATAGGGCTTGTGTGGGCGCTAGCCTGAAGGCTGCTATAGTACTCCCAATTGATCTCATGTGGTGCAAGAATAACTTGGTAGGACTTCAAAGATTGAGTGCTTACGATACGCGACCTTAAAATGTCGACGTGATCAATAGTCCTCTTCCATGCCACCTTGAAACGCTCAATGTCAATGCTAGGCGGCACCTTGAAGACGTAGCGGGCAACATATGCACCAGGCTTCTGCATAGATGAAGCCACGAGACCTTCTTGAAGGGAGCTGCACGGGTACAAATCTTGTACCTGACTGGGCTGGATACCACAGTATCTGGCGACCTCTTCAAGGAGGAGGGAGGGAGAAACAACGTCCTTCAACAATGAGAAGGGCTCAATGTAGGCGATGGCAGCTTGTTGGGACTGTTCGCAACAGGTAGCCAGCTCTGATAAAATGGGAGTATTGAAGATGTCCATAACGCTGAGGGCAACACACTCCATCCTCGCGGCGGCAACAACCTTCATGGCACCGACGGAATCACCACCCAGCCTGAAAAAGCTGTCATCCCTGCTGATACTGTCCGGAGCCATGTTCAGGACTTTGCTCCAGACCTTCTGTAGCTTGCGTTGCATAAAGGTAGTTGGAGCTCGGCTCTTGCTCGGGCCAGCAAGCTTGTAGTTACCCATCTGTTGAGAAGGAATGGACTGGGCAATGGCTTTGAGCTTTTGACGGTCTAACTTGCCCGCCAAGGTCCAAGGCATCCTGATCACTGGGATGTAAATGGTTGGCACCATGTGTGACGGGAGAGTCGCGCTGAGAGCTGTTTTCAGTGAGTGGCACATTTCCGTGGCAGTGGATGACATAGGTAGGAGAAGATTGGCCAGCTCAGCTTCAACAGGCTCATTGCTGGTAAAGAACATAGCCAGCGCCTTGGTCGATGTCTTACTCTGAGGCACGACCAGCTCCACAGCGGATTGGATATGAGCAGGCAAGTAGACCTTGACGTGATATTCGATCTCACCAAGCTCAACCCGTTGTCCGTTGAGTTTTATCTGTGTATCCTTGCGCGACACATAGTTCAACGAACCGTCAGAATTATACGCGACTAGATCACCGGTTTTGTACATCCTATCCACCCGGTTACCAGAAAGCCTGGTTTTCGAACGCCACGATGGGCGGTCAATGAATACCTCCCTAGTCTTGGTTTCGTTGCTCAGGTATCCTCTTGCAACGATGGGCCCTTCGATGACAAGCTCACCAGTGCTTCCGATCGGCATAAGACGGTTGTGATTGCGTGGGTCGACAACCCAAGAACGACAACCGACGGCGTGTCCGATAGTAGTGGGCTCTCGGTCTACTACGGTGCCATGCTGATCGACTTTGGTGTGCGCTGCAGCGATGACCGAAGCCTCACTAGGCCCGTAGGCGTTGATAAGAGCAGCGTGACTTGACCACTTGGCGATGTGGTCTCTAGACATTGCTTCACCACCAGTAACGAGAACCTTGAGGCTCGGAACGCTACCTGGTTTGAGTACATTTGCCACAGATGGTGTGAGCAAGGCCCAATTGACGTTATACTTGGCGATCGCACCAGCCAAGTCATTCATGCGCTCCTCATCGGAGGGAATGCAAACACAGCCACCGACGAGGAAGGTGGTCAGGATCTCCATGATGCTGGCATCAAAAGTGTGTGATGCGAATTGGAGAACACGAGAGGAAGAGGTCATATGGATGGCTCGTGCATGAGAAATACCACCGGTAGTGAATGCGGCATGCTCGATGATTGTACCCTTGGGTGAACCAGTCGTTCCTGACGTGAAGATTATATATGCAGCATCGCGTGGTTGAACTTCCACTGGAGGCAGGATCGGTGAGGTGGATAGTGAAGAGACCGACTGGTGGCTAACGGCAAAAATTGGGATGTTCATAGCTGCAAACCTGTCCACGAGGGACGGTGAACAGAGAATGAGCTTAGCATCGATACTCTGGACGAGAAACTTGATTCGCTCCGAAGGGTGGCTGGGATCGACTGGAACAAAAGCAGCGCCAGCCTTGAGGACTGCAAGCATGGTGGTGGGTGCCCAAGCCGATTTCTCGAAGCACAGAGGGATGTACGTCTCGCGTGTGACACCGAGAGATACCAAGTGCTGAGCAAGCTGAGAAGCAATTGCATCGACCTCACAGTAAGTGAACCTGGCATCCCAAGCTTCAATGGCCGGTGAATCGTTGAAAAGATGATGGGCATTGTGCTCAAAGACCTGGTGCACGCAGTGGTTGAAGAGCTCTGGTTCGAATTCGTTCCACGAGATCAACTGCTGTGCGCAATGGTCGCTGAGAATGTTGAGCTGGTGTGTTGGGAGAACGGCATCGGGTGAGATGATCGAAGTCAAGATCTGGTCGAAGGTGGATGCGATATTCTCAGCTTGTGAATCAGATACCTTGTCTGACCAGTAACACAGCTGTACCTCCGCAGTAGAGTCCCAGACCTCGACGTTGACGGTCAAGTCGTACTCATTCGGATCCTGCGCATCGCTTACGTCGAATGATAGAGGCCCAGTCGCCATTGACTTGCTGACAGATCGACGCTGGAACGAGTAGGCAGTGTTGAAAAGTGGTTCATTCGCTAACCCAGTCATGCGTTGGATGTCGGCGAGTGAAATATTCTTGTGGCCCATAGCCGCACTGAGATCGTGTTGTACAGCCCAAAGCACGTCTCCGATGGTTGAGGCTGGAGAGAAACGGACCCTGCAGACCAGCATGCTGATAAAGACGCCGATTGCGTTTTCGATGTCAGGAACCGGGACATCTCTCTCCGCAACAAGATATCCAAAGCACACGTCATCCAGGCCCGTATAAGCTTGCAGAACCAGGGCCCAGGTAAGCTGGAGAACGGTGGAAAGCGTTACGCTTCTCTCGGCACAGAACGTTTGTAGAGCTTCTGCGTGGGAGATACGCTGGTCAAGAGATCGCAAGATCTTGGACTGTGCCGTTTCAGAGAGTAAACGCAAGTGGCATAGCTCAGCTCCACTCAGGTAGTCTTGCCAGTACTTGATATCATGAGAAGCTTGGCCTTGTAGGTGAGACACATAATCCCTGTACGTGGAGATGGTTGTGGAAGGAAGCGACTTCTGGTACGCCAGTGCCAAGTCATGGAACAAAATTGGCATAGAGGTTCCGTCGGATATGGCGTGGCTCATCTCGAGAACACAAGTGACCTTGTCATCAGTCTTGAAAACTGTAAGATGGTGTGGCGGTGTGTTGCTCATGACAGGTAGTGAAGGGCGATCCGAAATCTTCTGAATTCGTTCATCTTCGGAGCACTCTAAGACAGAAACGGCGACAAGATATTCGCGTAGTACAACCTGGTTGATGATGCCCTCCTCCAAAATACCGTCAACGAAGATCGTCCGCAGAGTAGAATGGCGTTGGACGACACGCTGCCAGGCATCTACCAGCAGCTGGACGTCCACTACATGACCAGGTTGAGTAGAATTCACTGCAAATGAGACAGAGTAGGAATAATACTCTGGGCTTCTGATCTGAGCCAAGACGATACCTTGCTGGACTGGGGAGCATGGATAGGCGGCCTCGATCTCGGCACTGAACGAGATGCCGACTTCGGCAAGTCGTTTCTCGATTCTTGTTGGACCAGCAAACACCAACGGAAGAAGGGAAATATCGGGATGCTGCTGTTCAATACTGGATACAGAAAGCCTTTTGACAACCCTTTGGATAGACTGGGACAAAGAGCCGATCCAGTTCAGGATACCAGATTGACGCTTCATGTGACGATTGAAGGTAAAGCTGAAGTTCAGAGTACTACCACACAGGGAAGCAGTGATCTCGAGGAGTGCAAGACGTGGCACATCGGCTCCAATGTCTGTATCCGAAATGGCCAGATTGAACATGCTGCCAGCTGGCTTCAGTACGGCGCCTTCAGATTCGGTCTTTTGTTTTTGACCAAGGAAGTTGAAAACCAGTTCGACGGGCCACTCTAGGGTCTCAGCCGCATCCGATAGCATTTGAAACGCAAAGTAAGGGCGACCTTTACCAGGAACCTTTCGTCTGAAGTCGCGTACCCAGCATACCATGTCAAGCAGATCAGGTTCTTCAGGCATGGTACCGGGTAGGTAGATGGGACAAAGGGTGGTGAACCAACCAACGGTGCGTGAAAGGTCTAGCCTATCGTCCAGCGGCTCTCGACCGTGACCCTCGTTGAGGATGGACGGCGTAAAAGACCGGTCAGAAAAGTTTTCACGGAACGAGGCGAGTAGAGAGGCAAGCAAGACGTCAACGACATCGGTGTCGAGCATCTCGTGGTAGGAGCCCAATAGCTCGTTGGCAGGCATATCTACAGTCTCGGTGACTGCATCGCCATGGACATTGGGTACGGACTGCATTCCCCAGTATGATAGATCTTGAGAAGGCGGGGGTATGTCGTGGAACACATTTCTCATTGTATTGTTGCAAGCCTCCTCCAGTTGTTGAGAGTTCCAAGTCTGGAAAGGGAGGGGCTTCTGTAGCCTTGAGGTGGGTGATGATAGCAATGTTTCCAGATCCTGCAGGATGATGTTCCAAGAGACAACATCGATCACGAGATGGTGAATGGCAAGGAAGACAACTTGCTTGGCAGGATTACCCATCTCGATGATGTTTGCGGCGAGGAGTGGTCCTTGGAAGATATTCAAACTCTTCTGGCTTTCTTCAATCAAGCGAGAGGCGCGGGACTCATCAACACCCACATCCGATTGAAGAATGTATGAGCCAAGAATATCGGACGTAACACATTGAGAGTGCACACCATCGACACATGAGAAACGAGCACGCAACATGCTGTGCGTCTTGATGATAGCCTCCAAAGCAGTCGACAGTTCCCCTGATGTGATGCTGCGTCCGGTCTCCAGAAACATGCTTTGGTTGAATTGAGTAGAGCCAGTAAGCATACTCTCAACGTACACTATCTGTATAGGCGAAAGTGGGAAAGGTCTATCCTCTTCTTCGTCAGCCTGTGTAAGATCATCCACAGTTGAGACAGACAACGCAAGGTCGACGATAGACTTGCTTCGCATGATCTGACTGACGGAAACAGCCATGTTGGAACTCCTACAAAAGGCCATAAGCTGCATCGCTGAGATTGAGTCGCCTCCTAATCGGATAAATGAGCGCGTAAATGGCACGTTGTCGACAGTCATGCCGAAGACCCTGGCCCAGGCAGCTCTAAGCCTGGTCTCGGTGCTTGTCGCGTCACGGTCTAGAATGAGACCCGATGTCTGGTCCTGGTCTTGAGCGCTTAGAACCTTTTGGTGTTGCTCAGTTGACATCGACTCGACCCACTTGGACGTTTGTCGGCGATCAAGCTTGCCAGAAGGCAGGAGAGGAATGTGGTTGACGACGATCCAAATAGACGGGATCATATAAGAGGCCAGATTTCCCATAAGGGCATCACGGATGCTGTTCAGATGAGATGGCTCAAAGTCGACAAGTCGCATCTCCTCGTCTGCTGTGATCTCCCCGTTGGCGACTGAGGAGGACTGAAGCGACAGAATAGCAACGAGACGGCTCTTGAAGGGCCCAGAACTCGGGATGAATGCTATAGAGGTTCGAATGGCGGAGTCAACGCTCAAGTGATGCTCAATCTCGGACAACTCAAGTCTTTGACCATTGATCTTGACTTGATTATCCTTCCTTCCTTGGAACTCGATAGATCCGTCGTCCTCCAGCTTGGCCAAGTCTCCAGTCTTGTAAAATCGGCGGTCGTTGTCGGAGGTCTTGCTGGAAAACCAATTACACCATGGCGGGTTGATGATGAAAGACTCGGCGGTCTTCTCAGGGTTCTTGAGATACCCTTGTGCAAGAATTGGGCCTTCTACCACCAGCTCGCCGACAACGCCGACAGGTACCAGTTTATTGTGATTGGTAAGATCGATAATCCAGCAGACACCTCCTACAGCACTGCCAATGTTGGAAGGGCTAGAGGTAAGCGTAACTCTGGGATTGACGGTAGCGACAACAGAAGTCTCGCTGGGTCCATAGGCATTTATCAACTGGACATATGGTGCCCAAGTGGAGATATGCGAGCGGGACATAGCCTCCCCACCAAGTGCCAATGTCTTGAGTTTAGGAACGAGAGACGGCTCAATCAACTGGGCGACGGAAGGTGTCAACAGAGCCCAGTTAACGTCCATACGATTAATGGCCCCCACGACGTCGTGCATACGTTCATCTTCGGAAGGCACACATACAGTTCCGCCGTGGATTAGAGTACTGAGAGTCTCCATGATACTCGCATCGAAAGTATGTGAGGCAAACTGCAAAACCCGAGATGACTCGTTCATACCCATAGCTGACCCATGTGCAGTCGCTCCAGTGCAGAAGGCGGAGTGACTAATGATGGTGCCTTTTGGCTTGCCGGTCGTACCGGACGTGAAGATGCAGTAGGATGGACAGTTGGCAGACAACCTGACAGCATGATGTTCATATGGCGAGGAGCCCTGCATCAAGGTAGATGAGATAGCCAGGACGTTCGCTCCCAGCCTCGTCAATCGCTCGTCGTACTGGGGCGAAGACAGGATAATGGTAGCCTCGACATCTTCAAGAATTCCACTGATACGGGCGTCGGGATGAGCATAGTCCAATGGCACAAAAGCAGCACCTGCCTTGAGGATGCCCAGCATGGTCACAGCGACCAAAGATGACTTCTCCATGCAGAAGGGAACGAAGGAATTGGCGCCAACGCCAACTTCAATCAGGATGGATGCAAGACACGTAGACTGGAAATCTAGCTCCGAGTAAGTGAGGGTCTGGTCCCATGCGCAGACAGCCAGCTTGTCCAGTGGTTGCGCTTCTCCAGTTTCCCTGATAAGGTCGTGCACCAGCCTCTCGATAGCAGGCGGTGCCAGCCGACTCATCTCAGAGAGCACCTGGTAATCCAGAGCACTGATCGTCTCAAGATCACCAACCCTTTCCTTCCCAAGTTCCGAAAATTGGATGGCTGTCAATATCGTCGCGAAGTGATCCATGATGCGTTGCGTCTGTGACTCAGACACGACATTCGGATCGAAGTGAACAACAGTCTCAAGCTCGCCATCCGCAATGTGGCACGAGAGCATAAGAGCATAAGAGTAAAAGTTGGTACCGGCCATCTCATTGGACTCTTCGCACCAGAAGGAATCTATCGACTGTCGTGGGCCGTAGTTGATGGTCAAAAGATTCTGCGCGGCACAAGCAAAAGCTGTATCAGAGTTGATACGACTGATGCGATGGATGCCTGCAAACTGATGCATTCTGACCGCAGCGGATTCGGATTGGACAGTGTCGAGAAGGCTGGCGACCGTTTGTGAAGGATCAAGCTTCACACGGGTTGGGACAGTGGCCAATGTCGCACCGACCATGTCCTCAATTCCATCAACGGGAGCGTCACGGCCCGTCACGGTCTCCCAGAAAACAACATCACATGTTGCTGAGTAGGTAGACACCGTCACTGCCCAGGCTGCGCGGATCATCGTAGCTGAGGTAATACCTAATCCCGATGACTTAGGTTTGAACGCATTCTTGGTTATAATAAGACCACTTGCGCTTGGTTTGTAGTCGAGGGAAGGAAGGCGAGGAAAATGCTGTGTAGAGATGTTGGAGAGGTAAGACGTCCAGAACTTGTTGTCTTGGTCGGCGTCAACCTCAGTGAGATATCGGATGAAGGTCGAGTACTTCGGACCGCTTAGATTGGGTGGCCGAGCCGCGGTTTGGAGGTTCCGATAGCATTGCTTGACCTTGTCAAGAATGAGAGGAAGACACCAACCGTCGTAGAGGGTATGGTGAATAGTCCAGACGAACAAGAGTTGGGAATGATCCTCGATGAGACAATAGTTGGTTAACCGTGCACCATTGTGAAGTGGAATCTGACGCCGGGCCTCTTCCGCATGCGAGAGGCTCTCAAGGGTGGACCATTGGGGAGCGTCGTCAACCATCACCACGTTTGAAACGCCAGTGCAGGTTGTCTGGACGAGCCTGGTCCGTAGAATTGGCTCAGCCTGAACCACGAGCTGCCAAGCCATCTTGAAGCTCTCAATTTCTATACCATCAGGGAGACGGAAAACAAACTGAGCGACGTAGGACCCCGGATTCTCAGATGACAGCGCCATGAGGCCCTCTTGGATGGCAGTACAAGGATAGATATCTTCGATCGCACCGACATCAACCTGAGTAGCGGCAGCAACTTCGCGTTGCACTGCTTCCAGTGAAGCCGCTTGGGACAACAATGAAAATGGGCGAACAATTGTGACCGCAGCTCGAGACAGGGGTAAGGCTGACTGGGCCATGTCCAGAAGCGAAACCATCTGAAAGATTCGAGTGACAGTGAGATTGATATTTGACTTTTTTGCCAACGTTACCAACTGCATCGCTGCGATAGAGTCACCGCCAAGTCTAAAGAAGTGATCATCGACTCCAATAGAGCTTACATCGATGTTTAGCACCTTGGCCCACATGGCAGCCAGCTGCTTCTCCATGTCGCTACTCGGAGCTCGGCCACTCTTTGCAACCAGATTGTAAGAGCTGATGAGCGCTGTCGGAACAGCTTGTGCTAGCGATCGGAGAGCGCGACGGTTCAGTTTCCCTGATGAGGTCATGGGCATCTTAGACACAGGAAACCAGACTGATGGAATCATATACGAAGGAATAGCGTTCAAAAGCAAGGTCTCAATGTCCTTGGCCCGCGTCCTAAGTACATCATCCATAGGAAGCATGGTGCTCTCCTCGCTACCATCTTGGTGGGAGACATTTGCGTCGGCACAAATGAAACATGCCAGTGCTTTCCTGGATTCGAGGGCGGCAAGCTCGACAGCAGAGTCCCAGCCTTGCGGCAGGCTGGCCTCGATATGATACTCGATCTCCTCAAGTTCAATGCGTTGGCCGTGGAGCTTTACCTGGGTGTCTTTGCGTCCAAGGTACGTAATTGTACCGTCAGAGTTGTAGCGCACCAGGTCGCCAGTCTTGTAGAGCTTACGTCCATTATCCCTAGTTGGGAGCATCTCCTGCAAGAAGGTAGGTGGAGGAACAAATGCCTCGGCCATCTTCTCCGGTAGATTGAGGTAGCCACGAGAGACAATGGGACCATCGATGAGAAGCTCCCCCACACAACCAATGGGAACTAAGCGGTCATGATCAGTAGGCTCTACCACCCAAGTGACACAGCCGACGGCACGTCCAATGTTGGTAGCCTTGCCCGGCTGAGCAATTTCACCAGAGTATGTTGAATTGACGGAGCACTCCGATGGTCCATAGCAACACTGCAGAGACACAGAGTCGCGCCATATACTAACACACTTCTGAGTAACAGCCTCGCCACCCAGAGCCAAAGTCTTCAACGTCGGGACATCGGCAGGGTTGAGTAGACAAGCAACAGTTGGAGTGATGTCAACCATTGTCACATGATAACGGTTGATAGCCCCGGCCAAGTCATGGAACCTCTCGTGTTCTGATGGCACGCAGACGCAGCCTCCAAGAGTAAGCGTACTGAAGATCTCAGCAAGACTGTTATCGAATGTGTAGGAGGCGAATTGAAGTACTCGCGAACTTTCGCTGTAGCCAAGTTTGGGACCGGAGCACGTGGCATTGGTAGCAAGACCTCTATGCTCTAGTACCACACCCTTGGGACGGCCAGTGCTTCCAGAGGTATAGATGACGAAGCATGCATTGTGAGGCTTGACCTGAGGAAGAGGGGTGTGTTGTGAGGTGGTCTCGAGGAGAGACTTATCCACGACAACTGTTGTATCGACTATCGTTCTAAAGCGAGACGCCATCTCGGGGGGAACGAGTGCGACAGGAGCACGCGTGTCCTTAGCACGTAGTCTGATAGCAGCATCAGGATGAGCTGGGTCTAGGGGAACGCACGCTCCGCCAGCCTTGAGGATCGCCAACATAGCGATAATCGTAAAGGCTGACTTGTCAAAGCAAACGAGTACAAAGGTCTCAATGTCAACACCTAGGGTAGCAATGTGATGAGCAAGGTTAGTCGATGCCTCGTCTAGCTCAGCATAGGAGAGTTCCATGTCCCATGAGGCAATAGCCTGGGCATTGGGACGCAACTTCACCTGCTGATGGAACAGGTCGTGCACACATCTCTCAACCGCTTCGGGCATGTGTTCATTCCACTGTGAGATTTGTTGGAGGTGATATGGACCGAGATGGTCGAGCTGAGAAACAGGCCGATCAGCGTGGTGCAAGATGTTGCTGAGCGCCGTAGTAAAAGCGTGCGCAACATTCGTAGCTTGAGCGTCTGACATAGTATCAGACCAATACATCAAGTCAACAGCCATGTCATGTTCATCGGCTTCGATATTGACGGACACATTGTACTCATCAGGATCGTATGTGGGACGAACTTCCTCGAACACAATGTCTGGAGGGTTCTGCGGTACGGGTGGCAGTTTTCTGTACGACAGCGCTGTGTTGAACAAAGCCGTGTCAGAAAGCTGCAAGGCGTGTTGGACTTGGGCAAGGGGAGTGTGACGATAGTCCAGGCTGTCCAGGAAGTCCTTTTGCACGAGCGCCACCACGCCGCCAAGAGTTGTCGAAGCACCGATGTTAACACGGCAGGTCACCATGTTGATAACAGGTCCGATGACGTCGCTGATACCGTCGATCGACAAGTCGCGCGCAGAGGTAAGATGACCGAAACAAACTTCATCTGAGGCGGTGTAAAGACGTAGCACCAGCCCCCATGCGGCATAGATGGCGTTGACAATGGTGACACCGCGCTTGTCACACAAGCTCTGGAGCTGATTCAACTCGTCAAACTTGACTCTGAAGTTTCTCAGCTCCTTCGTCTCCACAACTTCACCGTCATCGAGTATGGGGAAGTGACACGGCTCCACACCCATCAGGTAGGACTTCCAATACTCGATGCCTGGTTCTGATATCTGGTTCTGGAGATACCTCACATAATGGCTGTACAAAGGACCCTTGTTCGATCCAAGCATGCCGGCGTACGCAAGGGAGAGGTCGCGAAAGAGAATGGAGAGCGAAGTTCCGTCCATGATAATGTGGCTGATATCAAGCTTGCAAAAGACCTTGCCTGTCTTGGACTTGCAAATCTCAAAGACGTGAAGCAGGGGAGTGTAATCTTTGTGGTTTCGTGGCACATCGAGGTGGCGGACTACCTCTTCGTCTGTGTCCCTTTCAGACACGATGAGGGGAGCTTGAACGTCTCTCAACACCACTTGATCATAAAGGGAATCTTCAAGGGTCACGCTCTCTACAAAGATAGTTCGCAGCATGGGATGGTACTCAATCATTCGCCGCCAAGCGCTTTCTAGCTTCGCCACATCCACTGGTAGACCACTCCTAGTCCTGACCTCATGGATTGTATACGCAGCGTAGGTAGCGCTGTCTTTTGTCGTGCTAACCAACAAGCCTGATTGCATCGGGGAGCAAGGGTATGCGTCCTCCACTCGACTGATGTCGTCAATGCCGGCCTCGGGTAATATCTCCTCCATGAGCAGACGAAGACGATCGTAGGTGAGAGACAGAAGCGGAAAGTCGCTTAATGTTGGCTCGGGGGCCATAACGGACAGTGACTCGATCAGGCGGCCAAGGCTCTGTTGGCACGAGGTAATCCACTGTCGAATCTCTTGCTGGTATTTCATGTTTTGGTTGAATAAGAATGAGAATCGCAGCGTACCCTTGATGATGACTGCAGATACTTCGAACAGTGAAATGCATGTGGTCATTGGACCGACATCGGCGCCGTCGGTAGCGCTCCTAACCTCTCCAGCGATATCGCCGACTGGAGTAAAGAGGGCACCCTCACGCTCGAGTTGTTGATATTGACCGAGGTAGTTAAACGTGATCTCCAATGGCCAGTGACGCGAGAAAGCCTTGTCACCCTCCTGTGTCAACCAACGGCTCGCAAAGTATGGTCTTCCGTTGGCAGGAATCTTGCGTCGGCCATCCTTGACCATCTTGATAGTGTCGATAAGACTAGAAGATGCTTCAGAGCCTGCAAAGACAGGGTAGATTGTTGTAAACCATCCGACCACATTCGACAAGTCGGTGGAAAGGTCCCACGCCTCTCTACCGTGGCCCTCAGCAAAGATGGCCGGGATGGAACGGTCGGTGAATGTCTGACCAAATGAGAAGATCATAGCGGCCATAAGAACGTCTGGGATCTCAGTCCGCAAGGCTTCGTGACACTTGGATAATATGAGAGACGTCTGTGCAGGCCCAATCTCGAAGCCTTTACCAGTCATCTGTCCATAGGTATTGGGTACATCTTCCATGCCCCAGTAGCTGGCGTTGCCATCAGGGACACCGTAAATGGGGAAGGCCTGTTCCGGTGTCTGTGCAAGAGCATGATCTTGTTGCATCTTACACCAGGTTTGGAAAGGTAAAGGACGATCGATATCACGGACAGCCTCAGGTCGTAACAGCAACTCCTCCAGTTCCTGGAGAATAATTCTCCAGGAAACGAGGTCGATAACGAGATGATGTGCGACCATAAATAAACGCTGTTGCTCCCCAATCTCGTCGATGAGGTCAACGGCGATGAGCGGGCCACTGGAAGCGTCAAGACATGTCTGACTGTCCGCGAGCGAATGTTTGAGCTCATCGCCCGATGCCACTTCAATTGTACGCAGCCGATAAGAGGTTACAACCTCGTCAGTTACTCGCTGGTACCAATTTCCATCGGCATCCCCACTAAACCTGGCACGAAGCATAGAGTGCCTTCGTATGGTGATCTCCATGGCCTTGCGCAAGTCTGCTTCGATAATATGCTGACTCGTACGAAGCAGGAAACTCTGATTGTAGTGGCCCTGATCATGGTTTGGTCGCGAGAAATACAGTTTCTGAATGGGCGAGAGTCCGAAGGGCACGTCCACACACTCTTTTAATAGTGTCGGCTTCTCGATATCCCTCACTTGTCGTGCCAGTTCAGTGATGGACTTGCAAGTGATGATGTGGGAGACGGTCAGACCCAGACCGCGCTTCTTGCACTCACTCATGACTTGCATAGCAGAGATGGAGTCGCCACCGACACTCAGGAAAGACTGATTGAGGCCAAGTTGTTCTGATTTAAGGTTCAGTACGTGAGTCCAGATGTTGTGTAGCTCGGACTCCGTCTCGTTCGAAAATGTCAGGGCTTTGGCATTGCCATTGACAGCGACTGGGTTGAGCCGCCGGTAGAAGTCTTCTGTCATGTCTTCAACCCACTGTCCTGTCTGCTTGCGGTCAAGCTTTCCTGATTGAAGTCGAGGGATGAACTCGAGTGGGAGCCACATAGAAGGAACCATATATGCAGGTAGCCTCTCAGAGAGGAATGCCTTTGTCTCTTCAACCTTGATAAGCGCGATACTAGCGAGGGGACCGTCGATCAGCTTGTAAGCCTGACCTTTTGGTACCAGATCATTGGATGAAGCATCGGTGAGCTGGACAATAGCCAAGAGTCTGCCTTCGCAGAACCCTTTCTTGGGAAGAACAACCATACCATGCTTGATGTTGAGGCTGACGTTGATGTGGTGCTCGATCTCGCCGAGCTCAATGCGCTGACCATGAAACTTGATCTGAGCGTCCTTGCGACCGGCAATATGAAAAGTGCCGTCATGGTTATATCGGACGAGGTCGCCAGTTTTGTACATCCTCCGAGGCCTATCACGTTGTGACTGATGGTCTGTCCAAGCAGGATCAACAATGAAAGCCTCGTCGGTCTTCTCCGGCTCTTTGTAGTATTCTCGCGCAAGCGTATGGCCTTCAATCACCAGCTCGCCGACCGCTCCAATAGGCATGAGACGGTCGTGATCATACCGGTCAACAACCCAACAATGGACACCAACCTGATGGCCAATGTTCAACGGGTTCTTGCCCTCTACCATACCACGATGGACATGCGAGACAACAGAAGTTTCCGCAGGTCCATAGCAGTTGATAAGATTGATGTGGGACCATGACCGGATGACAGCTTGGGTCATGGCTTCTCCACCTGTGACAAGAGTCCTGAGAGATGGGACATTGGTGGGGTTGATGAATTTGACAAATGTTGGTGTCAATAGCGCCCAGTTAGCTTGAAGCTGGGCAATAGCCTCCTCGATAGCATTTAACCTGGCTTCCTCATTGGGGATACAAACACATCCTCCCAGGATCAAGCAGGTTAGGATCTCAGTAATGCTCACATCAAATGTCGATGCGGCAAATTGAAGTGAACGTGTGTTGTTGTCCATCATCATAGCAGGTCCATGGGTAAGGGCGCTTGACAGAAGAGCGCCATGCTGTATCAAAGCACCCTTGGGTTCTCCTGTGGTGCCAGACGTGAAGATCATGTAGGCGCCGTTGTTCCAAGATCCACAGGAGACCTCTTCGCTGTGCTCAGCCAATCTCTCGAATAGCTGCGCATCGACGGGGATCAGCTCAGGAACTAAACCCCCTAGCATATTCTGGTGTTGGGGGGAACACAGGATAGTCTTGGCTTCTACCTTGTTTGACAGAGCTTGCAAGCGTAGTAAGGGCTGGGTAGGGTCAAACGGGACGAATATTCCACCGGCCTTGAGGATCGCTAGCATGGCGACGACGGTCCACTTCGACTTGTCAAAGCAAATAGGCACAAAGACTTCACGACCAACACCCATTGTCTGCAGATGAGATGCAAGCCGATCTGATAAGGAAAGGAGCTGCAAGTATGAGAGGCTGCCGTCCCAAGCACAGACAGCCTCTGCATCAGGACGTATGGTGCCCTGTTCTGAGATGGCTTGGTGGATACATCTCTGCACATGGCTCATTGGAAAGTCGTTCCACGCCAGGATCTGTCTCTCATCATACTCGCTGCAGCATTTGAGGGTGGAAATGACTCTCTCCTGGTGTGCGACAATTTCTCCAAAGATCTTGGTGTAAGTGTTGCTGATGCTCTCCGCTTGCGTTCGTGTCATAAAGCTAGGGTTCCATGATAGAACCGTTTTGAGGGTGACAGGATCAACGCGCATTTGGATTTCGCACCATGAAGAGAAAGTGGTATTTCCATCTCGTTTCTCATCCAAGCTACAGATGGAAAAGTTTGTGTTGAAATGTGTCTTGGCCTTACTTTCCGGTACCAGAGTCACTGCAGCATGCTTCCCGGCAAGCAGGCTCTGAACAGTCTGATCGGCAAGAACATGCACCTGCATGGCATATGTGTGACCATCTGTGCTGCAGCGACCTGGTTCACCCGCGATCTTGTGCTCACTCTGGAATTCGAAACATACATTATCGAGTCCCGTGAAGCACCTGAGGAGGATGGCCCAGGCTACGTACAATACATCACACTGAGCCTCGTGAGACGGAACAAGACCTTCGGTGATACCTTTAGTTTCCAGACGTCCTGGAATATCAGATATAGAACTCTGATTTTCCTCACCAGTTTCAGACGCTGGAAAGATGGTCGGCTCCATAGCTGCCATTACCTTACCCCCGATGGTAGCGCAGCCACAAGTTGTTAGGGCCATTTGTGTATAGGCACGGTGGTGGTGGTGGTAGGTATGAAGTAACAAAGTGTTGTTCTTGATTTAGAGCAACGCGTAACTTAGAGTAATAGGTATGTCAGATCGATATCACCTGTGAATGCTTCTATCAATCTGGGTATAACGAAGTTCGATTAACGTTTCGTGCTTCACATGGGTGAAAAAAGCAAGTGGGACGCTTTTGCTTGTATGGATAACGAAAGACGGATATATCCTTGCCTGTGAAACAGACTAGATCATACGAGATGGGAAAAGCTCGCCATTCAGGGAGGAAGCCCAGGTGATAATAATTCGACCTAACCGTTCCGGGCGTCTTAGCCTCCAGCTGAATAGCCACTTGGCAGAGTTCTAGTTTCATTACACGCATGGTGCGTTGAAGGTCAGGGGCACAGTAGTTGCTACGCAGTCTATGACGAGATTGCTAACAATGGAGACTCTTTCGTTTCTTTTGCGCTCAAGCAGCACCCCCTGGCCTCCACTTGTTCATCCACCCCTTTACATAGAGAAGACTTCGACTGGTCAGAAGGAGGTGGCTGGCTTTCCTCTGCTGCACACCTCGACAGTTTGCAACGTCTAGCCCTGGGCAACAGACGACGACCGGCATCACCGGAGCGCTTTACCCTCCTACTTCCCGGTTATTCTAACTTATGTCACGATACGTTTTTGGAATGGCAACTATGCTTGAACCGTCGCTGTGCCATGGCATTGCTTCAACTTTTTTATGCTATATTGGGAGTCTATTGCTACCTAGCTACACCCACATCATTACCAGCGAAGCCAGTCAGTTGGTGTGTACTTCCAAAGAAATGCCCAGCTGTTCTTCAAGTCCTTCTATTGGAAGCTTGATTATGATATTTGTATATACGAGAACGCGGTACATACAGCTTGTTATTGAAAACAAGGATACGCAGTTGGCCGAGTATACCAAGTATGATTGAGTGAAAATTTTATTATGCAACTGGATGTGATCAACATGGTGCAAATCATATCATGTTGGCAAAGTAATAGACTGATCTAAATGAGACATTCGACCCCTGTCGTGCTCAGCTTCAGGGTAGCTGATTGGTGTATATGTGGTCCAAGCTAACAGGGTGAGGCCCTACCAACGAGACGAAATTGCGGAACTTCAACGGCCACTACAGTCTGGAATTCACGTCTAGTATGCACATGCTGGAGCGCCGTTGACGTCGGCAAATAGAACGAGTAGACGAGGTCTTTTGTTTTCTGATCCACTCTGCCGCCGGACAGACAGTCTTCCGTACGGCACAGTTATTTCAGCTGTGCTAGGTTGGCGTTGGGAAGTCCAATAGAAACCACAAATCGTTAGGTGATAAATCATCATGAATGGTTTCACTGTAAAATGAATGCAGGTGCGGAACCGCATCAACATGTCCGCCTCTGGAAGCAGGGGTTTGTCCGGTAAGTTGAAGATATTGCACGATCCATCCAATAGGCATACCCTACAGAGGTGTTGGAAACGGTACGAAGTCCGTGAGTTCGATGTGGATCTCGGGTTGCAGTGCAGGTCAGAAGTTAAACTTCATGACACTTCAGTACCACAAAAAGTCTAGAACATTGCTTGTTTCTTACAATGGTTACATGAACACCTTGAGGTTACATTCAAGACCACGTCGTGCGGCATCGTGTAGACTCCGTATCGAGATCTCCCGCCTCGGAGGGAAGACCTGACTGAGAGCGCTTAGCCCTATCTGTATTAGTCGGTCGGCAAATGGCGGGGCTCACCGGAGATGGTTTAGTTGTGGCGCTAAGAAAAAGAAACAAAACCAGGCTTATCCGCCTAGATTCCATTTTAAGCGCAGTGTCCACACGGAACGGGTTCCGACCACTTCCGTTTATGACTGGTGACAAGGGTACAACAAAACTGGACGTCGCGCTGGAGCAAATCCCCCGTTCAGATGGATCAATGTTTTTCAGCTTGCACGTCATTCCCCGTTGCAGCTTAGGCGTCCCGTCCCGTCCCGGGCCGTTTTTAGCCAGTTACGCCTGATGGAACCATGTCATGTCAGGAAGCGCTGGTTGAACCCTTGACAAGTTGGTTGGAAGGATTGTCGAAATTTAATCTGGCTAGACCAAGAGCTAGATGCACTCGTTCCATTGTTTTTCTCGTATCCAGCTTGCCCCTCTTATTCTGACCTTCTTTCCCCATTCCCCGTCCGCTCATCCACTTTGCCTCTTGTAAGCGAGCTGCAGGGTAAATCGATTGTCTTGTCACCCATTTTGGACGTCCGCTGAAAAGCAAAAATCATCATTCTAGCGACTCAACCAAATCTAACTTGGGTCAACGTACTATTGGTACTGCTAACCACCAACAATGAATTCGTCTCGGTGTAACGAGTCTTTCGGCCCCTACGCCAACGGCTGCAGAAGCCGGTTTGATTTTACTCTGCTTTTTGAAGAATCTATACTCATCCTGCCGATCACGGTTTTGTTTCTACTTGTTGCCCCTTGTCGAGCTACTTATCTCCTGCGCAAGAACAAAGTAAAGGTTGAGATTAACTACTGGCTTTATTGCAAGATCGCAAGTCGACGTCCTAAAAAATTATAATTGTCTATTTTAACAACTTGCAGATAACATCCCTGCTTCTGCTGGCGTCTCAGATCGCTCTTCTCTTCTACTGGACACAACCCTCAGCTGTCGCTACGAAGGCCTCTCTACCAGCTGCCGCCTTGTCATTTGTTGCATCAATAAGCCTATTGGGGTTATCCTATGTCGAGCATGTCTATTCATATCGGCCCTCCACTGTGCTCAACCTCTTCTTACTTTTCTCAGTGCTTTTTGATGCTACGCGAACACGAACGCTGTGGCTTCAAGGCTACAATCGCCCTCAAGCCATTGCTGCTCTTGTAGCAACAGTTATCAAGATTCTTTTGTTAGCTGTAGAGGCCATCGAGAAGCGTAAATTCTTGCGACCGCAGTATCGGGATCTACCTTCAGAAGTAACGAGCGGTGTGTTCTCGCACTGGTTCTTCTCTTGGCAGCTTCCTCTGTTCCGGGCTGGTTATTCTAATACCTTACAGATTGGGAGTTTATTTCCACTCGAAAAACATTTCAAATCTTCATATCTGCAAAGCGAGCTGCAAGATAGGTGGGGGAAAAGTTCGTTGTCGCTAATAAGTCGTAGTGAATATTACTAACATCTGAGTAGCTTCCATGAAAGGGGATTACGCTTTGATGTTCACAGTCTTCAGAACACTCAAGGGACCTCTCCTTGCAATTGTCTTCCCCCGATTATGTTTCATTGGCTTCACATTCTGCCAGCCATTTCTCATTTCAGCCACGTTGGCATGGGTGGAGAGCGATAAGAACTCTGATGACACGAGCAAGGGCTATGGCCTCATAGGTGCTTGGTTCCTTGTCTTTGTTGGATTGGCTGTAGGTCCACGCTGCTCACAGCTTTCGGTACATCTTCCTGACCCATCATATTATAGGTCACCACCGGGCAATACCAGCACATGACTGTCCGCGCCACTACCATGGCACGTGGCCAACTTATCTCAATGTTGTACGACAAGGCTACGGATATGAGCATCACTGCTGCCAATCCCACAGCAGCCCTGACACTTATGAGTGCCGACATTGAAAGGATCGACACAGGATGGCGGACAGCTCATGATGTCTGGGCAAATTTGATCGAGATTGTCATTGCGGTCTACTTACTTGGACGTCAGCTTGGCTTGGCTTGTCTCATTCCTGTGGGAGCGGCTATATGTAAGCCTCCGTACCAAGTTGCTCGCGACACTTACTAATATTCTCTCGATGCAGTCTCCATCGTCGGCTCTGTGATTGCTGTTAGCTTCGTCATGGCACGTCAGGCTATCTGGCTTGAGGCAATCGAGAGGAGAATCTCCGTCACATCTCAGATGTTGGGAAGCATGAAAGGCGTTAAGATGTGCGGTCTATCCTCTGTCCTTGGTACTCGGATCCAAGCTATGCGTGAAGAAGAATTGCACATCTCAGGCAAATTTCGCAGACTGTTGATCTGGAATATGGTCTTGGGTCAGTACTTGAAAACTTGTCATCCATTTACTCGAAATCATACTGACTTGGACACTTGTAGCTTACCTCGCTCCTATTTTTGCTCCGATTCTGAGCTTTATGACATATAGTCTTCTAGCTCAATCCCAAGGAGGAAGAGGAAACTTGGATACGAACCGAATGTTCACATCCTTATCACTATTCGCACTCTTACAAGATCCCCTGGCGTCTTTCGTCACCGCACTATCATCCTTCATGGGATCTGTTGGAAGCTTTGTACGCATTCAAGCTTTTCTGAAATCAGTGCCCCGCGCCGATGATAGGATCATTCGAGACCGTGGAAAGACATCTAGCTCTTTGGTCTCTAAGACATCAACTACCGAGCAAGAAAAGGGTAGCGTTTCACCCTCCACAGAGCCCAAGATGCTGGTAGATGATCCAATTGGAGGTTTGCTTGACGGCAATAGCGTTGTCGTGAAGGACGCTTCTTTCGGATACGACAAGAACAAGAAGCCGGTCTTGAGCAATATTGACGCCGTGGTTCCCAAGGGTAAGCTCACTCTTGTAGTGGGACCCGTCGGAAGTGGCAAATCAACGTTTCTCAAGGCGATTCTCGGAGAAGTGAGCGTTATGAAAGGTTCCGTCCATGTTTCAAACACTGACGTTGCCTTCTGCGATCAAACCCCTTGGCACATGAATGGTACAGTCCGTGATAGCATCATCGCCTTTTCTCACCCGGACGAGCGCTGGTACCACAAGGTATTGGAAGTTTGCGCTTTGAATCAGGACCTCGCTCATCTGCCCCAAGGCGATCTTAGCAATATCGGAAGTAAGGGTATTGTCCTTAGTGGAGGTCAGAGTCATCGAGTCAGTCTGGCAAGAGCAGTGTATGCTCAACGACCCACGATTGTTCTTGATGATATCTTCAGTGGTCTGGACGCTCATACCGAGAACGCTGTGTTTAACAACCTTCTCGGCAGTCATGGCATTTTGCGAGATCTGAAAACGACTGTGATTATCGCATCTTCTCGTTGTACGTATGATAGTCTGAGATCTTGAGGGGATATAACTAACTACGATACAGCCAATCGGCTCCCATATGCAGACCACATCATTTGCCTTGATGGCACTGGCACAGGCTGTATCCAAGGCAGCTTCGGGAAGCTTAGAGAGTCTGACAATTACGTTTCTCGTTCTTCCGCATCAGCAGTAGACGGGAAGCAATTGAAAGAGGCTGGTACTACTGCCACTCCTGCATCTGCCGCTCCCGAGTCTACTGATGCGCTACCAACATTAGACACGGCCCTGCTTGATCCTGAAGATGGCAGCCCAAGCCGCCGCACCGGCGACGTAGCAATATATATGTACTACATCCGTGCTATTGGCTGGATCCCGACGATGGTCTTCGTTCTAGCTATCTGCGCCTACATTTTCTGCCAGGCGTTTCCTACCATCTGGCTTAATTGGTGGGCGGCTGCTAATGCGAAAGAGCCTTTCACAAAACTTGGTTACTACCTCGGTATTTACGCCATGCTCGGTGGGCTATCCATCATTTTCTTGGTTTTGAGCACCTGGCAGATGATTGTTACAATGGTACCACTATCCGGTAACAATTTCCACCAAAGCTTGCTGAACACAGTCCTCGACGCACCCATGTCATTTTTCGCAGCCAATGATTCTGGGGCAACCATCAACCGATTCAGTCAGGACTTGCAGCTCATCGACATGGATTTGCCACTCTCTGCCCTCAACACCTTTGCCACGTTCGTGCTTTGTATCGCTGAGATGATTCTCATTGCTGTCGGTTCCTATTACACGGCCATTGCGTTCCCTTTTCTGTTTGCGACGCTGTGGGTTGTTCAGCATACTTATCTCCGAACATCACGTCAGCTGCGGTTTATGGATCTTGAAGCGAAGAGTCCACTTTACGCCCTCTTCACGGAGTCTGTGACTGGCCTAGCGACACTACGTGCATTTGGGTGGCGCGAAGCTCTTGAGACAAGACACCATGAGCTTCTGGACAGGTCTCAAAGACCATTCTACCTTCTTTACGCCGTGCAGAGATGGCTTACCCTCGTTCTTGACATGATTGTCACTGTCATAGCTGTGTTGGTCGTGGTGATTGTCACTCAGCTAAGAGGTATCCTACCAGCAGGATTAATTGGTGTCGCGCTCGTCAATATCATTCAATTCAGTCAGCATCTCAAGTTGTTGATGACGTTTTGGACAACACTTGAGACTCATATTGGCGCAATCTCTAGAATCAAGTCCTTCACGACAGACACTGCCTCTGAACATGAGCCGCAAGAGAAGGAGCAACCTCCATCCACATGGCCGTCTGAAGGTACAATCGTATTCGATCGAGTCTGGGCGGGATATAAGTAAGTTCACGGTCGGCCTGTCAATAAACATGAATGCTCATGTTGACTTCTAGGGAATCTGAACACGTCCTCAAGAATGTTTCACTATTGATCGAAGCTGGACAAAAGATTGGTATTTGTGGACGTACTGGAAGGTAAAACGGTCTATGTACTTTATGAACTACGTTGCCTAACTCGTTTTCCCTAGTGGTAAAAGTTCCATGGTGTCGGCCATCTTCCGTATGGTAGATATCCACAGTGGTCGCATACTGGTAGATGGCCTTGACATCAGCACCATCCCCCGCGAGGAGATTCGCAGAAGACTCATCGGTGTACCCCAAGATGCATTCCTCATTGAAGGAGGTAGCGTGAGGCTGAACGCTGACCCTGCTGGAGGTCTTTCAGACGCCGCCATTGAAGGCGCCTTAAAGTCTGTTGACCTCTGGGAAATTGTAACCAAGAAGGGCGGCCTCGATGCGCTTATTGAAGAGCTACATCTTTCGCATGGTCAGAAGCAGCTCTTTTGCATCGCACGAGCTATTGTACGTTCATCGCCAATTGTAATTCTTGACGAGGCGACAAGCAGGTATGCGTTCTTATTTCCAAAAAGAAATTCACATGATACTAATTATATTGCCAGTGTTGACGCACATGTCGATGAGCTTATTCAACGTCTGGTACGTGAGAAATTTCAGGGACGCACTGTCATTTCGGTTGTCCATAAGCTCCATTCTGCTCTAGATGACTTTGACATGGTTGCTGTCCTTGACGCGGGCGAACTCCAAGAATTCGGAACGCCTCGAGAGCTGCTGGCAAAGGGACCCCGGATTTCTACTTTTGCTTCGATGTACAACAGCCTCATGGCATAAAGAAGCAGCACAGTAGATGTGTGGCAAACTGAATCCCAGTCCAGCCATTGAATGACCTCAAAACCTGCAAACAGCTTATGTAGATCACTATACTTTCTTGTACGATTGAATGTCAAGCTTCTATGGGCTCGTGTGAATACCAACCTTTCTAATGATCTACTTATATCAGGCTTTCTGGTTTCAATTTGGCCATCGTAAGAACACCATCTAAACCTTAGACCCAGAAGTAATATTCAATTGGGGTCCCCCAAGACTGCGGTGCATTTCATAATGGAACGATTAACGGTGGCAAATAAATGGCCCGTGGTAGCACGATAATTCGTTATCCTGGCACATTTAGTTGGCAGAAAAGGTCTGGAACATCTGCGAGCCTCAGACAATGATGTCTGTCATCCCGACCAGGATTTTCGAAACAGGCGGTTACGCTACATTTCATCAAGAAATCGGGACCTACGTGGCATCGGCATCTTGCAGCGTCAATCAGATCATGATCAGAGTTTTTACCGGGATTGTCTCGTGCTTGACTACTGTAACTGGCCTGCAGAACAGGCCATCCGCAACAAGGCGTTTACTAACTCGACATATCACATATGAAGACCTGGTCATATCACCTCATCACGTAACACGACCCCCGTGCAGAAATTTCCTTGCCGCTTGCTCTGATTCTCGGGTACCCTGGTCGTACGGCTGCGGGATCGACACTGCAGCTAAAATAGTTTCTCATCATCCTTTTCACGTACACCCCTCCCCGTAGGCTAAAATATGCATCTTCTATCCGCTCACCTTCGCGTTTTGTCTTGTGCCTTGGAAGTCCTTTTCTTCTTGATCCAAGTTACCCCGGTCAGATCATACTGCTGGCGTGGTGGGTCTGTACCTCAGTTTTTCTATGTGCTGTAAAGGATCTTTGGTTGGACCGCACTATGTGGACGTTTCCGCTTTGTTATTTCTGGCCATATGTTGGGTGTAAAGAGACAACTAGGCTAATTCAGTGAGGCGAGCTATTTCCCAATGCAACCGTAATTCAGGCAATCTATTTATCCATGTAGATGTTTCTCCCAAACTGCACACTCATTCACGACTTGGAGCTCATGCCACCTACTGATTTCTTGTAATCATGCGGCTCATGGTATGCATACCAGTCGTTTGTCTGACTCTTGGTCGAGTTTTGGCTCGTCCTGGTTTCGATGGTCCTGCAGCACGATACCATTCTTTAAATCGTTACGAACCCGAAACATCGGAATGTGCCTCCAGCAAGGATGTTCCTGTCAAGGCGCCATGGAAAAACATTTTCCAGAGTCTTGCAGATCAGGAGTATGCTGATGTTACTGCCTATCTCCACAAACAGGATGGACTCAATCTCACTGCCATTGTGAACTCAACATCGTAAGCCCCCTGTATCTCATTTATTTATCCGGATGTCTGATTGGCCAACCACCTCACATCCTCCGCTTTCGCTTTCTTGTGGTAACATTGTTTGATAATTGCATACAGTTGGGACAATGTTATCGTCTCTCTAGACTTGTTGCAGCCAAATAAGACCGATGCCTTGACATACCTTGAAGGTAATGGACCAGCTCCAACTCGCTATGCTCGGGCTACACTGCAGTTCAACTCTCAGGTACAACCCTACATTCAAGAGTACATCGTGGGTCCATTGCCTGTTCAGGAAGGGTCAACTCAATACGAGGAGCTCAACTATATGTTCACCTCTGGCCGAGGTCGGACTAACGTCTACAACGCTGATTCTGAGGCTATTGCTGCTTTCAACTTGGAGGTTGGAGCGGACATTCAGGATATCACCAAGAAACTTCTCAATGGCGTAAGAATTCCTCTTTGACTGGCTTGCAGCCTCAGCTAATGATTAATAGACCGCTACAGGTACCGAAGACGACAGCCTCTTGATCGCAGGCAGCGACCCATTGATCCACCATGGGGACCGGGTTTATCAGTGGAATGAGTTTTACTCTGCACACAGAGGTGAATTCTTTTCTGAGACCATATTGCCCACTAGTTTGCAGTTCAAAGTTGACATTACTGGCCGAGATCCTTCTAAATGGAGGGTCGTTGGTTGGTACTACGATGGCAACTATTGGCCCACGACTGCTGAGTTCAAAGCGGCCGCGGAGGCACTGAGACGAAGACCAGGGCCTAATGTCGACGGAATGTGGACTTCTACTGATCAACAGGGCGAGAAGCTGCCTCTGGACCACCTGTACCCTCCCACTGCCGTTCAGCCTGATGGTCCGCGGTTTAGTCTGGACAGAGAAGAGAATTACGTTGAATGGAGTAAGTACAATTGAGATATTGATTCACTGGCCTTTAATTGACAACTATACAGTGGACTTTGGCTTTTTTATCTCGAATCACAAGGAGACTGGTCTCCAGCTCCATGATGTCAGATACAAAGGCGAGCGTATCATCTATGAACTCGGCCTCCAGGAAGCCATGGCGCACTACGCGTCGCAAGACCCACTGCATGCCTCATCGGCATATCTTGATACCTCCTACGGCATCGGGACCAGCCAATGGAACCTCGTCGATGGTTTCGACTGCCCTTCCCATTCCACGTATCTCAATACATCATTCTACATCAGTGAGATGACCCACATCCACCCCAACAGCTTGTGTCTTTTCGAGCATGACACTGGATATCCCATCCAGCGCCATCTGACAGGAACTTATGTTTCCGCGACTAAGAATATTGTTTTTAACGTTCGTAGTGTCTCTACGGTCGGGAACTATGACTATCTCTTTGAGTATACCTTCCATTACGACGGATCCATCAGCGTCACTGTCCGTGCATCTGGCTACATTCAGGGTGCCTTCTGGTCCGGAGATGGTGATTACGGGTTTCATATCCATGACAAGCTATCAGGTTCTATGCATGACCACGTGATCAACTTCAAGCTTGACTTGGATATGAAGGGCAGAAAGAACAGCTTGTTGAAAACAGAGTTTGTACCAATTACTAAAGTGTAAGTATCCTTTGTTTTGTTGAGAACAGTGTAGGGCAGTGGACTGAAATTAATAGGTACCCATGGTCTGAGGGACAGCCCATCAACACGATGAAGACCAAGCGATCTTATGTCACGAATGAAGACGGCGGCAAGATCACGTGGGCAAAGAACGGAGCCGCTGCATATGCTGTTGTCAACAAGGATGCGATAAACGATTTTGGAGAGGCGCCTGGCTACGCGATCTCCCCAAGTGAGTGATTCTTCATCAAGCAATGTGATTGATACTGATAAACGTTACAGACAGCGGCAGTACAGGCCATCTGACCGTTCAATCATCTACAGCCCTTGGACAGTCGGCCAACTGGGCAAATCATAACATCTACGCGCTGCAGCAGCATGATACCGAGCCAAAGAGCGCCTACGCCTTCAATAGTTACGACCCTCACCATCCAGCCGTAGACTTTAACGAGTTCTTCAACGGCGAAAGTCTTGATCAAGAAGACATTGTCTTGTAAGTATTCATATCAATTGTTCTCTCCAATACCAAATACTAATTCTTATAATAGATATTTCAATCTGGGCATGCACCACCTTCCCAACACCGCCGATCTGCCCAACACTGTGACCACAAAAGCGGTTTCGTCGATCATCATCACGCCTCAAAACTACTTCTCAGGTGACATTTCGCGACGCACAATGCATCAAGTTCGTGTTTCTTATGATGAGAACTCTAATGTTACGGATGTAAAGATGTTTGGCGCGAAGCAACCTACTTGTGCATTCGACATGAAGAACGTTGCGCCCAAGTTGGATACATTTGTTGGAGAGCTTCAGATACCCAAGTTTCCATTTAACCCTAGTGGTAGTCTTCAGACGAACCCTGGTGGTTAAATGTTTTAATAATGGAGGATATTCGGGCACTTGCACTTGTTGGGCTTTTCAACTCATATGAGACTTAGTATGAGCTGTTGCTACATCCATGAATATAATCACCTCACTATTCTCTAAGCCTAATCATAATGAGGTCGTCTAAAATTATCGTTTGCTGCCGTGATGTCATATGATGAAGAATCTAGCGTCTCTGGGAACCGGACAACACTGTGGTAAGTAATCCCATAAATGTCGTGTGTTTCTTGTCTGCCTCTACTATCCGCTAGTTCTCTTAGGATGCCCTTCTAGCCTTCAATCTCTAGCTTTTTCTGAGCCAATCTCAAGAGCCAATTCTTCTCCCCAACCTTACTCTCATACATAGAGAGCGTTTCGGTGACCGAATCCTGCAACCCTACAGCTATTTTCTTAGCATACTCCAACCCCCCGGCAGCGATCATGTCCTCCAATGCGAGCTTGCGAACTTCGGGACACAGTCCATTGCCGCACTTGCGCTGCTGTAGTATACTTAGAAGGCGGCCCTGCTGAGGCGACTTGGTGGCGAGGGCGTGGATGAGCGGAAGCGATATCTTTCCCTCGCCGATGTCTTGAGCGAAACCCTTCTTTTCCTTGTACTACCCATATTATTAGCAATTGGAGCTACGTATATGGAGTTGAATTTGAACATACCTCGTCGCAGAGAAGGTTCTGGTAATCATCGCGTGCTTGAAAGAAACGACCGACAAGCTTCATCAGCAGACTGACATCGAGATCCCGATGTGTAGTTGCCTCGGAGCGCATCAGCGCAGCCAGCAGAGTAAATAGACTGCCAGTTTCTAATCCGAATCGTCAGTAAACAAGAGACAAATCATCACCAACGCCATGTTTGACTTACTACCATCCACCATAGTAAAGTACTCTTCCTCCGTTGGCACGGATGTATGGTAGGTCCAGTACAAATCCATGCCTTGGCCAATGTGCCCTTCGATGAGCAGATCCAAAAGCATGCGAGAAGCCCTGGACGACAGAGATTCTGCAGCCTTCAAGGCCTTGAGCATCAGTAGGCTAGCTGAGTTGATGGTCTGATTGACTCCGAAGACAACGTGAGTAGCTGGGTATCCTCGTCTGAGGGGAGAGTTGTCCTCGATATCGTCGAACCTTGAGTGAATGTTAGAGATTATCTTCGATGGATAAAGCGTTGGTACTCACATAAGGGAGGCGCTGTGCAAATGATTGATAATGTCGCGAATGGTTGCAAGCGGCTTCTCGGGAACTTGATACCAGACTTCTAATCCGTCTATAACTGCGTTCCTAAATCCCTTAGAAGGCATCATTTCCAAATACTTCTGGGGCTGGAGGATCATCTACTCAATGTCAGACTTGCAATCATTTCGTATCATCGGCCGTATCCACTTACATCCTCGTACTGGCGAATTGACCACGTCTGGCCAAGCTGAGATTTCTGGACGTCGTTGTCGTTGTCGTTGGAGACATGAGGTCGATCATCACTTGTCTTCCACTGATGACTCTCTGGCATGACCTCCTGTGTGGTAGGATCGAGATATTTACGATCGTGAAGGACAACATCTATGTTATCAGCCATTTCTTTGGCGTTGACTGAGATGGGCCTACCAAGGCTCTCGGTATCACTTTCCTTGTCAGCACAATGTTTCCAAAGGGCCGGATACACGTCCGGGGCACCAGCTCGATATCTTGCTGTCGTCATGCTCCAAGCAAAGTTGCCCGCCGTCACGAGGTCCAGTAATTCCAACCACTGTCGTGTTTTCTCCGTAGCAGCACCCTTGGCAAGGAACTCGTCCTTCAGGCTGCAATATTTATCTTCGCGTGATATGATCTCCTTGCGGAGCATTCTTTTGCCCTCTTCTTTCTCGATTGAGTGCCATTTCATGAACAGGAAGATCGAGTTCGCTATCGCACCGGTGGCTCCATTGGATTGGTAGTTGCTCCACTCTTTCTCCCAAGAGAAGTAGTCATTGACAAGAACCCAACTGTCATATGCCGCTGAGGTGATGTCCGCTGTCTTCTTCTCTTCCTCGGGTGTGAGTTTGAAGTCCATGGAAAAGCAGAGGAGACTCATGGTCCAGCTGGGATAGACCTGTCATTAACGAGATCGTCGCGATATGGGTTTTCATACTTACGGGCATCCAGCGTCAATAACACGGAACTTGAGATAGTCATCGAGGACAGTGAACTTCATGTCTCTGATCTGGACGAAAACGTCCGACATCTCCTTCCAAAGACGTAGTGTTTCCTTTGCTTGTTCTTTGTCGACTTCCATTAGTTCCATGACCATCTTGGCCTGTAGTTGGCGTCGCTGGACATGATCCTTTGACTTGGGACCACGGCTTGTGTTGCCTCCCAAGGTCAGGCCCTCCATGAGTTGTTCGTTGGCTTTTTGAAGCTTGATTATCGTCAGACAGTATTCTTAGTGAACAGGTCGGGGCTGGAAGCGTTACATGAGACTCATCCTTCTTCTCGGAATACTCGATAACTAGAAGGTCGTATTAGTATGCGTGGCACGGGAGAAGTCTAGGGGATACTCTTACCATCGTCGTGTATGTAAGCGTACTCAACCATGTACGTTGTAAGGGCAAGCCTGTCGCTCAAAGCTTCACATGCACAAAGAGCAGTGAAGTTGCCTACGGCGGGATTAATGCAGCCTACAGCATAGCTATGGACATCTTTGTTGCGGTCGGCGCCCGCTCGCGCATCTTTGCTCGATTTGAGGAAGTCGACCTGACACTGCCAGGAACCAGCATCTGAAAGACGTGCGTCTCGGTGGATGCGCGGTGCGAAGCGACAAAAGTACTCTTCCCCTTCGTAGGTGTGTCGGGGTAGGGGTAGAGAGTTGCGGATGAACGATTGTTGACTCATAGTTGGCCTGTTGAGAAGGAAGCTTGGGTAGATGGTTGTGTGATGGGGTGTGTTGGTTAGATCTTTTGAGCAACGTGAGCTTCTGTTATATACTCATAATGTCTGTACATCTAATGGACAGGCCGTACTAAGAAGGCAAAGACAAATTTCTAGTCTTGCGGAGACGAGTCCGATGCCGCCGATGAGTGATGATAGACTGAGCCTATGGTAGTGTCCCTTCTTATCGTTGTGGACCACTTCGAGCTGCCCTATCTTGCAGAGCTTCCATCCCAGAACATTTAATCCACTGGCTGTATGATCGCCAATTTCACTGTCTCGGAAGGTTTTCAGCCAGCCTCTGTCCCAGGTATCTAGCATCTAGGATGAATTAATTAGATGCCACTAGAACTGGTCGATGGAACATGACTAGATTGAATATCTCGATCATCCATACGAAAGTCAATCAAGGGTTAAGCGACTTCAGCTTAGCAATCCAGCTGCTAGACATCTCTTTTTGTTACTCGCTTGCTATGTAACTGTACACCTGTCTCCTCTGAGAGACAATCTCCGGTCCCTTGCCTTATTTATCACTCAAGCTGACGAAAGGATGGGGCTTGGGGTCGATTTGCAATTGTAACAGAACTGATGTCCCTTGAATTAAGGCAACGTTTCATACCAAGTCTGACAATGCACGTATTATTTTTGTACCTCTGTGCCATAGGAGACTTTTCTTATTTTGAATTACTTACTGGCTGCAAGAATGTTTCGTAATGTACTACACTTATTATAGCAAGCTACAACCAGGAAAGGTGGTTTTTAGTAGGGCGTTGTTCGGGACTCTGACCACGCTGAGAAGGCTTGCTCTGTGCCTCATCCAAGATATGTACGGGTAGAGAGGGAAGGCCAAGAGCCGCCTATCTACATCCGTCACCCAGGTACTCAGTTTGGAAATTCTGTGAAGGTCCAAGACCCGATCGGCGATACCTCCTCGACGGGATGGGCGAGGCTTGTCGTTTGAGACAGCGGCTCGGGTCGTGACGATCCCGAGTGGAGCTAGTCTAGGTAGCGAGACTAGCTACCTCGCGATCGCTCAGCTTGGTCAAATTTGTGGTGTTCGTCTCATTTTAGTATACACGGGTAGATGGCGGTCAAGTTGACTCAGGTCAGCCGCATTATCGGTCTTACCATTCCCGTCATCAGATCATTTTATATTGACTATCAATGCTGTGGCAGCTACGTCACTGCGTTGACATGATGATGTCGTGCGCGGATACCCCTGCAGACAGGTGAAGTGCAATCGACACTTTCGAGCAGTCGAGTCAAGTTGTACAAATCAAATTGCAACCTGTCCCCGACATGCAAGTTAAGAAAAAGTGTACCTTCTCAAGTGTCTATGGTCTGATTTAAGTTCAGAAGTTAGTATACTGACATGAGCACTCAGAAGTGACTTTCGCTTCTTTTTATTGAAGATAATGTAGGTCCTGGGAGGGTGTCGGGTAGATGTCTTTATCTTATCTTATCATAGCTATCTTATCTTATCTCCAGCCCAGCCTTAGTTAGCAGGTCCATTTCTTCAGCCCAGCAGGATAAGAAGATGACCCACTGTTCCTCAACTCAGGCAAGTCAAGCCAACTCAGGCCTTTGACTTGCTCCTGGTTCCAAGATTTGGTCCCCTGTGCCTCAAGCCTGTGACAAGGTCCGCCTAACTTGACTTTTTAGGAGTGTTGGACTCACTGCATATCAATTTGGGTGGGATTTCAGCCTGCATAATTGGCTTGTCTCAGATGTAATTGCGGCCGGTTCTTCTGGTACCCTGACGACATGCATCGTCCCACCGCAGAGAACATAAGAGATGAAATAATTTGGTCATCTAATGAGAGCTAAGACTAAGTATTAGGCTCTTTTATGGCTGTAGACCAATTCTTAGAGGATGACCCTTCTGACACCCGCCTGCATGCCCTCCCTGTCGCAGGTCTCACTTCTGGTCGATAAGGGTAAGATTACTTGCACGCTCCACTTTTGCGTTCATCCTTCTTCTGGTGTCTTATTAGTCTACAAAACTGGGACTTCCGCTTTTTCCATCTTAAACAGCAGTAGGAAATTAGACAGTACTGTGGCCTCTGCGCATAGCAGTAGCGAACTGTCACGCGCTGTGCCGATCTGTCTTGCAGTAGACAGTTCCGATCTGCAATTGAGATATAGGCAAGGAACTAAGGTGCGGAATATAATAGAATGACGCGATAGAGATACATCAATATATTGACCTTGTGCTATTGTTTCTGTGTTCAATGCCGATCGATTCCTGGAAGAATCTTCAGTTGTTCTGTACTAAAGAATGGCGCGGTTGGCGGAATGCCGGAACAGCATTTCGGCGAAAGCCGAAAGCCATTGTGGCAAACTTAAAGCATATTCGCCGAAAGGTAAGAATCGCCCAAGCCCAAAAGATTTAGAATACCCCTGCTACTTGCGGAGGTAGCGAAAAAACATCAGATATTCCAGTTGAGTAGTATCCGTTCAGTCGCGCTAACGCCAAGAGTAACAATGGGGATACCTTACTTTGATCTCTTACGACATGACGCCAGGTTTGAGCAGTCTTTTTGCTTTAACAGCTGCTTCTACAGTTGGTGATTGGACAAGAATAACCATATCCAAGCTAGATATTACTGCAAAGCAGATATTGGACCCTGAGAATGTTGTTAGACGATCTTAATTATTCGTCGAGCGCACAAGCGGGAGACTCACAGGAATACCAGAACTCATGGAACCGAGCTGGAGGTAAATGCTCAACGAGACTTGCGAGGCTCGTAGCCCATATGAAAGAAGACTGGTGAAGATTTTGAACGATACCATCATGTGCAGCTGAGCCATCAGTGGTGTTTTCTAGTGACGGTTCCAGCTCAGTCAAGTCTGGTAAATCCCAAAGATCCTGGGCATTTAGTGACGGAAGCTCCATGCTTACTAGTCCACCGTCGAGCTGATCGTCAATAATCAGGGGAGGATCAGCAGAAGGTACGATGGGTCTCAGCAGTGCTCTCCAGACGTAGGTAACCAGGGTGGCATGTGCGATAAATACCGTCGATGGATATTTTCCACTGTTGCTCAGTATCCCGTTATTGCTTGCAAGCCATGGTGACTCAATGGCCGTGACAGAAGTGCGCCAAGTGTTCAACTCTTCAAATAGAGGCTGGGCTGTTTGCACAGAGGATAACAAATCTTCAGAGAGCCTCTGCGAAGATTTTAGTGAACTCCATTAACAGCACATCAGCATGACTGGTTGGACCCAATACGTCGGATAACTTACTAGAAGGAAGCCTGTACATTACCAGCAATGACAGACAGGCGACTCATGTCCCTGAATGGTCTAGTCAAGTCAGCATGTGAGAGGTTCGTAAGAGGGATACTTGCAGGGATACTAAAGTCGCCGTCGTCTAGCTCTCCCAAATCCCACTCGGAATCAGATATGTAAGATGGCCGACCCATGAGAAGAGACAGCCACTTGTCCTCAATATACAAAGCCCACCACAAGCGGCGACGAATCTGCTTTTCTTCAGTTGGTATGGCACACATACGCGTCTCAAGATGAAGTCCAAGGCTATGAGCAATTCCTACAAGAGATCCTAGCCATGAACACTTGGATACGTCAGACACGGTGGCATGGGCTTCAGCGTGTGTTGTCTTATGCAAGTATAATAAGCCCGCTTGGATGACTGATAGACGAGGGCGATAGAGTTCTTCCTGCAAAGCCTGATAACATATACGCCATACAGCTTCATGTGGCAGGGGGTTGTACATGTCGACAACGGAAAGGTGGTCATCGTTGCGAGAGAATGGTATGGATAATCCATAGATGGCACTGAGTAAGTGACAGGGGACATGATCGAGTGCATCGTGTTGGGGTGATGAATTTGTGAACGATTCTTGATTGAAATAGGCTGATGAAATGATTGGCAACGTAGGGTAAATGTATGTGTAAAACCTTGCGTGCTTGATGAGAAATAATGTCATGTTGATGGGGGTGGTTTAGCTTACAGCTTGATGAGACGTATCCCCCACGACACCGGGATCAGCGAGTTCAACTTATCTCGCAGCGAAGTTGCCCTACCAATGCCTTCTGCTTGATCTTTATATTTTGGGGTCAAAATGAAGTGTACTGGTATTTTCTGTCGATTCGGAACGCCACCGATATTGCGGAATTGCAGACCGTAGAAACTTCTGAGCCCGTACTCGTCAAACTGGCAATGCCGAAGAAGCCACGGATCAGACTCGGAAGACGTGCCCAGAAGTATGCATGTTTGATCATTTCCGCCGTCCAAGGTGTGAGCAAACTGCAATTGCGCTGAGGGAAATGACCCATCAAATACAGATGTTGAACGATGGGCGAGGTCGCCGGGATGTAGAAACCCGGGTGAACCTGCGGCGATTACGTCCCCGGCATTACTGGCAGGTGCGGTGTTATTATGGCTGTCTGCACTTAATTGAGTTTGAATGCCACGATCGGCACTTGGTGATGGTGTCGCAGGAGACAAAGATAGTCTTCTATCTTGGCGTGTCGCAGGGCTTGGTCTTCCTCCTTGGAACGTACAGGTCGTGTGAGTCTGTTCGCACCGGCGACATGGAGGATTATTGCCTTCAGCTTGACATCTTACTTTGCGCGAGCGGCATTGATCGCAAGGACGACGTCTAGTCCGGAGGCGGTAACTGCGCAAGCCAGGCTCGGTGGGAACGACAGAAATATCCATCCTGTGCCTGAGCTCTTGGAGTGGATCGATAGTAAACAGAGTTAGTAAAGAGTGAAAATGATTCGAGGAAGAAGATGTTGAGTCATCGGGCCTAACTAAATATGATCTATTACGTTTAGTAGCATATTATGCTTGTCTAGAATATTTCGGGATCTAATAGCCGAGTCTTTAGTGCGGTCTTATAGAGTTTAGGTAGTGCAATTGCTAATCTAGACATGGGTTACGAGCACATCCCTTCCAGCAGCCGCGATAAATGAACAAAATGTTGTGTACACTTGAGAATGATACTACGATTTTAAGTGAGGTGGATTTCTCAACAGTCCTTTATTCGATGCGCTACTTAGGTCGGTCCTGACTCTGTTGACCACCACTACCACTCAGAAAAGATCATCTCAGGTCTAGTACAAGAATGACTGCCTTGTCAAGGGAAGCGAGCTCACAGGTTGAGATTTGATCTCGTGCCCATCGCACGTCACAGCCTAAAGCCGGTCAGTAAATTTTCGAAAACAAAACACGATCACTTACTAATGTGTCGGGATCTACAGTGATCTTCGGTGTCGCATCGTTGTATTTGAGATCCTTTTTCGTTACTCTCCGACAGTCCTTCACAACTTCAATTTGCTTCTTGAGGTTGTACGATCGAACGTTTCCCTCTGGCGACATACTTGTTTGAGATACAAACATGACACTGGACTCGGGATGCAAGGCCTGTGGTCGTGGTCAGATGAGTATCTTGGAAGCGAGGAAAAGAATACTTACTCCGTACATCGGCCGTGCGATCAATGGTTCTACGTCCGCGACCCTGCGAGAAATTAATATATGCATCAATTCAACGACAAGAGGAGGAATCTTACGCTCCGTTGGGATCACCCTGTTGATTAACGTTAGCGATCGTCTAATTAATCATTCGGCGTCAAACACTTACCATTTGTGCAAAAGTGATGAAACCTTTCTTGAGAACCTGAAAAGGCTTCGTGCCAAACTCAGCCGGCTCCCAAATTACTAGATCGGTCAGCTTTCCGGGCTCAGCACTGCCAATGACATGGCTGATTCCCTGTGTAATCGCAGGGTTGATCGTGTATTTGCTGATATACCTCTTGACGCGGTAGTTATCTGCGCCTGTTCCCTCATCTTCTGGCAGAGGTCCCCGCTGTAGTTTGTTCTTGTGGGCTGCCTTCCAAGTGCAGGTAAGAACTTCAGCAGATCGCCCCATGGCCTGAGAGTCGGAGGACATAATGCTGATAGCTCCGAGATCATGCAAGATATCCTCCGCTGATATCGTCTCTTCCCTAATCCTGTTCTTTAAGAAGGATGCATCGTCGGGATTGTCCTTCGAAAGTCTATGGCAATTGGCCGCCATGTCAATGTGCTCGTCAATTGTGTTTGTCGTGAAGGGCATAGTAGGAGTTGTACTGCTAGGCAGAACATTGGAATATTCGACCAGCTTGATCACATCGGGGGCATGTCCGCCACCTGCACCCTCAACGTGATAAACGTGAATACTGCGGCCTTTGAAGATGGCGGCTGTATGTTCGAGGAACCCGGCTTCGTTGAGGCCATCAGTGTGGATATGGCACTGGATGTCATGCTCTTCACAGACGCTATACTAGTTAGACTCATCGGAATTAGAAGACTCAGTGGGAAGCTTACTTCAAACAGTTGTCGATAGTCGACGGAGTGCACCCGAAATCCTCGTGCAGCTTGAGTGCGATGACTCCCGCTTTGATCTGATCTTCGAGACCAACCTTTCCTGAATCGCTTCCTTTTCCGACAAGACCGAAATTGAGAGGAAGCTGGTCGCACGCTTGCATCATTGAGCGAATGTACTTCTTGCTCGCCGTTCCATTGACTGCGGTGGAAGAAGTGCTGGTATCTGTTAGTGCCTGAGGTGAAAAGGCGTGATGTTAGTGTACTTACCTTGGACCAGTGCCTCCTCCGAAGAGAGTCGTGATTCCTGATGAAATAGCTTCGTACGCCTGCTGGGGACAAATATTATGAACGTGGGTGTCGATTCCACCAGCAGTGACGATCTTCCCTCCAGCATCAATGATATCGGTATTTGACCCAATCAACATGCCATTGGTCACACCATCCATAGTAGCAGGATTACCTGCCTTGCCAATTGCAGTAATGACACCATCCCTCACGCCAATATCAGCTTTGAAGATGCCTGTCCAATCGATGATGACGGCATTGATAATAGCCAGATCGAGGCATTCGGCATCAGAGCATCCACTTGACGCGCCCATGCCATCACGGATGGTCTTGCCGCAACCCAAAGTGCATTCATCGCCGTACACAGTATGGTCTCTTTCAATCTTGATCCACAAGTCTGTAGAGCCTAGGCGGAGAAGATCTCCGGTGGTTGGACCATATGCCGAAGCATACTTGGTCCTATCAATCGTGCAAGGCTCAATGGGCTCGTGAGCGTTTGAGTCTTCCGAAGAATGTCGGTACCCTGCCTGATTCAGTGACTGCAAGATCTTGTCAACATTCTTGGGGTCAACGGGGCCTTTGCAGAAACCACTTCCGCCTTGAATGGCCTTTAAGCCTCCAATCTGGACTAGGGTGACAGTTTTCGGCTCATTCGGTTCAAAGCGTAGAAACTCCCCAGCTGGGAGATCAAGATGGAATCCGTAGGCTCTGACGCGGTCGAATTCGAGATCCGGGTTTGTTTCCATGAAGTGAAAGTGGGAGCCAATCTGTAGAGCATGTCAGTTGCAGAGACTGTATGAATCCGGAGGCATATTGCTTACATGCACAGCACGAGTACCCTTGTTGGTAACAGACACCCTTGTGCGTTTACGTCCTTCGTACAAGGCGATATCTCCAGACTGAGCGGGTCTGACGGCACCAGGCATAGCCAAAGGGTGGAAGTCTGCCTCATTCACTGGAGGGAACAAGTCATTGCCAGGATCGGGGAGAAAGCTACCGTACAACGCCATCTTCAAATTACCATTGTCGGTGTTAATGGGATTGTGAACAGTAATTAGGTGCGTTCCGGTTTCAAGGGTTCCTTCGATCTGCATCTGTTTTAGTGTATCTGCAACTGAAGGAAAGACATGGCGGCGACCAAGGATGTTTTTTCCAAGATCCATTAGTTCCGCAACAGTGTATGATTCATTGTGGATGACCTGGGGTTATCAGTGATGTATCAATTGAGAGAATCAGAGTCTGGTCATACCTCTTGAAGGACCGTTGAGATTAGAGCCTGGTATGCAGAGTCAGTGATGTACAGTAGGTAAGTCTCACAGTAAAGAATACTCACGCTGGACTCAAGATGATTGAGCTTCTTTCCGTGAGCTAGGCGTCTTTGTGCAAGGCGACCTGCCTGAGCAAAAAGAAGTTTTTCAACCTAGTAAGAACGTCAGTTAAAATCGCATATAAAGGTGGGAGATGTATACCTCACGAGGAGTATAATGCATGTTGGATAATTTGAGGTGATTGACAGTTGATTGACTGAACAGTTAAGTACTTGTGGTATTGTTAATGAAAGCCTTGATTAATGGAAATAAATGCAGCACACTGGTCCATCTTATATTGTATATAACTTTTTGCGACTCTGAAGCATGACGACTTTTGCCATTCATTTACAGCCACCAACTTCATTTCGGCGAATTTAGTTCCTTGGTTCTTTTCTTGACAGGCGCGGGTGGGGCTTGTAGTGGAGAGTTTTCGCCGAAATGCCCAACCATCAGGGGGCCGGAAGAAATGATCGTTGTGATCATAAGAAGCGGAATAAGTTAGCCACCTTATGCCGACTTTCAACCGGCATTTATGACACTTTACTTCAGTAGCCTAAGTCTTAAAGGACAATTCTTCTGTTACTCACCTAGCAGCATGACTACAGTCTCATTCAACCTCTCAAGCAATTAGCGAGCGTTTGATAAGACAGAGAGATAAGATAAGAGCACGGTTACCAGGACCTCCGAAGCGAAAGTGGTCGCTGCTCTCTTCAATATTCTAGGTATTACACATCCACCTACCATACAATGAACTAACTGCTCAACGAAGGTTACGCTGAACTTGTTGTACCTCTATTGTCCCGCTCTAGATTCTGCAGTTTTGGTGCTTTTATAAAATAATTGGCAACCGACACTGTTGTTAATGAAGGACTCGCTTCTTAGCAAAAGCTGAACTAGACCCGATGATTGAGTCATTACAGTAGGAGAACTTCCTCAGAATGTCCCACTGTGTTCATGTATCCACAAATGATCTCAGAGTCATAGTGTGCAATCGTCCTCTGATGTATGCCATCAGCGAGTTAATGCCATATTAGATTGACAATGCGGATCGCTATGTAGAATCATTTGCTTATTTCGTTCCTATATAACAACCTTTTGTAGTTTGACAAAGACCTTATCGGGGTTTCTGGTTAAGGAAGACACTGGTTTAGGCGTTGCAAGGTGAGGTTGCAATGGCAGTAGCTTGAATGTCCAAATCACAAGAGTGAAGAAGATCTTCATCTCTAGGTATGCCATTCTTCTTCCAAAACAGCCACGAGGACCTAACCCGAAAGCCTGAATGGGGAAAGCTTGGGAGTCAAAAACAACTTTTTCCTTTCCATCACTGCTTGTTACCGTCTTTAACCACCTTTCAGGTATAAAACCTGCAAAATCATAGTCTTTGCCAAACGGCTCCTTAGGTCGACGAGATCTAACCCATTCACTACTTCGTTCCTCATTATAATCGATCGGAGGTGACAGCACGCTCGGACAATTTGACAGAAAGACAATCGTGGTCCCCTTTGGAACTTGGGCACCAAGAATTTGAGTATCCACCTGGACTTCTCGCAGAGACATGCCGAGTGGATATGCGAGACGAAGGATCTCTTCAACGACAGCATCGAGATAAGGGACGCGGGTTTGGAGGATCTCGGCCAACGAAGGAGCGCGGTGTTCAGCTTTGGCTTGGGGATAAGCTTGTTGAAGAGCGTGTCGGAGTTCAGACTGAGCTCTTTGGTCAGCGCTGATGAAGCTCAGGCCCCATCGTATTGCCGAAGAGGTAGTTTCGTGTCCTCCGATCAAGTATGTCATTAACTTGGGAAAGTTACATTAGTATAATGGTAATGGGCTCTGTCTTGTCACTTACCTCGCTGGTTATGACCTGAGAGTAATAATCGGGTGCCCTTCCTTCCTTCTTAGCCATAGCCTCCTCTCGAACCGAGATCTCATCCAAAGCGCACTTCATGGCTTCTCCATTTCTTCGTCGCTTGATGCCATTTGCGATTTCTCGCTCTTGCAATTGACTAGCAAGAGTGAAAGCCTTCTTCCACTTGCTCGACAAGTTTCGATACAGAAAGTGAAAGATAAGCGGCGCTGGCGTCTTGATGACTTTAGCAACACTCTCGCCGACGATCGCCAGGGCATTTAAATCTTCGTTGAGAAAAACCGGCTTAAACTGAAACTCATCGTCATTCTTGATCGTTGCTGGATCGCTGTGTGGCTTGAGTTCCTGTATTTCCTTCACCAGCTGTGTTTTTTCGGTGTCCAGTCCAAAAGCAGCGCAAATAATAATGTCCAATGCAGCGTTGTGAACATCATTTGCAGCTGAAAAGTAGTTTCCATCTGCGTATTCAGCTTTAAGGCTCCAAAGTTCTACTAGTCGCGAGAATTTGTCATAGATCTCTGGCGCAGACACCTAGAACAGTGTTAATCTCTCATCGCAGTTACTCTGTGTTAAGAACTTTACCTCATTGAGGAAAGATGGTGTCATCAAATTTCGGACAAGTTCCTTGTTCTTTTTGAACTGAGGATCTGAGCTCTTCAGCGTGATATGCGCCCCCGGCACAACACAGTGGAAGAGACCAGTGCTCGCTGCACCCCGGTCAAATTCTTTCAGGCGATGCATGCAGATTTCCGAAGCCTCATAATGATCAGCGACAACAACCCACGGTTTTGCAAAAGGACGGATAAATGCTTGGAACAGTGGCGAGTTGTGCTTGATCGTCTGTGTTGCGAGCCAGTCGGTCAAGCTGCCATACGCTTTGACGTCTGGAAGATCACCAAAGATGCGATTGGTGGCAGAGAGGTTGTAGGGGATGTCTTCCAAGGGTTGAGGCAGCATCAGTCGGTACAGAGTGTAAGCAATACCCGCCAATAGGAGTCCTCCAAGAAGGACTCGCGCGCTGAAGCTGTCAAGCAGCAACGGCGGATCGAGACCGGACGATGTCATGATCAGATTGTTCGATTCTAAATAGAAAAATGTTTCAATGCGCGACTCGGGCTTCTGCTTGAAGCAGATCTGCTTCTTTTCAATTGAGACACAGCCGGAGATAAGGCATCTAAGACATTCAACATTTTCGTACTCCACTCCTAAAATGGTTAGATAGTTGAGTGGCTTCGAATATTGATACCACAAACCCAGCCTCAGTCACATCTGCTCCAATCATATCTGATCAAATACATTGGCGGTAACACAGTTGAGTCCTCGCTAGAGCCGCCTCAAAATCTGATGTGAGCCGCCAAGCGAAAAAGCAACGGGTTATCGGTGTGACATTGACGCTGCTGGGACTTCGGGCGGGGCTGCTTACTCTCTTCCTCAGTCGGGCTCTTTAAACGCGTATCTGACAGGAGCCAGTACACGCAACCTTTGCGACGACGAGAAAAGCAAACAGGTAAGACAGAATTCAAATATTGAACGTGGCGTTCACTAGACTGGGATGCGCGTAAGCAGGTCTCTGGGCCGCTTCGCACATCATAAACAAGGCGCTGGAGGTTATCAGGTTCTATGTTCCTACCAAGACACGATGTAGATGTTATCAACCGGCGATTATTTACTCAAGTCTTCCACAGTGTAATAGCTGTAGCTGAGAATATGGGAAAAATAATTGAGTCTTAAATATTTCTCCACACCACAAAGAGGATTGTATGTACCCGCAGATCTGGCGCTGACACACAGCCTATCACGCAATTTCAGCACGCATACAGATGGTAGTCAGCGGGGACAGACGTACCAAATCTTCAAAAAGTCTTACGGTCTTCATTTCAGTGCTGCCACGTCTCTTTGCGTCTGCGGCTGTAGCAGTCTTGCATGTCGTACTGAGAACGCCACCGCAGCCACCATTCGGATATACCATCGCTGCTTCGTTGGGAGCCGGCGGAAGATGCTGCAGCACGCTCAGCTCCCTCCAAAGTTGCAGCAGTGGTGGCGGCGTTGGGTGGCGAGGACAGTATCTGAGGTGATGGCGGATGTGCCCAAGTCGAGAAGCGCGGGGTAGTAGGTAATGACAGCTTTACAGAACATAGACGAGGATTCACGTAGTGTACTGGACTAGATGGACGAAGGTAGGGTAGACAGGTCGTGCAAAACAACAACATCGCAGTAGTGGTATCATGATGAGGCACATCCGCAAGCGGGGCCGGCGTGAAATTGCATCCACTCCATTGGACATTCATCGGGCAGACCGATATTGTGGAGACTCAATCAGCTGTCAGACGCGTCGTGATATCCTGAACGACAGCATCCTTTATCTTCTTAACAGACTCATCACTAACATGGCCTTCCTGGATGAACTTGACAGCCTCCTCCATCGCGCGTACATCTTCACGTAGTTCCATCAACTCATTGTCATATGTGTCCAATAAGTCCTCAGTCGCCGTCTCCTTGAACTTCTCTGTATCCGTCTCTAGAACTTCAAAACTATGCGTCAAGTCTTTTTGAGACGTCTCAAAAGCAGTGCATCGCCCTCGGAGCTCATTCATGCCTTGACATAGCTCCTCGTTCTCTTGTCTCAGCTTTTTATTCTCTGCCTCCAGGACTTCAATCCTCTTCTCGCCTAGAGCTATTGTGGCTTTCATGTTTTTTAACTCGATCCATACAAGAGCAATGTCGGTCTCGGGTTCAGTTTGGCTATCTTGTCGAGGGCGTTTTCGTTTATTATTATAGTCGATCGGTGGAGGTGGCGGGGGCGCATCGACTTCATCATATGACGGTGGTGGAAGTGAGGTATCGACAGTGAGATTCACAAGCTTGGCTCCTGATCCGCTGTACATGCTAGCAAGCTGGAACTGGCTGCTGCGAAATGACTTGAACAGACCCTCTTTGGCTGCATCGCTGATAGCCTGAAACCCAGGACTGGGAGGTGCCTCACGCGCCTCGACATATATGGAGAAAGTGGTGGCCTGGCAGAGATCACGCACAGCATCAAGCACTACGCCTGACCGCGCTCGAGCTGGTGACAGCGGCTCAGACGCGGCATTAGGAAGAAGAACGTCCAGACAGCGGTTCACGGTGAAGTCAAGTTGGAGAACAACAGAGTCAAATTCCTTCTGTACCGCGTTTGTAACCGCCGGGTTCGTGACGAGGTCTAACGAGACTATGGAGGAGGCACAGGCTCGAAGGGTAATAGATGTGTGATCGATTCCTTTAAGCTTGACAGGAATGTCGAGTTCGAAGAAAGCGCATGTCTTCTCGAATCGCGTCATGAGCGTCAAAGAGCTGACTTTGGGGTGGTCGGCATTGGCCAGGACACGCGTCGTGCCTTCCGACGGCCACTCAATTACGGCCTTGGTCGCGTGATGGATGTCGAGACATGGTGGCGAAGACGACATTACTGCAACAGTCAGTACGACGACAGCCTGCTCGACTTACCAAGATAGCTGCAGCTGAGCCAGCCAGCCTAGCCGCGACCAAACGGAGGAACAGCTTCGCTGACAGGCAACCTGTCTGATCTCCAGCGAGCTGCAAGACCAAGCAAGTCCCTTCTACAGACCCCGGTTGTTCCAGCAAAGGAGGCGGACGCGCTCGTTTGATGGGTGCAAGTCGGAATTTTAATGGTCTGTAGCGCGATTCACCGCCTCTTTTGGACGCGATTTAGGCAGTGGCTTCAGCCTGCAGAAGGGCATGAGTTAATTGTCGGATGAATGCAATGATGGAAAGACAGTGATGGATGAGCGAGGAATGAAGAAGGCATTGCAGCAAGGTACGGAGAGCAGGTTGTAAATGTTTAGCGAATCATAGCGTGCAAGGGCGAACGCGCGCGGTGGATGATGATGTAGGTGGAAAGATGGGAAGAGGACAGTCAGGAGATGAGGGATTTCTGTTCGGATGAATGGTTAGTCCGTCTCCGCTTTCTTTTGTGAGGTTGGGGCGAACCGAGATGAGAAAACTGACAGCCAATTGCTTGATATCGCCTACCCCACTCTCCGCCCAAGTTGGAAAGGTCAAGTGGTGTTTCGGACTTCGCGTTGTTTACTTACCCTACTGCTGATTGCGCTCAATAGTAGAAATTGTAAATCATCGTGACAAGTAACACGATATTACAGAGTCTTGTTACAAGCAGATACTTATCTTTATGTTCAATCTGATCATTAGCCCTACTAGTATTTTATAACACCTTACCGAGCGTATTTTCGCTAATACTGTAAAAGTGTTTTGACGTACAGTGATGTTACAAACCTTAACTTGTGGAACACTGGATGTTGTTTATGTCTGCCGGGTTACCAAGGTCTGCGCGGCGATTTCCTTGGATATAATCAATAATGGAAAACTCTCACTTAAATGCTAAAATATCTAATCTGATTTTCCAACCATTCAATTCCGGTCGATCTTACTTGGGTATTTGAAGTCTGGATATCGGGCTCCCTCAAGCTGACATGACGAGTCTCCTCGAAGGTTGTGCTAATCAGTATCGCGTCTAACGGACCTAGCGGCGGGCGATCGGAATGCTGAATTCACTTTTTGGTACGTACGTCTCTTTCACCACGTGTATCAAGTTATTGCAATTGAGATGTTCCAAGCGCTACCATCTATATTTATTGGACATCTCTCACACATTGCTATGACATCATCGATCGGACGTAGGGGCAAACAAGCTGATCTTTTTACTATCAACTGACTAAACACGAGCGGCAATCCAGTCAGCGGCAGCAGGAGCATCCTGCTGGTACTGGCTGTGCGCAGGAGTGATAATAACACCGCCGTCACAGATGTTATCCCCAGAACGACAGAAAATCTTTGTGCGGGCCGAGGGGATAGTGCCGAAAGACTGTCTCTGCTTTGGGTCACCGAAGGTAACAGCTGCACAGATTTAAGTTATTAAATGATTGGGAAATGGTATGCGAATGTACTTACCACCAGTAACTCGGTTGGTGACAGAGGCAGATAGCATACCAGCAGCGTTGTGCACAAGCTGGGCGCCTTGGCTGTAGCCACTGATGATGATTTTAGTGCTGGGGCACTGACTAGCAGCCTATGATGTTGTTGTTAGTATTCAATGTTGTCTTCTTGTTGACTTTTCATCCATTTCTTGACTTACCCGAGTGATAAGATCAGCCATTGTCCTGCTGCCAGCAGCGTCACCCCCAGCCAGGAAACCAGCAACATTGGCAGGGTAAGTGACACCCTGAACAGCCAGATTGTTCAAGCCAATGCGGGAGGCGAGGTTGTTAAATAGGACCGGTCCAACAGCAGCCCTGTCTCCTACGTTACCAGCCTGAGTAGTTCCTCGGGCGTAGATCACGGTGACAGGACGGCAAGGTGTGCCGTCGGTGAGCTGGTTGTAGGATGAACCACTGAACTGTCTGGCCTGGAGGGAGTTGGTATCAGACTCTTGACCGTTGAGGTGGTTTTCAAAGTACGCCTCCAGCTCGGCGAGCGGGAAGTCATCATCGAATTCCAGAGCCTCGACCTTGCTCTCCTCTGCAACAGGGGCAGCATAGGCAATGGCCGCGAGAGCGATAAGGACTTGGGTGGGCTTCATGATGAATGACTGTGACTCGAAGGGGCTTTCTGTGCTTGTCTTTGGGGATAGGACCAGTCAGAAGATTGAGAATATATCCTCCATCTTATACCTTCGCTACATTTCGTCGCTTACACTTGGAAGATAATGTCGACGTCGACACTATTCTAGCTTCCAAATCAAAATTGAGAGCCCGAAGTCCAGCGAGCCACGATCAGTATTTAACAACCTTCTATTTTAAGCCATCTAGCCCGTCCTTGCAGTGCTATCTCCTGCGCCAATGTAATCACGGGTTGCCAATGCAGGTGTAAATGCGACACACGTGGTCGCGGACTATATCTCGGGACTTCCTCACATCAAGATCGAACTTCTGATAAGCCTTACCTGTCTTGGCCTTCCTAAACCGTCGCTTACTCCAATATGCAACTCCATCCAATTATAAACAATTACCTGAGTAAATAAGTCACAGGGGGTTGGAAGCTAAACAAGTTAATCGGCGTCTTCCCCCGCACTCGCTAAGGATTGCTCCTATCGACCTGCCATTTTAAGAAACCATAGCCTAGTGACGTACTGTATATGCCGAAGAATACTCGGAGGGGCATGTTCCTTCCCCTGGAATGTCCAACAGGGTATGATTTATGGAGTGTGACTATTGGAGGATTATTTCTAAGCAACATTAGTGCCTCGGCCACTGTCACAGTCTCTTTTAAATGCAACCTTAAGCCTGCAGTGAGAGGGACATGAGATATTTGGCAGTATTGAAGTGCTGTAGTTCTGGAGAGTTTCTTAGTATTGCAATTAGCTATCATAAATGTAGGTATAGTTCTAAGTTACTGTAGCTCCTGTATACAAGCATCATTTCCTTTCGATGGTCTTGCAGTTGTCCCTATTGTATCCAATACCAGCCGTCCACCGAGCACGTAAAGCGTGGGCGGCGCTCTTGGGCCTCCGGTCCCTGGTAAAAATACCCTTCTTATTTCCGTCAACCCGGATGATCATGGCCGAGGTCTGGAAATCAGCGAAATTCCACACATGCTCACCGACGATATTGTCAATTCGGTCAAAGACTCGGTGATACATTTCAAGGAAGCGGACCTGATATTCCTCAGTCCAAGGAACATCACAGACAGTGTGCAAGCCTGCGACCGTATCGGTACCATACTCCGTCATGATTATGGGTTTCGATGAGTAGGCTTGTTGCCAACTCAGCAGCTCAGTCTCGAGAGCAGCTTCTGCAGACTTGAGGTCCCCCGTCTGTGTGTACCAGCCGTAATAGCGGTTCATACAGACCACGTCAAACAAATCCGCAATTTTATCAGTGTCTGGCTTGGAATGTATCATGTGAGAATAACACATAGGTCGTTGTTGTCGGTCCAGAGAGCGTGCCAACGTTACAAGTGGCTCAAAGTATTCCCGGCTTCCCTCCTCGCTAGCACCAGGCTCGTTAGCCAGCATCCACATTACAACACATGGATGATTCTTGTCCCGACTTATAAGTTCTCGAATAGCTTGTGCATGGGTGTTTTGCGTCTTGCTACTCATAGTCTCTGGCGAGAAGGTGTCGATCTTCTTATTCCCAAAGATACCTGACACAATGTTGAGATTAAGTCCAACAGCAGCCGTTTCATTGATAACAACGATACCGTGTCTGTCAGCATACTCAAGGACTTCCTCCGCATACGGATAATGGGAAGTACGGAAGGAGTTCGCGCCTATCCATTTCATCAAACGATAATCGTGCACCATGTACGACGCGTCGTACCCACGTCCGCGAACAGGGCCATCTTCGTGCTTGCCGAATCCAGTGAAATAGAAAGGCTTCCCGTTGATAAGGAAACGTCCGTCCCGAACTTCCACTGAACGAATGCCTACGGAAAGGCTGTAGACGTCAAGGATCCGTTCTTGAGGGGACCCTTGGCTCGAAAGAAGCTCGACCCGGAGCCGGTAAAGGTAGGCGGCGCCAGGGCACCACGGCTTAGCGTTTCTGACTTCAAGCGTTCCTTTAGGCTCATGGGCTTCACAAACCACCTTATCGTCTTCGTCCTCGAGCAGCACTCGCCATGTGATCTCACCCGGCAAGTCACCAGAACGTTGAACATCGAATTCAACAAGGCCTGTACCGTCTTGAAGCAGATTGGAGACCACGGTGATGTCGCTGACAAAATTCTGAGGCGTTGAGTAGAGCCAAACAGAACGGGCCAAGCCAGCGTAGTTGAAAAAGTCATGCTGATAGCTCTGTTTACGTGATCCATCACTGCAAACTTCGATCCGGCCTGGTGGGATCGTTTCCCAGGTGAGCATGTTACTCACTGCAACAGTAAGACGGAACTCTGACCCTGGTTTCACGAGATGAGTCAGCTCAACCTCAAAGGGGGTATAGCCGCCAATATGCTCGGTGACGAGATCATCATCGACATAAACTCTTCCGTGGTGGGTAGCGGCATCTAAACGCAGGAAGAAACGCTGGGACGTCGTCCAACAACGAGGGATGATGACTTTCCGCTGATAGTAGACCCAACCAACGTGGTCACGAATGACCTCATCAGCAAAAATATCGTTGTAACTGGCTGGGACAGGTGCTTGAAGTTCAGGAGAGAGGCGAGTTTTCCATGCCTCATCGGATAAATCTGGAGATTTGGCTAGTGCAAAATTCCAGATTCCATCAAGGCAAATGAGGTCACGAGCTTCATTGGCTTGTGGTCGTAACATGGTTTAGTTTTCTTGTTCGGTATCCGTAGAAGCTGGGTATGAAAATACTGTGGTTGCCAAAAATGAAAGGATATTGTGCAACATCCTTTTAAAGTTCACTACATCAATAGTGGATCGAATAATACCGACTCGAGCGGGGTTACATGCCTCTCGTCCACATAGCGATCAATGATCCACGGCGTTCTTACCGAATTACAATATTAAATAGATGTCGGTACTTACTCCCCACATTGTCCGCCCCGGACTCCTCCACATCCTGACCCGATCTCCAAGGATGTACGAATTGGAAGGAGTGAATGGTGTGGCGTATCGATTTTCGTAACACGGACTTCTCGCCATAGAAATAACTTGGATGTTTGTTGGCTATTACCCTCCACATTGACTGTTGACGGTCTTGTAGAGCTCGTAAACCAGGCGCGAATTGCCGGGTACGGCTATGTAAGGTGGAAAGAGGTTATTAATTGGGTCATCCCCATGGGGTCCCCAGATTTCAATTTAACCTTTATTTTAGCTTTTTTCCTGGATACCGATACGAAACCTCCCCAGGCTGGAATTGCAACTTTACCGATATGCCCACAATGAAACCGTCCGCGACCGACCCTACGCCTGCCTCAAAAGGCTCTTCTGCTGTGCACGTCGAGCAAACATCGCCTCACGTTGCCGCAGAGAAGCCATGGCAATATCTTGCCAAGTACCCCAAGGTGTTGATATACGCCGTCCTCATTAACATTGGGCCTCTGCTCTTTGGATATGACATGGTCATCATTGGCGCCGTGTCATCCCTTCCAAGGTTCAAGATGGACTTCGGCGAGCCATTCGCTCCCGGTAAATGGGTCATACCAGCTCTCTGGATTGCCCTCTGGAACAGCTTCCTCCAACTCGGCGCTGGCACTGGCTCAATCTTGTCAGGCACATTCCAAGACCGCTTTGGTAGACGAGCTACTGTGTTCCTAGGAGGTCTGCTTGGTTGTATTGGCGCCGCTGTGTCGTATACCTCGTCAATGCCAGATACTATGCTTAACCGTCGTATCTCTTTTATGATGGCCAAGTACGTGTTAGGTGCTTCTTGCGGCTTTCTCATGTCTTCTTGCCAAACTTGGATATCCGAAACGACTCCCAGGCAACTTCGCGGTGTCTTCCTCGGCTTTTATGGCTTCAACGTGGTAAGTGCTGCCCAACTCTGAAGATCACAACGATCCGTTCGCTAACAATGAGGTTTTCTTCTGCCATTAGGCCTTCGGTCATTTACTCGCCATCGCTGTCGTCTTTGGCCTATCTGCAGGTATCGACCCTCGATCTTACATGATTCCGTTTGCCAGTCAATGGGCATTCGGTGGCTGGGCAATGGTAGTCGCATTCATCCTACCTGAAAGCCCTGTCTGGCTAGCAAGTCGAGGCCAGATCGACAAAGCACAAAAGTCGGTTGAGAGGCTTGGCACACAGGATATGCTACCACAAATCCTTCGGATTCTGGAGGCTGAACAAAGTGAGAATGAAGTTCATGAGGGCTCACCCTCCTACCGTGAATGCTTTCAGGGTATCAATCGGCGTCGGACACTACTTGTCATGTTCCTCACCAGTATACAACAGTGCGTCGGCATGTCCCTCATTGCCAATGCTGCATACTTTCTCACTATGGCTGGTATGTCATCACGTTACTCTCTGATGGTCAATCTTATTGGCATCTCTTCGACCATGCTCGCAAACATGATTTCATGGTATACAATCCCACGTTATGGCCGAAGAAGAATGATTCTTATCAGCAATCTCGCCGACAATGGTGCTTGGCTGGCCATGGGTATTGCCGGTTGCTTCACGACTGATGCTGCTAAATGGTACGTCCTGCACTTCTCGGCTCGTCTCTAAGGAGCCAGGGCCACTAACATAATTTTGACTAACCGTATCGTATAGGATGGTCGGCGTCCGTCTCGTTCTAGTAGGGTTCTTCAACAGCTTCGGAGTTGCCAGTGGTGTACCGGTCCTGCAGTCTGAGATTCAACCGTACGCCTACGATCCAAGACATCTGGCGTTGCTTTTACCTATCAATCGCTTTCGATGTGGGCTTTTAATTTCTTTACTCCATACATGTACAATACCGATCAGCTGAACTGGGGAGGTAAAATTGGTTTCTTCTTTTTTGGTCTGGGTACCCTCTCTCTTGTCGTTGGCTGGTTCGCTATTCCCGAGCCCAAGGGTAGGACCTTTTCAGACATTGACCATCTCTTCGAGACTGGTGTCAAGCATCGCATGCTTCACAAGACCGATCTGAGAGGTGGAGAAGGAGACAAGGGTGATGATGACAAACCGAAAGAGTTCTAACAGGCTGACTGGTTTGTACATTCATTTTCCATAAAGCTTTTGACTTGAATTGTCGAACAAAGTGGTCGGAGAGAAGATTCGGAGTCAGTAGTGTATAGATGTGATTGAGACAAGAGAGGAAATACTGTCACTTCCTGCGGCCGCACTTGACTTGTATTCTTCTGTTTATAAATCAAGGACTTTGGCCAGCGTCCTGATGACGGGGCTGAGTTTCTTGACCCTTAGCACCAAATTCCTACTGGTGATAAAATGCTTACCAATGTGTACTTGATAAAGAACAAGGGTATCTCTGAACAGTAAGGCTAGGATAAGTTTTCTCTAAAGTATTATTAATAGTAACCTCTAGTAGGTTAAATCTTAGTAAAGTTAGGTATATAAATTGTATTAGCTACTGAACTCTAATAATAATCAATATGAATTTTACAATAGCTGCCTAGCTATACGTAAGGCAACTTTTTCCTCCTTCATCTTTAACTAACCCGACACAATACTGTACTTAATAAAACAACACTTCTGATCACACGAACTCGATGATAAGACAAGCTTTGTTATTTCTATGGGCTCAGAGCTTCTACTGTTTTCCATTTCAACAAAATGCAACTTACAAAGTACATGAACTCTATACTAAGATATGGCGCCATCCTCAACCCACCTTACATCTTGTTTTAGTTTGTCGATCGTCACTTACGAAGGATAAGTCGTAGAGAGCTTTTCATAAATAGCATGAAAATCACAAGTCTTGTGGATTTAGATCATTATCGTCTAGGATCAAGTGTAAGCTTTTGTTCTTCTCTGTGGCACTTTGTGACATAGTCAGCCTTCTCGCGAATCCCTTAAAATATCCCGTTTGGTGAGGTGATCTTTTCGCATAGTCTATGGTAATTCACAGTCATGCTGAGCGGTAAGAAAGGTCCATACACTCTTTTACTGAGCGCAACCTTAGTACTTCATTTACTCAATCCAACGTTTCAACTCGCCTACCGTCAACTGAGAAATCAGTGAATTCAACATAGTCATTCGACGTGATTTCCTCGTTGTCTCGCCCGCTCTGCCCTTCCACATGCACTGCACGATGAGAGAAGATACCAAAAACAGGCCCAGTCATCTCTTGAGTCACGAGATCTTGGACTGGAAAAGCATATAACTCTTTCCACTCTCCCCCGTCATCAGCTTGTGCGTAACTAACTGTGTAGGCGTCCTTTGTCGCGGCAATCTGTAGTTTTAGTGTTGTTTGCAGTTCGGAGTTGGTGGAAGCAACAGTAGCGGTTTTGACAACCCCCCCTGAGGCTAACCCCGTTAGACTATTGACAATCTGACATGTGATCTCGCGTTTATCATAGTCATAGTAAAGGGAGAGGTGTCGTAGGTGGTCCTTGTATAAGGAAAGGCCAGCTATGACGCCAAAAGAGTCTTTCTTTGTCCCAATGACAAGGCTGACTTGGGATGTGCAATCGAAATGCCGCTGTCTTATACCAATAAAGGTGCAGGTTCCTGTAGGGGACGATAGCGTACCGCTACTTGGCCGCAGACGAAAGCTCGTTATGCCATCGCTGCCCGTTTCATTGAGTTTGGGAGGTAGAATGTAGTCCGACATAATTGGCGATCGGATGTACAACAGCGATACGTAATGATTCGCCAATGACCTGAGCCGCGGCTGATCGTTACCAAGGCTCCCATTCCAAGCGACGTTTCCCTGGAAAAGACTAGCTTTGGTTGAGTGACGGTTGGCCAACCACTTTCCGGCCAATCCACAGGCGTCAGAAACGTCTCTCGGCCCAAAGGTGGGCGGCCATCGGAATTGCAGTCACGGACCCCCAGTATAGCAGCCCACCAACTCCCTGAAGCGTCCTGAAAGAGCTCTCCATGGCCGACATTCTGAATCGGTTCTTTGGTGTTTCGCGCTGTTAGGATCGGATTGTTTTCATAGGATTCGAAAGGGCCCCATATACTGCGAGATCGGGCGATAGATAGGACGTGATCCCGGAACGTTCCTCCTTCGGCCACAAGTAGGTAGTACCATCCCCCATACTTGTACATGTGAGGGCCTTCGGTATCATGACACAGGTGGCCGCCCCATATTTCCCGCAGCTCTGATAAAGCCTCGCCGGTGCGTAGGTCAATCTGCATTTGCTTGATAGTTCCTGAAGGCTAACGCGTACGATCGAGATTGAAACAACCTTGGAAGTAGACCTTACCTCCGTCTTCGTCGTCAAAGAATAGACTCGGGTCAAGGCCATCGAAATCAATAGGCACTGGATCAGACCAATCGCCTGCCCAGATATCGGTTGTTGAGATAACAAAGTTCTGCATGCGGAAAGGCATCTCCAATTTGTAGGCATTGGTGCAGACGATGTAGAATGTGCCTTGATGGTAACGAATCGTTGGGGCAAAAGTCCAAGAGTCAAGATAGTTTCGTTGGGGGTGGCCTTCCGGATAAGGATTGACGAGGCACCATTTACGTCGATCTGCTCCTTACGACTAATAGCGTTTCCTGGTTACACGTTAGACTGGTTGATAGCATGCCTAGAATTATTTAATTACCAATATGTGTCCAACTATGCAGGTCTCGCGACGCGTAAATTGGCAGACCAGGGAAAAGGTGAAAGCTCGAGTTGCAAAGATAATATATTCCGTCCACAAAAACAACTGACGGATCTGGCGCGAATCCAGGGATAATGGGGTTATTGAAATAAGTTTTCGAAGACATTATGTGCTCAGGGCATGTACTTGCTCTTGTTGAATTTGTGGCTAATTTGCCAAAGTCAAGATAAATCTTAACAAAACGCAGTCAAATGTAAGAGAATATATTTAACTTATCATAGCATTAATATAATTCTGCAATTTCGCACGTGGCACACACAATGGTGCTATGTTAAAGGGTGTCGGGAAGTAAGCGTATCCGGAAGAAGGGTCTTCGGGAAGTGGGGGTCTCGGGATGCCCAAACCACGAAGTTTGACTGGGGCCACTTGTCCTAAACGTCGTGCATCGTACTTCACTCCGAGTACTGGATCGGGTCAAGTAGTCCAGACAGGGTAGATTTCCCGTTGTAGTGCATATCTATCGTGTTATTGAGCTATTCTTAATCTGATCCGATATTGAAAGCACTAAGCATTAAGCGTAGAGTGTTGGTAAAATAAGTATATCCTCTTCTGGTAAATGCTTCCATTTTACTGATGCAGATAGAGATGGAATAATTCGTTTTATCTACAGAAACAAAGTAGGTAGGTACCTAAATTGTGAGAGGAGATAGGAAAGCCTGGAACTATCTGATAGGTAATGCAAAGATATTTGCAACGTAGTGGTATCGTATAACTGTATTAAAATAGTTCAAGGTGACAGCCGGAATACAACGTGGGATTTTATGTCAACCCGCGCTGGCCTGGACAATCTTTGTGTGATTTACAAGGGCTGAGCTCGTCATCTGGGATGTTTTGTTAATTAAATGAGAAGGTGATGTGAGCTCTGCCGCACCAAAATATGCCCACTTTGGGGGCTTATCCTCGTATTTCCATGAAGTCTTTGCAGGATACAGACGAAAGAAGGACTTTTGTGCGTCAGCTTACTTCCATTAGGCCGTGTTGCGCCATTTAGACCTCTAAGGTCACTATTGACCTTCATTGTGACCTATACTTTGGGTAGGATACCGAAATCATGAGACGTTGTTTGATTGACATTATACGAGGAATGGAAGAGCAAAGAGCAACACCTGTCCCCGGGTATATAAAGACAGAACATCGAAGCCAAATAGTTTCTACCCTCGAAGTAAATTAGAGCAAAGATACTACAGTAACAACAACAAAATCACTGCTTCTGCCAATCGTTTGTGCCCTTCTTGGAAAAATCCAAACACCCATTTCACCATGCATTCCACAACAATCATCACCATGATCGCAGCCATCGCTTCTGCAGTCTCTGCGTCACCCGCTAAGCAGCCTGCTCCCGTGGCAAAGGTGGCGCCTGACAGCAACCTCGCCGTTGTCGTCGTCGGCGCAATCTTGGGGTCGGGATATAAGCAATCTACAACTCCTGTCCGTGTCTCCTTCGGCAAGCTTACACACTTCGATAAGCTTCCCATCAGCTCACTCGAAGTCAGGGGAGTTATGGTGGCGGGTGATGGACTTCCTGTTCCGAAGGACGACAAGGTCAGGTGCCGTCGCTACAAAGATCAGTACGGTCTCCAGCTTGGTAGCTTGGAATTTAAAAAGGGAAAGCCTGCTCTCATTTCTACCAATTCTGTGGACTTTGGATGGGTTTTGTGCCGCGTTGAGGAGTAAAGTCCACACCGGAGGCTTGTTCTCATCTGGGCACGAAGCTTCTGTACAATTGCGCAAAGCTAGTAGTGTTACAGTCAGTGGTTAGCGAAATGGAATTATATGAATAGCTTTACTTTATAGAATATCATACTTGAAATAATGTATAGATACCGGTTGAGGTGAACAGTAGCTGCCAAGCGCTGAAAGTAGTAATTTTCTTAGGTAAGCTGACTATCAATCTGCGTCCCTGTGGCTGTTATCTTGAGGTATCTTGGTCCGCTTACCAGCAGTTTCCTTGGCTCCTCTCTCTTCCGATCGTTCTTTTTAGACCCTTTTCTTCCTTCTCTCACTATTTTTCTTGCTAGACCTGCTTCTCCCTTCTGGTTAATCAACAGTCAACATCTTCTCGAGATGGCTACTGCAAATGCCCCACTTGCCCAACCCTCCTTTGATGTTACGCCCGAAAAGCAGGCTGGTATCGTTCGCTTCATCAGCGCGCAGTTGAGCTTTAAGCCCGCCCCTGTTACTGATGTCGATCTTACTGGCAAGACGGCCATTGTTACTGGTTCCAACTGCGGCATCGGCCTTGAGGTCAGTCGCCAGCTCCTTAATCTCGGCCTCGACAAGCTTATCCTTGCCGTCCGCAATGAGAACAAGGGCAAGGCCGCTGCCATCGACCTCGCTACTGGGCGCGACCCACCTCTGAAAGACGGGACAATCGAGGTCTGGAACCTTGACCTTGACTCTTATGACTCGGTTGTTTCCTTCGGCTCACGTGCTCAATCGCTTACACGTCTTGACCTCGTCTTCCTCAACGCCGGGATTGTCCTAGCCAAGCGCGCATTCAACGATGAGACCAAGCATGACGAGATCGTCCAGATTAACTACCTGTCTACGGCCCTCCTCGCACTCTCCCTCCTGCCCGCCATCAAGGCTGCTCGACCCAACCAGCCCGGTCCGACCCGCATGACCTTTACCTTGTCAAAGGGTGCCGCCTGGTCCAACTTCAAGTTCGACCCCAATGAATCCATCATTAAAGCTCTCGATGCTCCCACTAAAGACTATGACACCACTGCCCACATGATGACTTCCAAGCTTCTCGGTCAATTCTTCGTCGCCGATCTCGCTAAGCGTGTGCCATCCTCCCTCGCTATTATCAACAGCGCCTCACCCGGTGCCATTCACGACTCGCAGTTCAACCGTGAGATCAACCAAACCCTTGCAGGCGCCATATTCAAGAGGTTTCACAGACACGTTGCCAACACCTCTACAGTAGGTGCTCATATGATAACCAATGCTGCACTCAAGCATGGCGAAGAAACTCACGGACAGTTCTTATCATTCCAAAAGATGGTCCCGTAAGTTCTTTTGGATCCTAAACATCTGTGTTATTTGTTTGCTCTGGCTAATCGTCCACACCACCAGGATGGCACCCATTGTATACAAGGAGGAGGGCAGAAGAATTAGCGAGAAGCTCTGGCAAGAGACCATGGAGGAGCTGGACTTTGCTAAGCCCGAAGAGCTTCTGATAGCAGCCCTCAGCTGAGCCATGGAAATTGTCGTTTCATTCGTAGCTTGAATATTATTAAATTAGCTTCATTAGGGATCAGGCTCAGGTCTGGAATGAGTACTTCCTACCTCGACGATATTTGTTGCTTCTATCCAGTTTGTCTTTGTCCCACTAATACGATATCATTAGCTGCCGCAACTTTAGTCTGGTTTGCCACAGATATTATGCAATGAACTGCGAGAGCCAGTGACATCATCTCCACGTCCAAGGCAGGGTTTATACGAGTATGGATAGCTACTTTAGTCTTTTTTGTACTAGTGGGCGGGCGGATTCCCAATGTAGCAATAAAAGGGCATATACTCTGTCGCATGTCCCGCTGTAGTCTGTGGAAGGCGAACTGGGTCTCGCTCGATTTTTATATACTACTTAAGACAGAGACTTTGAGTTTCGGTGTCTATCAACCAAGATGCATGCTGCCTCTGAACAAAGCCAATTCCAATTCGCGAATACTTGTCACTATGAGCCTCATTTTTTGACAGCAAAAGAAACCTTGGGTAACCGACAGAGTGCTTGTAGAGCATAAAGCAGTGCACTCCCTCGTCGAGTTTTTCCCTGCTGTAGTCTAGATCGAGGTCAACTTCACCGATCTTGACACCATTTTCCTTATCAAGCAGGAATCTTTGGATCCTGTAGGAGCCGCCACTGTTGTCACCTAAGTCTGTAGAAAGGTACGCACGGCGAATGTGGCCGCGGAGAACAAGTTCCGCAGACGTGATTTCACCGTAAGGGTCCTTGTTTGCTTGATTCACTTGATAGCTAATGATGTCAAAAGCCTTCCCGTGGCCTCTCACGTTGACTGTGTCCGGATATTCAACGCGCCCTGGATGAGAGGTCCATGAAAACTGTGGGTGTTTGGCGAGCTTTTCGTCCGACCACGTTGGACCGCCTCTTCTCCATTCGAGTCCTTCTTCGAGCTCGGCCAGCCAAATCCCCGAAAGATAAGGCGACTGGATATACTCGTGGAAGAGTTTCGCGGCGGCGGATATAGCTGGGAGCCGGTCCTTTTGAAAGGTCACCCGGCGGCTAGTGTAGTCCGGTACGATATTTCGATTCCACCAGGATACGAAGTCTGCTTGTTTTCCAGTCTCCAGTTCTTTTGTTCTTCCATGTGTCCCATATCCAGCTGCTCCTGTTGCAAAGATCTGGTGGTAAAGATCGAAGATGTCTTCTCCCATGTCAAGAAGCTGCTCACGGGTAGCAAGCTGCTCGATTGGAGGAAACTTCATGCCCCAACCACCCTCCATGCCATTTTCGAGATACTGGAGAACCGCAGGGAGGGTAAATGTCATTGAAGGCTCATCAACCGTGGAGATCATATGGACGGCCAAATACATTTTTCGGCATTCCCAAACGAGTCCCTTCCGAGTGAAATGCAAGGTCCGGGGTGACAACATTCTTTCCTGCATGCACCACGCTCTTTGAGACAACGGGCTATGTTCGATCGCTGGTGGGGTATAGGTATTTCCGGGCATGACGGAGTGCGCATTCCAGAAAACGAGCGTGCTTTGCTGCCCACTCTCGAGGGTACTAGTAATTTTGGTCAAGTACGGCAACCCATCCTCGGCCTCTGTTGGGGGTATGTCCAGAAATCCCTCAGTAACAGAGTTTCCAACGTCTGCCGCGATTGTCACGTACCCAGTCGCGTATATGCCACCCATTTTCATAGATTCCCTCTCCCAGTCTTCGGCCGAATCTTGTAGAATACAAATCGCATCGATCCATAAGAATGGCACATCGAGTCCTCGGGCAACCCGAAAAGCATCCTGGAACGCTGGAGGAAGGTCCGTCCAGCAAATTCTATCCTTTCGCGACTCGAGCGTCTTGGTCGTTGTCTTGTACATCTGTTCGGAGTGTGGACCCCAACAATAGCTGAGAGTAGCATAAGGGTAGTGTCCTCCCTGGGCTCGACTCAAAGTCTTGATTTCAATAAGGCAGGCATCAGCAGTTTCCTCCTTGCCAAACGCGGACAAATGGATCAAACGGGCGGGGAGACAATCGAGCATTTTTCCAACCCCAATTGAGGTGCTACCTCTGTCTTCTACTGGCGTATTCGATGTTCCTTCAGTTCCTTCAGCCTCAGACCGGACGGTGACTTCGAGCTCATATGATGGGATTGAATTGATAAGTCCCTCGAGCGATAATGAGCTAGCTTGATCCTCCTGCTCCCCATTTGAGGACGCTTGTCCGTCGCGGGACGTAGATGTCTCCTCGGACCAACGGAATGGATCGCCACAAGTGTGTGACTGAAGGCAGCCATGCATGTAGACGCCGGCTAGAGTAGTGCTGAAACTGTCCCAAAGGTCGGTCCCAGGCTGGAACTTGGGTTGCACCCTGGCAGTGACGGCAGGATCTTGTTCGTCTACGCCGTTAATGATAATGATTAGCGCACAATTAGAGGCTCCTCTAAAATGTAGACTACTTACCACCCGTAGTATAAACTCGTACAAGGCCCTGTCGGCGCCATCCCATAACTTCTAGTTCTGCGTAGGCAAATCTACCTTCCCCTGGCACTCTAAGCCGACAAAGGAGGCTCCTTGGCTCGGAGTTGTCATTGGCATCCTCCTTCAGCGCATCAGATATGATTTTGCACATTGGGCATGTCTTGGTGCTGTCTAACAATTGGTCGAATGTTTCCCAGTGTTGGTAGCCTCGTGGGCTGGAAAGCGAGTCGACATTCAGACCGCGGCAGAGAGTACACAGGTCATTTGACGCCATGGTGTAGGGATGGCGTGAAATTGTAGAATATCAGAGGTGGCGGAGGGGATGAATAGTAACTTACGTTGCTGACTGCGCGACTTTCCACCTTTAGGCTCTTTAATAGCGACAGGCTTTCCTGTTCCTAGCCAAACTGATAAGGCTAGGCTTATTTTAGAAAACCCCGCATAACGAAACTGGATGAAGTCACGGAGGCAGCCTTCAAAAGTCCTTGCTGAAAGGAATTTACGCCACAACTGGCTATAGCCCGGGGATATTGATTGAACTAATGGTGGGTTGCAATTTAACGATATTCTATAAAGCGGTCTAATTGACCCATCGTTAGAGTCCAGAATAGGAACAAAGATTGCTAAAGATAAAATTGATCCATCAGAAAGTGAAATATTCACTCTCTACACTTCAAGTGATGCTTGTCGCCAAAGCCTTCCATCTATCCGTACAGCCCCACTTGCGCAAAAGCTTCAAAGACGCAAACTGGTCAGTATACATGCTGAGATACTGTGGCGAGGCCCGATCCTCTATGAACTCGCGCTGAGGGCGAAGCCTGCGGACCGTAGTAAGAAAGTCGTTCCAGTGGGTTCTGTGGCCCCAGACATGGAGTCTTGCATTTTTCAGCTCCGGGTCCAAGATGGCTGCTACGTGAAGAGTCGCGAGATCTCCCACATCCGTGAAGAAGCCTGCATTTCTTTAGCAGACAATTTGGTCAGATCAAACTTTTCTATCAGGACTTACTAGCAGGAAACGCGTCCAGCTGCTCTTTCCCTCCTTTAAAGATAGTTGTAACCCAATTGGCAGGTGTATTAACGTGCTTCTCTTGAAGCGGCTCCCCCAAGACACCAAAGGGACAAATCACGTTGATAGTAAACTTGGGCTTGTTCTCTTCAGCCTATCTCCAGACTTCTTTCTCGGCCGCAACTTTCCCCGCAGCATAAGCATACATGCTATTCGAATGGCCTTGTGGCGGTGGCGCCGAAGCAAGCTCCGTAACATAGTCATTCCAGGTATCATGTCCCACGCGCATAATTGTATCAGACACAACGGGTAGAGTAACAGCCATGATTGAACTTGTAAAGACGACGTCTTCGACCAACGGTTCCTTGGTAGCTGCTGACATGATGGCTTGGATGCCAGCGATAGAAGGAGGGATAATCTTATTTGGGTCCGGATCAAAACTGGTAATTGTTGCAATGTGAGCAATCGCCGACATTCCCTTGGCAGCTTCACGAAGGCGCCAGGCGTAAGTCCCTTCCAGGTGTTTCTTTGTTATTTCTGCATGACCAGCTGATTCCTTGAAGGAGCCATATCAGTTGACCGTCATTCTATAAGGTCCATGGGGCGATTAACTCATCAACTGCCAATGTAAGAGATTGCGCAGTCCTTGGAAGATTGTATACTTGTTCAGTGCTAGATAATGCTTTTCGTAGCGTACTTAAGCCCTTCTGTCTGTACCACAGGGTCATTCGCCTTAGCGTTGGGACGGTCGGATTAGCGCGTAGCATGTCCTGGCTGGCAGATAGGAAAATGGCGGAGTCAGGGCGAACCCAACCCAGTCTGTCAGAATTTTATCTTTCATTAGGTCGCAATAGGTAACCTTGTACGGCACAGTAACACCGATATCTGCAACAGCGTTAGACCCACGAACCACGCCCTTTCAACATTCTGCCACGGCGATATCGGGATCAAAAGTTTATGATGATATGGCACGTACAATAGTCCAACAGAAGGTATTCCTGAGAGGTCAACGGTCTGATCAAAGCTGAGAAGGGATCCTTGCAGTAGCTGATCATTCTGCTTTAGAATGGACTGTCCATCTGCCCAGCGCCTCCGGGCGGACTCTGCCGGACTCCGAGTTTGCCTTGGTAGGCCTTGGTACGCGAACGTCTCTCGTTCCCATGTCTTTGGCGTAGGACATGAGAATGCGTTACTTTTCGTTGCTGCGGTGAGATACGTTCCGTGGGGTCCGGGACTGTGATGAATTGGAAATTACGTGTCATGTTGAACTTCTTGGATTTGAACCTTGGAAGCGACCTTTCCAGGTATCCCTTAGTAGCAATTGGTCCAAGAATTCATGCAAGATTATAAGCAGTGCGATCACAGAATGCTGTCAAAAGTAGATTTGTCAGGTGGTTACATTTGTGCTGATACGTCAGCATAATGTCAAGACCTTGGACTTCCTATTTGAATCCTAGTCTAGGAACTCTTATAGCTAAGCTGTATTAGGAAAGGCCTTCTGAATGGTCTCCAATTCGTTCAGGGTCAGTGGGATAATGGTGCCATGTCGAGGAGACTTGGGGTAATTGTAATCTTTACCCAGCGTCCATTTCCCACCAGACAGGTTAGTTGATTCGAGTGGAACATAGCCGTCTCCGCCGAATTCGTCGGCCAGAAGGATATATCTAGGACCATTGACATCCTGACAATTGGTCTTGAAGATTGAAGGGCCTTCCACGTCTTGAGTTCCAGCGTTCTTTCCAATGCATGTGGCTATAACATTCCATTCATCTAAGGTCGCAGTGAGCGAGGAACTGCTTTCGTGAACAATATCCGCACAACCGTCAACAGTGGCTTTGGTGAAACGATGGTAGACTCCATCCTCCTTAATCACAGTCGAGTCAATTCTGCCATGGGGTGGATCGTCCTGCCACACCTTGGGTTCGCTGAAGGTAATAAAGTCCTCCGTAGTCGCATAAAGCATACGCTGGTATTCAATAGGATCATGACTTGGGTTTGATTCGTTGTCATAAATGCCAGATGCCCAGTAAACGACGTAAGTTTGAAGTTCCTCGTCATAGTAAGCTTCGGGTGCCCAAGTATTGCCGTAATTGGCAGGCGAGACCTCAACATGACGCTGTGCACTGAATGTGACAAGGTCATTCGATTCCCAGATCTCAAGATACCGGCTTCCAAATCGCTGGGCGTCCCCCCAGCTTGTTCCGCAGCCGATGCAAAGATCTGTAGCAAGGATGTAAAACTTGCTACCATCATGTGACCTCAAGATGAAAGGGTCGCGGACTCCACGGTCGCCTTCAGTGGAAGTCAAGATGGGCTTGCCATTGTTGAGCTCAGTGAAAGATAAAGCATTATTTCCGTTGCTTGCAGCCAGATAGATGTTTTCCCCACGGTTACTGAAGTAAAGAAAGGCGTAGCCCTCATATTCAGAGTCGCAATTGATTTGGTTCCTTACACCTAATGCCGGGGGTGAGGTTCCGGGAGTTGGTGACCCCGAGGCAAAGATAGGCAACGCCGACAAAGCGTTGAGCATGATGGTGGAAGCGAGAAGATGAAACATTGTGAAAAAGATAGTATGCGAATAACTTTGTCTATTACAATAAAGTCAGAAAGGAAGTTGGCAACTGTGTAGAATTTATAACCTCTTGTCCCTACGTTACTCGAATATTCGCTATGACCTCCCACTTCGTATTTGGAATTGGCGTTGATGAAGATCTTACCCTATAAGGATTTAAGGTTAGTTATAGTCTTGATGCTGATTTGTACGGATATGTAGATTGACGTGACCCCAGAACTTTCTTCCCCGCATCATCCGTGCGTCTCTATACGGGAAGAGTCTTGTGATATTAACAGGAATTGTAGATCATGGAAGATGGTAATCCGCACCAATCTTAACAAATGTATTAAGATAGCTTATGATGATATAGTCAATTATATGAACCGCGCCAATGGTGTACAATCCCCGATACGAGCTTCCGAGTCAGTGGCAACCCGAGGTGAACGCATCAAGTATTTAAACAGCATGGTTTGAAGATAAACTAGACAATTCTGTTCAATTTATCCGCTCTTCAAGGTTCAACTTCAAAATGAAAGCTTACTTGTTTCTCAATTTCTTCTTCTGCTGTTTTATAAGCCTTGCCTTTGGCTTCACCAATCCTATCAAAACCGGAAGTGACCCACAGATAGTATATCATGGTGGCATGTACGTTGCCTTCTGGTTGAAGCATCCTGCTGTGCGTTTGCTAATGTATCTCAGGTACTATCTAACTTCTACAACGTGGACAGATGTGAGAATTACCGCAGCATCCACGATCGATGGCCTCAAGACTGCCGAGTCAGTAGTGATTTGGTCCGATGTTTCCAATCCAGACAGAGCCTGCAACTTTTGGGCTCCCGAGATCCACAAAGTTGGCGGTCGATGGCACGTGTACTTTACAGCAAGCAAATGCGACCCTGACTGGGGCGTTGTTCTGCCGACTTTAAGGGTTTATGTTCTGGAGGGAGGTCTGGAACACCCGTTGTCAAGCGATTATCGACTTTTAGACTCAATTGTTCCCCCCAATTATAACGGAGGAATGCTTGATGCTGTAGGTTCTGACATATTCCCAGTTAGGACTGTCATACTAAGACAAGACTTTAGACACTTTTCGACATTGCAGACACAAGATATTTGCTTGTAAGTATCTATACTCTCTTTTAATAGCTCGGTGTATTAACACTCAAGAAGTTTTCATCAGTTAATGGACCTGAAAGCCCTGATGGAGCATCGCTCTGGATTGCTGAGCTCTTGTCGGCTGTTACATGCGGCAATGCCACCATGATCGCTGCTCCGGAATACGAATGGGAGAAGGAAGACTCCGCTGTTCTTGAGGGACCTTATGGAATCAACTCCCCTTCGGGGACTACTATGGTGGTCTACTCAGCTGATTCGTGCAGCACACCAGCGTATAAGCTTGGCGTCATGACGCTCACGGCAGGAGGTGACCCGCTACAACGGGCATCTTGGGTCAAATCTTCCGAGCCGATCTTTGAGACTAAGAATGGCCTCTATGGGCCTGGTCATAACGCGTTCTTCAAGAGTCCAGATGGAAAAGAAGACTGGCAAGTGTTCCATGCCAATCTAGTGGCGACTGATGGTTGCGGTCCTTCTCGGAAAACCTTTATCCAGCCTGTTAGCTGGAAGGGGGATCAGATTGACTTGGGCGACCCTCTCCCTGTTGACACTGAGATTAATCCACCTTCTGGAGAGTGAAACCTTGAGTGATATCTTGACGGAGGTCAGACTTAGAGTTGCAGGACTGCTAGGAAAGCTTCTGCTCATAGGTTTTCTTTCTGTTAGTGTTTATTATTGATCATCGCGTGAATAAAGCACCTACTTTTAGATTGTTCTTTGTTAATTGCAATATCTGATATTTTCTACCTTAAAACAAATCGTCAAACCACCAGATACTCGTAGATACACGTCAGCGCTATATAGCTTGAAGTACAGTTATTTTTACTATCTTTAGATACCTTTGATGAGGTTTTTAGTACTGTTTCCTTGCTGGGCTGTTGAAATCTAGGGTAGGGAGTTATTAAGGGCCGGGATATGTCCCGAAGTTTAGCCGATTTTGGTAAAAACCACCAAAATTAGCGAAGGCACAGCGGTGGGGCGCTTCCGAGACTAAACAGCCGCTTATTGGTTAACCAAGATTTGACCTTGAATCTAAGCAACAGGGCTCATCAGCAACCAAAACATGCCAAGACCTCAAATGGAGAGCTATGATAGGCTTGGAGCTTCCTGAAGGATCGCAACCTGACAAACGAAGGAACGGTAAAATTAAATGAGTTCCTCCTGCTCAAGAAAGCTCGTGTTCTTTCTCCTTGCATTCCATTTTATCGTGCTAATCTTGATCGCTTCCATATTTCTCTTTGTCTCCTTTACTCCTATACGTCCAATATCTAGATTTTTGATACCGTCAGTGGTGTTTTTCCCAATCCGCATTGCATATGCTGCAGACAAATTAACCGTCACCGCCAATATTGAACCGAGTCTGAGTCACTCAATCAAGTCTCCTGACGACATGGTGCCGCGATGGCTCGTTCCCTTCCTCCTTTTCAGGTTATGCCTTGGAGACAACAGTACAGGCACAAACAAGTACAAATGGGTCGCCAATAACGGCTATTGGACAGACGATCACAAGCCATGTGCTGACGAGTGGATTTCAAAATGTTACGAGCCTGACGAAGGTGATATGATTTCACTGCTTTGCAAATGCGGTCTAGGCAGCGAGGAAGATCAATTCGTTATTTCTTTCGCGCAATGTTTAGGCGACCAGGTACCTGACAAGGTCAAGGTCGAGAACGGTTACTTGGGATTGCAGGCGGACTGTATGGAAGGCGGTCTGGGTCTCAACATGACGCGAAATGAATTTATGCGAATTGCGGAGGGAGGCGAGCCACACCCAACAGCTTCGTCAGGACCATCAACTGGTGCAATCGCTGGTATCGCCGTTGGTGCTGTCGCGGGAGGCGCAATAGTCGCTGGACTTTTTATATGGATTTGGTTGACACGTCGCAAGAAGAACGGGAGCAAACTGGAGTCTAACCCACCCAATTCGCCAACGCCTGACAAAGCATGGGGAGCAGAGTTCAAACCTGAGTGGACTGCCAACGCGCCGGTCGAGTTGCCCCCAACCAACTATGCTGCAGCTGAGTTGCCGCCAGAGTCTGCACCTATATACGAGATGGATGCGATGCCGACGAAACCTGTGGAGGTGCAAGGATCGATACCAGGAGATATGACGAAGGAGGAGGTAAAGTTGGAGAAGGATAATTGAGGCATTCAATAAGTGGGCGGCTCAGACGGCTTGGCTACCAAGAATGTAGATGGAAAGCAAAAAGAGACCACAGACAGAGATACCCTAATAGCGTTCTTACAATCAAGACATCCATACACACAAAAGCCTGACCTATTTGTGGAACTGCTTGAGGAAATAAGTTCGTTCAACCGCATCCACGGATTCGATGTTAAATTAAAGTGATGGAAACGGGGTTCACCCGGACTGCCCAGCCTATCCCGGTTCCAAAAAGCTTGCCAATACGTTTAAACACAGACCCATCAATATGCTCAACCACAAGACAGGCAATCCCATACCCTCCAAACGAATCGGAGCCAGAATGAACAACTATACAAGTCCCGTTGCAGCTAGGCTGGCTGTACTTCCGCATGATTTCCTCTGTATCGTATCGGAGTTTGACCCTGCCGCCGTACAAATATTGTGTCATGTCTGCATCAGCGAACAAGCGATTCTCATCAGGTGCCTATCGAATTTGACACCAGTAAAATATACCTTTGATATCAAGTTGCCACTTTAGATCTTCACCTTTTTTCTGATCCCGGCGAAGACGAACAGGATATGTGATGTCGGTTCTCCTCCATGTTTTTGATGCGCCATTGGGACCGTGACCCTACCACCTCGCAGACAAACCCAACTCCAGGAGGGTGCAGTGCCTATATTGCGTTTTACTGGGGCGCCCTCAGAGGCATTGGATTGCCACATGAGATCTGTGTGGAGTGAATTCCTCCACAACCCAATCATGTATCTGTCGTCCGTATAGAAGTCTTCGAACCTTTTAGCCACGCCAAGAATGGCAATCCCACGGTCTTCCTCATAAGTCAGGTCACAGGTATTGTATGTTTGCACCATAAGTCTCCAGCATTCCCGCGGCGCAGGCCATTCAAACTCGGAGGAAGGTCTTCCTTGACGAATGGCGTTGCGAACTTCTAAAGAGGCTCCCTCAATGATCTTCCTGAGAGTATCTTTGTATCCTCTCATCCCTCTGTACTCTGGTGTGTCTTGGCCATGTTCTAAGGACCCGAAAGCATTGTGCGGGTCTTCTCCGCACCTTGTGAACTCCAAGCATTCCCAATATAACTGACTCCGGGTGAAGTGAATGATCCTTCTGGCGAGAAACCGTTCTTGAACAACCCAGCCCCGTTGGCTCAGAGGTGAACTACTGACGTCGTGTTGGAACATATTAGGGTATGAGAATACACGATTTTCAACGCGACGCTCTGTATCCACCTGGAACTCGGCGTTGGCTGAAAAAGGACGGAAGGTATTGGGCTCAACAATCCGCTGCCCGAAGAGACCAACCGAAATGTCGGTAAGACGACCCGATGGCAGAGATATTGCAGAAGGAACTTCCATAGATATCCTTCATCAGTGCGGCCTCTACATTCCAATCCGATGACAAGTCCTGGAAGATGCATAGCGAATCTATCCAAATATACTGGTATCCTAATTGATGGACAAGTTGCACTACATCTCTGAACGTCGGGGAAAGTTCATCAAGGTTGATGCCTCTTCGGAAATGCTTTTCGTTGCTGACTGTCCCTTTTTCGCTGTTGCCTTTGTAGAGTTGAAGCACCTTTTCAGGGTCACCCCACCGGTGAGAGAGCGTCCAGTAGCATGGGAGGCTTTGCTCGGCGGATTCAAACTTGCCGCCAGGTGCCGTCAGAGTATGTATCTCATCTTTATCTCGCAGACTGAATGTTCCATTTTCGATATTTCCTGTATCGATAACCCGAGTAGGAAAGAATCCAGGATTGGTAGACTTTGAGCAATATGGATGATCATTGATGCAGTTGTTGAGCTAGACCCTGAGCGTGTCTAGCGGTTCATCTAAACCAATGCCTGGAATATTGGACAAAAGTATTTGTGAAGCAGAAGCTCGATTGTTATCGACAACGTTTGCGCCATCTGAAAGATCAGAGGATGCAACATCCCGGTCTCTGATGCGGACTGCTAGAAGTTAGATTGGATGGTCTTGAAACCGAAATTGTTATAGGAGCGAACAAACCTTTGATGGAGAATGGAGAGCCCCACGAGCACTCTCCTTTGAAGCATACTCCGCTAGACATATAAGACAGTCCTTTGAAGTCACTACAAGTCTCAAAAATCTTCTCACTTTCGAGACAATCGGGGGGTGGAGGGGGGACTTGTAAACTCAACCAACGGCAAAGAATGCATCCAGCAGCCACGCTGGACAGCATATCACTGTAATTTTTGTGGTGTTGAGTCCATGACAGATAACTGTCATTGGGGTTCGAAAAGATGTTGCGGCAAATTCTGCAAAGAGTTCTCTCCTCCATACTGACTGCCTATCGTTGGTGATGCTACTTGGACGAGAAAGAGAGTTGCATTCAATTCATATGCATTTTAAACGTGCTGAGACTTCATGCGAAGAAAGTAAAGGTGCCAATCTACCCCGCTTGTCCTCAGTGTGTGTATTGGCAGTAGCTCGAAGGGCCCCCATTCTTGTTAGCTACCATAGCAAGAAAATGAGGCTGACATCACGCACTGACCCTATACCTTGGCAAGTAGGTTAAAAAAGGAGCAAAAGTTGGTTCAGGATGCTATAAAGGTTAAGATAGTCTATCCTAAGCTTTAGTACCTAAGCATGTCTGAGTTATTTATTACCTAGCGTCTGTATCCTGGTCATTTTTCGAACCGCCTGCTTGCCGAGCTGAACTTCTGTGGTCCATTGAGGTAACAGCAGCCTGACAACTGTTATCGCACCCTGATAAGCCTGATAATTGTGATGAAAAATAAGAGTCACTCTAAAATCCAATTTGGGAAGAAAATTTATTCCCGATAATACTTAGAATCTATATTAGCCTAAAGCCTTGCTAAAAATAACAAGCTAAGTTACTACTTATTATTAATAACTATTTTACCTAATTATATATTATTATTACTATATAACCTAATCTACTAATTAGAAGTGATCTTAACTTAGCCTTTAAATCTATACTTAAATTAATTAAAATTTCTATATTAGTAAATCTCTCTTTCTTTATTCTCTATTTAATATTTGCAGATCAAAAATTAACTCCATCTTCGTACACTCTTTACCCGGATCCGTAGGTAGCCATGCGTGAGCCTCCTCTCCAATCTCAAACTCAAGTGTGTGGCTAGTTAACACAACTTAACATTACGCTCAGGTTCCTTGGTTGAAAGTGATGATTTTCTAGTTATTGCTTTTGCCTTGCAACCGTGTTGAATGGGAATCCCGAGGATATCTTCTAGGCATGGTCATTATCTTCTGACTTAAATTGGCTTCGTAATCAGGCCAGAGTATGGTTATTTGAGGCATCTATCGGTTTCAGACGTCGCGACAGGTTAATAATTGATTTGATCTCAACAGTATGATACCTCACAATGTCAAAATAATTGTAGTGCGCTATGTTACTGGCCAGAGCCGGGTGAGAGGTGAGAATCAGTTCTAGCGCGAATTCCATATAGACTGTCTGGTCTCAGGCCATGAATACTCTTGGTCAAATGTATTATTAGATGTATCTATCAACGCGTTCCGTGTACCTTGTTGCAGCGCTTTGAGTACCCACAGCAACAGGTCTAGGTGTCTTCTGGATGTCCTTGCCTATGCGTATCCGACTCAGACCACTTCTGTTCTACAGCCTGGTCCCAATCCACAGCCGAGCTTCCACCATTCAGCTCCAGGTGTTTCTACAAAAGCAACAATGTTCATCTGGCCAACCAGAATATTTCAATAGCTGATTAATGTTCAAAAAACAAATGCTCTCTCCCATCGGCCATTAGAAGTGCCTGATGGTTCGGCAACCGGTGACAACCTCGAAGTCATCACAAGCCTTGTTGTGAGCATCGAGAATTGCCCTAAGGACAATCAGTTAATGGAAGATTGAATTGGAACAAAGACATACTTACTTGTGGCCCGCAGAACCTCGAGCACCACTTGAATCCAGGTAGTAATCGTCTCCCCAGAAGCATTGGTCGTTGATGGTAAAACCGACTGTACCAGTGTACAGGTCGCAGTAGACTTTGAGGAGCCGGTCTTCGCGAGGGTTGGTGATAAGCTGCATGCGGTATCTGTCAAGACCACTCTCGACCCAGCTCTTAACGTATTTGACTTCAAAGGAACAAGCAGCCCGCTTGACCTCATTTGCTACTATTTGTTAGATACGAAGCATTGTGAGAATCCAGTCACATACCACTCTCAGCAGGAGCGGCCATAGCTCCACTGAGCATAGGGATAGCTAGAACAGCCTGGGTGAACAGAGTGAACTTCATTCTGAATGAAGTAGGTTAAAGGCGACAGATGTTGATTGGAGGTGATTGGCAGTGAATAATGAGAAGAGAGTGGGATAGAAAAGAAGTATTTGCTCCAGAACCAACGTTCATCTTATAGTTGTACAAAAGTATCTCTATACTACAGTAAGCTGATACCAGTTCCCATAGTAATTTAGAGCTTGTAAGACTATCTTCAGGCCCCAGCCTCCATCGCTGAACAATGTATTTGTCGTGTCATCTGAGAATCCTACGGATCCATGATGTGACCGCCGAGTCGGCGAATCATCAATGTCGGAGTTGCATCGGGAAAGTCACCCGACGGGTTGGAGCCGCCCGGGGTCAGCTATGAGGCATTTGCGAGGCTGCCAAGCTTGAACCGTGGATTTGATAAACCCTTGCACGTAGCCTCGAGCAGCTCGCCTATTTACCTATTGATAGCTAGCTGGGAAAATCGTTTCCTATGATTTGATACAAGTCTCCGATCGTTTCATGTAGCCCCGTAATCAATCTTTAAATGAACACGGTAGCCCGCCACCATTTCTCTCGGTGGACCTGCTGGGGACTTTCTCTCCAAAGGTTCGCCGCAATTGTCCAGGGATTGATTCGACAACAGTGAATCCCTTCAACTGGTGCTTTTGATACTGTGGGGCTGGATCTTGGGTCTCCGCCCATGGGCCCACGAATTACAGGTAACGAGTGACCCTTTTACCAAAACGTGGGTAACAAGAATACTGACATCCTCATTTATTCAAGACCCATTCTTTGGTGGTGGATGTTGTGGAGACTACGGAGTAGACGCATCCGTGTCTGTTAGCTGCGGACTTTGGAGTTGAAAAAAAAGGATACTAGAGTATTACCTCATGTGGGGAACATGGAGTTGGTCGATTTCTCCAAAGACTAACTCGTCGGCGCAAATGAAAAGTTCTTCATAATCTTCACTATAGCAAGCTGTCGTCTATCCCTCGGAAGCTTGACAACAGGCTCTGCCTCTACTGGAGTAATAGAATTAGAGAGTGCAACAACGAAAGATAAATTCATCCTCGAGCAGCGATGTAATAAGGCTAATGGCACTGAAAATTTGATTCGTACGATACCTGCGGGAAAATTAAACAAAAAGGACCCAACTGTAGAACATAAACTATCGCCACTATCTAAGCGCTATCTAAGCGCTGGAGCTTATCTCACCGTATCATGTAGAATCTGTGTACCCGCAGATCATTTCGAAGGACGGACACGGCCACAATTTGCACATCACACGGTGTAACAAGCCGGTCAAAGTGGATAGTTTCCACAATACCTTCTAGGGGTCGTACCTGTCTCCGCATGAATGTGGATATAGGGATTCCGAACCCTACATCCAGAATCCCAAAATACTGCTATCGCAAGGGTTTTTTCATGCTGTGTGTAATTTCCGCCAGATTGTTGAGGCAATTCAAGGATGAAGCATCTATGGAATCGGTGGAGACGCTCATGGCCGGCTTGGCCTTTGGCTTCCAAGGTCCATTGGAGTGTTACTGCGATAACATGGCTTGACGAAAGGAATGACTATAAAGGAAAACATTGTCTCAAAGAATATGTTTCGAACTTACCTCTCTACATCTTCTCGCAAGCATTAAGCCACTCCCCTTTCTCAAGTCCATCAACATGAAGTTCTCCATTCTCGCACAGGCTGTTCTGGCCATTCCTGCTCTTGCCTCAGTCATTCCCGAGCCTGTCGACACGGCTAACCGTAAGCCCACTGTTAAATTGATAACGAGGTTGTTGAGTAATGATAACCACGTTTAGTTACCGAGCGCGCGAACTGCAAGTTGACTCTCCAATGGCAGTCCAACTGGTATGAGAACGGCATGAGAAGATATCGGGTCCAGATGATTACAAGCCCCCGAAATGATGATCATCTTAAGGTATACTGCGACATTCTGGCGAAGCACACTGTTCAGCTTGAGAATCAGCAATGTTACTGGAGAGATGGCATGTATGTCGTTGACATCAGCGAAGTCCAAGGTCCAGCTGGTCATTCGTAAGTTTCTGGTGCATCATTACTGTTTATTGCTAACCTTGTGGTCACTAGCCAGTACAAGAACCAGCATAATCTCTCAGCCGATTGGTTCGAGAAGGGAACTGGCTGTGATGTTATTCAAAACACCTAGACTGCCTATGCTAGCGTTCTGAGTTCTGGTCCTTGATTTGTACAGTTATGGGCTGATGGCCGAATAAGCTCGCATATACACATCATGCATGGGAATTTCTATAAGGGCGTGCTAGGCTGTGAGACAAAGGTCGTTGTGGGGACAGAAAGGGTTGGAGAAGCTGGGTGGTTGAAGTTTCTTTAAAAACATGATTTGCAGTCGCTGTTTTCCATTGAATCTCATAAGTCTACGGAAATATTCGTTAAATTTTAGAGGAGGCCGCAGTGATTCCCAAATAGATCAATACTAGCTACTAGAAGAATAAATCTAGGCTTGCGTTATAGGCATGTAGATCGTTGTTAGGGAGCGACATACAGCAGCCATCTATTCATTGCCCGTATTGTCCCCACCACATCAAGCAGACTTACAGACTCAATCGAGTAACAGCCATTACTGCGAGGACTGGAGCAACAGCGGATTCATGATCTCTGCTGTCACTTCGTCGCACATGATCAGTGGTAAAATCCAATACACATTGTGACCATTGTGTTATCACAAGCAAGTTATGGTTGATAAGCATAAAGCCGAAGGCGAGAATCTAGAACGGAATCGGAGGCAGTATAGAACTCTACAACCCAAGCTGAAACGCCGATCTAACACTTCTAGACTACACGTGGGTTAGACTGACATTTAGCGTCTAAAGGAAAAGAGTGAAAGCTTGTCGCTGAACGACAGATAGGTACGAATGACGTGGTTCTTCCACCCTTACTCTACAGTGATCACTGTATAGCAGCCAGCCTCATCTTACTATCTGAACAATTACTAAAATGAAAACCGATCCTGCACGTCGCTATCTGGGTTCCACGAAACATCACCCTTATGGAGATGCGCTATTTGTACCAGCCTCATTCTAATGTTTTGAACCACGCGTTATCGAGGCGATCACAACACTGGGCCTCCCCATGCCGGAAGCCGGCCTGCAGGATCTCCTGGCTTATGATGTTACGATCAGCTTTCGACTCAAGCTAGTGAATCTCTTCTAGACGGACTTCGGACGCCTCCAGAAAGCTCGAAGTGTACATTAACACAACGGTGGCTGAGAAAGGACGTCACAGAGGCGGAAAGAAATGGGGTTGACGAGTTATTTAAGGGGATTACTAAGATGTTCGAGACAAACCAGCCCGAACAGCCTCTCCGATAGTCTATCGCCAACCTAGTATCGTCTCAGGCTTTAAAGCTACCAAAAAACCTGCAAATTCAGTATTTGATACTCTGATAGCCTGTAATGATTGTTCCTGTCATCTGTTGTATGATTCCAATGCCAAACTAAAGTTAGGCACATATCGAGCCACTGAGAAGAGGACAAGCCCACACAAAGGCATCACGCAGAGAATTGCAAACCCCCCACGTGGTTGTGCTGCAGCAACCCAATTCCTTTCCCGTTTGCAGTCAAGAGCGAAATCGGAGATTAAACGATGGTTTGAGAAAGTCAAAACCTCTACAAACGGGGAGGATGGACTTGTATGGCTGAGACAAGACCGGAAGTGTTTGCGAAGGTGGCCAAAATGTCTCACGGGATGTCGCACAGTAATAAGAATACAAGAAATGAAATGCAGGGTGGCCTCAATTCCAGTGTGGACCCATATGACTCTCTACGGAACCTTGCTAAGACAAGGCGGTCATTTATGCCATCAAAAGATCCTCAACTTGGAACCTTAGTTCATCGAGTAAGAGAATCGCTACGGTCTCAGACATGGCGTCATGCGTCGTGGAGTTGTCGTAATAAAAAGAATGGTGAAATCTTGACTCATATTTGTCAGGGACTTTTGTTTTCTGTAACTAAAGTAATAAGACATCTTCTGGGCTGAAGGCGAAGGGGTCTCAGTTGACCTGGAATCAAGAGGCCTGAGGCACTGACATTACAACAAGAAATGTATTAGCCACAGACTCAAGTGGCCACTGACGGGAGTTGCTGGAAGAAGGATACTGGCGAAAAGGTCAAGACATTCAAGTGACCAAGATAACTGGAGTGATAAGCTGCTGACGGACGGTAGTGAGACAAGTTTCTCTGGCCAGTCTTTTGACAACCTGATGGTAACACGCTAAATTGCTTTTCGACGTGACAAGAACAAGGCTACCAACCGCTTGTTAAATATTCAATACTTCCGCAGTAGTTTGGGCACGAACCAGGCATTTGTAGCTTTTGTTATAATTCGTAATCCTTAAAATTGAATTGGCCTACTTGTCGTGTTGACTGTACTTGGCACCTGCTAGATAAGATCAAATTTAACATCACCAAGAAGTGGTGCGTTGTGTTTTAGGTAAGGGGACCAGGTAGGCCTGTTTGTAATAACCTTATTGCCCAATTGTCAAGTTTTACAATCGGTCGCTGTGTTTCGAAATTATCGTCGATATTACATTTAGTGCTCAAAGCAAACTAGGATGACTTGAACTGTGCGACTCGATAACTGACCTTTTAAAACCTTAAATAGGCAAACTAGGATATGTTATACCTACATTAGCTCATGGTCTGTTGAGACTTATATAAGAATGTTAAAAGCTTAGCGAAATTCAACATTATTTTGTTTTATAGACGCTACTCTCGTTAAGTTGGAGGTATTAGCTTACTTATTTTTAAAGATGTAACGTATATAAATTCATCCTATTGTTAGAAAGAATAACTACTTGAAGTAATACGTTAAGAGTGGAACGGAAGAACTACAGATACGTGAAGATTGAGAACAACGAGCCCAGATTCAAATTGAACTAACTATCAAGATATGTTGAATATCAAAGCAAAAGCATACTACATCACCAAGTCGGTGTGAGTATTCATCGAGAAACAAATTTCAAGACTCTTGTAGGGGCCTAGTCGTTTCAGCCTATCCTACCCAATACTATAGGTGCGAGCAGGATCTTCGAAGTACTTAACACTTTTGAGGCTTGACGCAATATCCCAGCTGACAAACTACATTAGTAAGCGTTGCTAGTATATGAACTTGAACTTACTTTGTTGCGAATGAGACCTTCTTTACAGAAGCAACCACTAACACACTCCATGGTACAGATTTCAGGCTCAGGATTGCCACAGGTCTTTGGGCATGCTGAGCCGCAGTCCAGGTACCTCTCGCCCTATGGTTCTTACTTAGGACCTTAGCGCAGTCTAAGGACAATTGAAACTTACACGCTTGCATTTCTGAGCTGACGAGGCAGGGATAGCTAGGATGCCAGTAACAAAAAGAAACAGAAGCGAGATACAGTGCTTCATTGTGGACTTGTGTTAAGACGTCGGGTTTATGTCGAGGCGTAGTTAAGATGTTGAGATGAGGTGGACAAGATTGGGAACACCTGGAGGAACGCCCTCCTTTATAGTTGTTCTCCCTAATACTTATATGCATGTTAGCAAGATCCTACTTATGACGCCATGTTCTGGATTTCCATACCAGACGTGCTGTCACATTCCATCTGCCACGCCTATATGTTTCCCTCGTTACCCTATACTCCATATACCTATATACAATATACTGTGCATGTTAGGCTTTTTGTGCACAGGCATACAAAGAATAGTTTCGTGTCCTTATTTAAAACAGCGTCCATAGGTAGTATTCTTATTTCTTATGTATCTAAGAATCGCCGGGGAGTTGATTGTTAAACATTATTCCAAGAAATTAAACTACTATACAGTACCTATTCATTCCCAACAAGGTAATACATGTAGAATATATGCATTCAATGTTGAATCTAGTCATTTTCATAACGATTACTGAGAGCTGTTTCCCTATACATCACTGATTTTCTCTACCTGAAGTGGAAGACTTCCTTCAACTACTCCCAATTCCATCAAGCTATACTGTGCAGCCGCGTAGATATTAAGTCACAATGAACATGTTTTTCCTTTGGCATATTACACCTGTTACACGGAGGTCTTACGTTAGAATGCAAGAATTCTCATCGGGAGGGTTTGCTAGCCCCCACCAACTGAATCAGATCGGTCCGTCCATAATGTTATCTTTACCTCGTGCAAAATTTGCATGCCATGCAGGTAGGAGCTGCATTCCAGCATATGTAACGATATGTCTTGTCTTGAGTTGAATCCAAAAAAGGAGGCGACGGTAATACGAGAACGAGACATATGTAAACTATGCAATTGCCTACATAATTTAGAAGTTGTGTCTCAACTTGGCTTGTCTTCCAACACACAGGAAAACTTTTCACAATTATTTCTGTACTGGGCTGAACGAATCATGTATCATTCGGGGTGCTTGACTAATAGGCATCTAAGAATATTCTGGCATGACCGATAACAGCTGTTTTGCATATGTGGCGGCCGTTGCCGCAGCGTAACGCTGCCACTCTTTGTTCTTATGCGAGTCGGCATAGTCGCAAATGCCTCGAATGACTAAGCAGGGAGAGATATCCATAAGTCCAGCCGCCTCCATCTCAACGCAAAGTGCTTTTGTGTCTTGGCGAACTCGCTCACGACAGATTCCATCTCGCATGACTCGATTGGCGGATGCTATGGGTCCATAATGGATCTCGGGCTGAGTACTTCCGCGCTGTGGACGATGTTCTAGATAGTTCACGTCACACTTCGCACATGTGGAACATTCATCCTCATGATGGTAGGTGCCCTTGAATAGCATATCGTTGGCTGAGCCTGGATGTGACCAGCTCTCTTGCGAGTCCCTCTCTAGACTGGCGATACTGCTCTCGATAGGGAATGTCTCTCCAGAATCTGGTACGAGCCTGCGAGCCTTAAGTAGTGAAATCCCTTTCAGTAGCCCGTCCGGTGGGCGATTCAGATGGCTTGTTATCTTGAAAAAACCATTGGTAATCTCTTTGCCGTAATCGTATTGAACGACTGCTGGTGAGTCATCCAGGGATACACTGACAACAACATCTCCCAGTCGTATATCAGCTTTCGCACTCGGCATTCCGCCTGCAACACCTACCAACAGCGTGTATTGCAAAGTACGGAAAGTCTGACGCATTTGTTCTGCTACCCGAGTTGCAGATGTTGTGCCTGCACCTCTGTATGGTAAACAAACTATGACCGTTTTTACGTGGGCCATACGGCCAACAACATAGACGTTCTCATCCAATCTTTCCTGCTTAGGATTTTTAAAGACTTCATCAAGTATTCCTTTCGCTGCTGCAAATTCTTCTGGCAAAGCGCAGATCCACGCGGCAGTGTATTCTGTGGACTTCGGTTGAATTCTGTTGCTAATGGTGCCCGGCCTGACAATGTCGGATTTGGGACTCGCCATCGACGTCAAAGATGTTGAGGAGCCCTCGGTTAAAGCTGGAGATACGCTAAGGTTCATAGCGCTTGTAGTGTCCTTGTTACTAGACTCAAGCCCTGGGGCGCGACGACGGTGAATTCTGGAAGATTCAAAATGCTGATACATAGCCTCTAAGCATGACTTCTAAGTAAAGACGTACTTGAAAATGAACTCTTACCATTCTTCTTTCGTGCTGATTTGCAAATCTCTTATTGCAACCCACGCACTGGTTGTTAAAATGTTCCTTGGCTTTCATATGATCTTCTAATGCCCCACGATCATCAAACGACTTATCACACCGCTCGCATTTTTTTTTTTCGGCTTCTGATGGCTCGTATGATTTTTCTTAGCCATCCTGATAATTCCGTCAGGGTTCCGGAAAGATGAGAGAAGTAGGATGATTTAATTCAGTGAGAGTGAGGTTTGACTTCATTACCCCGCTCCGCGTGACATTCATGATACCACACCATCAGTTCGTTCATTGGTTGCTTGAGGCTGTCATGCGGAAATCGGAGAAAGTGGAAAGGCTCAAAGGGGCGGAGGTTGCTAATGTAATTGTTAAAGCTAGCATTCTCTCTACGGGTAAAGAACGACCGAGAACTCGTACCCTGATAGTTGATTCTGGTTGGAGACTCCAGAAATCAGGATAGCAAGACCAGTAACCAGCTGCTGGTCGCTAAGCGCGAAGATGAACTGAGTAACAGCCTGTTTTCTTGCTTCGGGAGATTTCTCGTAACCCCCGCGGTAGGCGAAGGTGCTGAGCTTTTGAAAGATCGGTATTATATTTCCGCCTAATTGATCACATGTCGATCCAGTTCGCTGCTGAACTCATCACCCAGGGAACCAGAAAGGTAGCCGAATATCGCAGCTGTTATCATTATTACGGCTGTGATAAGGAAGGCTGCTAGGGCCTAGTATTATGCAGTTTCTGTCAAGACATGTTTCTCTATGATGACCACCATTGACGTACCCCAGGGCCAGCCATATCGGAGTTAACTGTGATGTTCCCAAGAGGTGGTTCGCAGTCCAGTCCTTTACTATTACCGGCCATTTCATGCGTGATTGGGCGACTTTCTTTCGGAGCTAGGGCGTTCAACCTTTTTATCAGATATGCCAGCTACTAATAGTGGCTACTCAGCGGGCTACAGAGCTGAAGGGAAGCAATACATCAAACAAGGACGCAGGTGGTCTTGAATGCCAAGGCGGGATATGCAGAGCGGCTGAACTTATAATAAACCCCCAGGACTAGGATTCGGTGATTGACTGAACTGAGCCCGTGATCTACATAACCCAGCATCCAGGCAAGGTGCCTGACAATAGGCCTGGAATTAAGCCACAGTGCCACCCTGATGTTGGTTACTAATAGTGCCAGATCGAGAACAAGCCACCTTGTTATGAAAGGCAAAGATAGGCACAAAAGAGCTTTATAGACTATAGTCCTAGACTACACGAGGGGTAAACGAGGATTGCTACCAGTGAACAATACTGACAATTAAGAAGCTCAGCTGAAAACTAGTAGCAGCTTATTGCTAAATAATAGATGCAAATAACATAGTTCTTTTCTTATTTTCTTATAATAATTAATACTAATAAACTAACCTTAATATACTATTTAAACTACTTATTTTGCAAAAACAATAATAGATCTTGCGCAGTACTACCTAGATTCCACGGAATATTACCCTTATAGAAATGCTCTATAAACCAGCCCCGTTCTTGCGTGTTCGACCAATTCCCCGGGCTACCTGGATGAACAGACTCAGCCTCTCACCTTGCTCAGACCATCTCACTATCATTTTAGGTGCGACCAACATCGCCTAAGCTGTCAGGTCTTACTTGCTCTTTCGCGTAGTACGGCTTGGAATTGACACGATTACCCGGTACCCGCTATCAGCGTCCATTCGCTTAGTGCCGCGACCCACTCGGTGATTTTTGAAAAATACCGACCATATCGCGATAACGAGATAAGACATATGACCAGTGACCTTGAAACACCAGTACAGTCAGCCCACAGCTTCACCAGAGACGGTAATGTACGGATATCATTAAGCGTGTTTGTTATGTCCTATACCAACCATGTTCCATTACTCGGAGGCAGTTCAACATAAGACATTTTTATCATTCCATCTTTCTGTTTAAGTGCCGAACTCATTCGGTCCCTATCATGTCTTCTCAAACTCGAACCCGTGACTTTATTGGCTATGGCCCGAGCCCTCCTAAGTTTACTTGGCCTGGCGGCAAACGAGTCGCTATCAACTTTGCGATCAACTATGAAGAAGGAACAGAACGAAGTCCTCTTGCAGGTGATAAGGAGCGCGATTCTCGCACGTGGGTCCGAAGTACGCTTCCACCCAGCGAGCGTGATCTGATGCAAGAAGCCGAGTACGAGTATGGCACACGAGTTGGTATTTGGAGACTACTACGCATTTTCAAGGAGCACAATGTCCCCTACAGCGTCTTTGTCTCATCTGAAGCGCTTGTCGTCAATCCGACTTTTGCTGAAGCATTGAGAATCGAGGACTGCGATATGGTTTCTCATGGAACGCGCTCTATCAGTCGGATAGATCTTACCGAGGAGAAGGAGAGGGCAGACCTCCGCCGGGCGGTGGACCAGACCCTAGAACTGACGGGCAAAAGAATACTTGGTGCTTTCCCCAGACCGCCTATCACGGATGATAGTCGCCGTGTCATGGCTGAGGAAGGCCTACTGTACGATTCAGCAACAACCAATGATGATCGTCCGTATTTTGCAGACGTCTCAGGCCGACCAATGTTGGTTCTTCCTTATGCGATAGATACCAATGATGCTCGATTCTGGGGTGGACAATCTGGTCCAGGCTTTATAGGATCCACGGATTTCTTCGACTACCTCAAAGATGCATTCGAAGTGTTGTACAGTGAGTCGGGCGAGAGCGCGACTATGATGTCAATTGGTCTGCACGCACGTATCATGAGGCCGTGGCGTGTTGCCTCAATCATTCGGTTTATCAATTATGTGCAAGGATTCGAGGGTACTTGGATTGCTAAGAGAAGTGATATCGCCTCGCATTTCGCAAGGAAATTTGCTCCCGATAATACTTAAAATCCGGACTACCTTAAAGGCTTACCAAAGATAGAGAGCTAGGTTACTTCTTATCGTTAATACCTAGTTTACCTTATTATATATTATCTTTACTGCTTAAGTTAATCTACTAATTGGAAACAATTATGCTTTAGCCTCTAAGACCCTTTCTAGATTGATTAAAGTTTCTGTATTAGTATACCTCTTTTTCTTAACTCTCCCTCGGACATTCGCGGATCGGAGAGTAACTCCCTCTTTGTACACTTTTCACATCCGAATACCAGCCAGACGTGGATCTGAGAGACGTAGAGGTCTCCCCTCTTTCCAAAATGCAAGCGTTTTCGTTATGGGAGACCAGTGCCTCCCCCAGCTGTTAAAGTCATCTCCAAGCAAAGCTTGACCGTGAGAAAAGCCCGGATGAAAGCTTGGCCCGACTACCTTGTAATACCCTCTTCTTATCTGAGACCGAAGGACCAGGTTGCAGCGCAACCCTAGAACAGTCACGATGATGTCGCCTGCTCGACTATCTGCTGGGACACGGGCGAAACTTCCGTTTCTGGTTCTCGTGCAGCCAGTTGCTTGAATTCGCGAATAGTCGACCAGTTGATCCACAAAACCCGCTTTGGTGGTGTTGTATGTTATAAAATGTCGAATGAGGGCTCTCCCACTTTACAACGACATGTATGCACCACCTGGAGGACCTTTGGTTCTAGCTATATGATAATCCCACAGGCACCCAAGCGTCAACATGGCTATCAGCTCGTCGAGGCAGTTATCGTCTTTGCGAAAGTCCTCATCGTCAGTAAGACATCGTAACATCTGCATAACTGATACCATGTAATCGTCCTCAGGTTGCGAGTGACCCCGTGGGCGGATAACAATTGGGGTACTGCATATCTCACCACAAGCCATTCCAGATACCTCCAACACACCAGACTTAATCATAGCAACAGAAGAGGCTGATCTCCCACTAGCGTCGCTGTTGAGCAGCAGCATCCCGGAAAGCTTTCCGAGGTCCACCGTCCAGGTTGGGAGTGTATCCGAGTTACATAGTTCCAGGAATTGAAGATCTCGATTCCAGGTAAGCATGTGGGTAGAGTAAGCACATCTGTAGTGGATTAAAGAAACCCCGAAAAAGGAAAGAAACTCCTATATAATAGCTCACTTTCCCCGAAGGATTTCTCTGCTACTCTTACTTTATTATTATTATATGACACTATCCACCCACTTCAGTAGACACCATGACCCAAAACTTTACCTCAATCCCAATACTTGACTATCCATCATCTCAGTCTTCTACTACTAAACCCAAATTTCTATCAAATCTCCGATCTGCACTAGTTAAAGTCGGCTTCTTTCAGATCATAAACTCACCTTTACCACTCCAATTGCAGCAGAATGCCTTACGCCTATCAGCACAGTTCTTCAAACTTTCAACAGATGAAAAACTTCAGATAGAGAACATCCACAGCAGACATTTCCTTGGGTATAGCAAGATCAACAGTGAGAGCACAGCTGCACAAACAGATCATAACGAGTCCATTCTGGTATGGCTTCCGTCATTCATTCTGAACTTCAAGGTATCTGATATGCTCTTGGTAAATTCCAGATGGGCCCTGATCTCCCAGCCCTGGGGCCAAATGAACCGATCTACCTCAATGTCCAGGGACCAAACCAGGTATGAAGAGATGACCTTGAGACCAGATGAAGGCAACTGCTGACTGTCCTTCGCTGAGTGGCCTGAAGAAAGCTCAGTGCCAGGCTTTCGTGCAGCTTTTAGAGATTATTACTCGCAGATTCAAGACTTTTCTGTAGAGTTTACTGCATTGGTAGCAGAAGCACTGGAGATGCCCAAAGCCACATTGACGGCCCTTCTTGGACAGCCAACCTCTAGCCGTTTGAAAGCTACTAGATATTTACCGCCGTTCGTGAATGCATTTGCACAGGATGGCAGTTATGGCATTGGCCCGCACAAAGACGGCTCTTTTATGACATATCTGCTCCAAGACGGCAAGCACAATTGTCTTGAGGTCCAAAACAAGTCTGGAGATTGGGTTCCTGTTCCCCCATTACCTGGAGCATTGGTAGTCAACATTGGTCGCTTGTTGGAAATCATTACTCAAGGAGTCTGTGTTGCAACAACCCACCGCGTCGTTCTACGGTCAGAAGCCTTCCTGGATAGCGACGGGAAGACTCTAGGCCCCAGACTCTCCATACCCTTCTTCCAATTCGTCAATCCTCATCTCATGCTAGAGGACCTCACCGTTGATGTCCCTTTGCACATCAAGGACCTGGCACCTGACAAGATGGTGGCTTCAGATGCAGAGACTTTCTACTCAGGGCTGTTTAACAACTGCATCGGGGACAACGTCTTTGTGAACCACCTCACGACCTTCCCAAGAGTTGGAGAGATATGGTACCCTGACTTGTTGCGACAAGCGCGTGAGAAGCAGGCAGAGTCGAAGCGGCTGGATCAGCAGAGACAGGCATAGGAGCAACGCAGCTAAGGGAGGGCAGGGGCCTATCTGAGGTGTAACGACCTTGTCAGATGAGGTAATAATCCGATAGAGTCAATCGTTGGAACACGTACACCTTGCCACTCTGTGAAACATCTCAAGCTTACATGTCTGTGTCTGTATGTTTGTGGCGGCGTAATGAAGCTATATCCACAATAACAACAGCCTATTTCGCCTTATTCTATATGTACACTCCCTCTGCAAGTAAGCGGCCTGGCTGCCCCAACCAACAGCAGTGGAGTACCTACATTACCATCTACCACCCCAGTTACCCGAAAGCAAAAGAACCATAACAATCTCAGATCCCTGCATCAGATTCGTAACCCAAGGAAGTAAGCTGAGATCACCTCGATACTACCCAATTGAGTGATGCAAGGGTATCAATGTTATCATCCCTGAGCGTGGGGGATGACAAGTTGTTTTCTGTAATAAAGTCTCAGCCACCTTGAGTAAGCTCAATGTCATAATCCATGAATACCACATTCTTGGTAATTGTAAACTCATTCATTCGCCCATCGTATTTGCAGCAATTCATCCGTTCCTTGCTTCAGCAACACTTGGGATTTATCACCGCAATTCGAATGGGATTCCAGGCCGAAAACAAGAGAGAATCCGACTCTCCACTGGAGACAGTGCAAAATCCCCCGAGTGCTTTACCCGTACCGCCAGACGGAGGGTATGGTTGGGTACAAGTCTTAGTAGCCCAGTAAGTCCTGAATTTTAGTATATGTTTCTGCACATGCACTCAAGTCTGTCAAAATGCTGATATGGGGATGCGTAGTCTAGAGGTGTTTAATACATTTGGATACAGCTATAGCTTTGGAATCTTTGAGCAATATTACAATCATGAGCTTGGTTTTAGCTTATCGTCGACATCCTGGATAGGAAGCATTCATCTCTTCCTTCTCTTCGTCCTCAGCACAGTTTCTGGTCGTCTGTTTGACGCAGGATACTTTCGTCACCTTCTCATCGGTGGGTCTTTTCTTCAGGTGCTTGGACTATTCATGGCGTCGATAAGCACCGAGTACTGGCAGCTCTTCCTCTCTCAAGGGGTCTGTAGCGGCATCGGGGCTGGGCTGGCGTATTGTCCAGTTATGGCTTGCGTGTCGACATACTTCACCAAGAGACGGGCTTTAGCCATTGCAATTGTCACCAGCGGTTCTGCTACTGGTGGTATTGTGTTCCCTATCATCGCCAAGCAGATGCTGTATAACCACGGGTTTCCCTGGACCATCCGTTGTATGGCATTCGTGGTTCTCTTCAACGCTATTATAGTAGTAGCCTTAGCAAAAGAGCTTCTTTTACCCCGCAAAAGTGGCCCATTCTTTGAAATGGCTGCTTTCAAGGAAGTGCCCTTTGTTCTTTTTAGTTGTGGATCATTCCTGATACTTTGGTCCGTGTTCATTGGCCCGAACTATGTAAGTCGCTCCATTGGATGGTGGAACTCCATGGTTCTTACTAACAAACACTAGATCAATCATTATGCAGCGTCCGTGATCGGCATCAGTAATGAGACTTCATTGTCCATACTGCTTACACTAAATGCCCTGAGCTGTCCGGGACGAATTATACCCTCCCTTGCGTCAGACGCATACTTCGGTCCTTTTCGGACCCTGATTCCACTTATGCTTTCAGCAGCTGTGCTTTACATCGGTTGGTTCGGTGTCAAGGACCTCCCGAGTGTATTCGTCTTTGCAAGCCTGTTCGGATTTGTTTGCGGTGGTATACAGACGGTAGGTATGGCTGGTCTTCCAACTTTAACAATTGACCATAGTAAGATGGGCACGCGGATGGGAATGATATTGACTATGTGCTCATTGGCGGCGCTGACAGGCCCGCCGATAGCAGGCAAGTTAATTGAGCACGGCGATGGCCGGTACCTTTACATGCAGATATGGGGAGCTTGCGCAATGGCTGTAGGTGCAGCCTTTATTTTTGGTGCATATAAATGTCGACCAAAGCCTGAAAACTGAGGGGAATAGATATACAGTAGTTAATGACGATGTGATGGAGCAGAAAAGTTTATTGTATTTTAGAAGTACATATAAATAACAACTGCTCAACGTTGTGGCTACTAGCTACGACAACAACCTGACTATTCAAGGTGATTTGGACGTCTTATAATGAACATATATCATAAGCAAAGATCCACTCAACATGCAACAAGCATTGAAAACTTGACTCTTCCAGAAACTTCCAGCTTGAATATCATTCAAGGCAGACGTGACTGGAAACCCGATTAAGGTTCCAAGTGCCGCTGCAGCTGATGATATTCCCATTCGCGTACCGACGAGTTCCGGGTTTGGTGAGAGGCGTGGGACAATGATAGGGTAGATCACCGCGAGGGGTCCCATGAACAAAGCGATAAGTACAGCCCAGACGATGGTAGACGCTATTGTGTCAACACCGATCCATCCAAAGAACAGAATACTAGAAATAAATGCGAATCCAGCCATAGTCAACGCTGGGCCAAATCTGTTTGACAAGGGGACCGCCAGGTAACGACCAGGTATAGTCGAGGCATTGGCAATAACCAAGATATAGAAGGAAAGCTCAGAGCTTGCGCCACCCTTAAACTGAGCATACAGAGGAAGTAAGAAAAAGGGTACCCAGTATGCAATCCACATGAGAAACAAGGCCAGGCAAAATGCCATAAAGGCGGGATCACGGAAAGCCGTTGGGTCCAGGAGAGAGCGCACTTTGTGAGAAACCTGACCTTTGGTGGCCGGCAGCATGATGGCCAATGCTACGACGAGCTCAACGAGGGTGACAAACCCCAGAACACGTGTAGTCCACGCAAACCCGATTCTTGGCTGGAGGTTTGTAAATATGATAGGGTATATGATGCCCCCTGCAACATTCAATCAGTTTTGTGCACACGATGACAATGGGGAGAAATTTACATACCGACAGCTGTCCCCAACGTAGCAAAGAAGACTGCCAAAGCACGACGTCGTTCAAACCTAGATGCGACAAGGGAAATGCTAGGTACATAGAGGATTGCACTTCCAATACCGACGCATACTCCCTGGGCTAGGAGGACCTGATAATAGCTGTGAGCTAAGCTCAACATCATGACGCCGAGTACTGTAATAAGAGTTCCAATAATGAGGAGCTCTCTAAAATATCCTCGATCAAAAATCGGACCGGTCACAACGCCTCCCACTATAGTTCAGAATTCTTAGCGCCAGACATGACCAAGACCTGCTCTCATGATGTAACTCACTGATGAGGATGACACCTTGTAAGGTTCCAACCCAAGCGATGTTGGTCGAGGGTGTAGATGTCAGCATAACTGTCTCGTAGTACTTTTCGTAGGAGCCGTATGCGCTCAAGAGACCCCTTCACCAGTAAGCAGTTGGACACACTGAATGTGGCATGGACGGACAAACTCACCATGTTGCTGTGTATATGAGAAAAGCTCCCACAACTTGCATCCAGGCATCAAAGCCCTCATGCTTATCCTGGATGGCATTTTGATACCGGTCTGGTTCAACTGCGGTTGAGGCCTCTGGGGGACCTTGAGATTTGGACGTGGAAGGGGACACCATGCCAAGTTGGTTCGACCGGGACGCGGTAAGAATGTAGTAGTATCTAATGAACAGTGCTTAGTCTCAAAATGATGAGTCGATAGATGGGTTGAAAGAAAGAGGATGAAATCAGGTATCGGTAGGTATTGGAGGAGGGGCAGAGAGCATTGGAGGGAGAACGAAATGAAAAGTCAAAGGAACGCGTTAACGCGCCAACAGCCGCCAGGCATGTAGCCAATAAGATCAAAAAGATACTACTCCGCCATTTTGTAGGGCATGGGTCGCCGAGTGTTCCGCCATATGCTCATTCGTCAAAAAGATTCCCCCGTGACTCAAAAATCCAAATAAGGTGCCCTGGTCTATGACTCATGATCATCTTGCCGTATTGGGAAAGACAACAGTGGAGATATCGGACAAGCTTCAGGCAGACGTGGGGGGACTTGACAGGGCTCTAAGACTAGGGACGGGCCGCGTCACCGGATGAAGTTCCCAGACACTAAGTCTTCGGAGACTACTGTACTGTACTGTACCTACGGCACGGGAGATTACAAGTGGCACTAATGCATCTTGATACGGCAGTCATTGCGAGGGTGTAAGTTTGACTCCATGTGTCGTATTTGCAATCTTCTATGATGAGCTGGATCTGTATACCAACTGTAGTCCATCCAAGGCGATGTCCAGTTACATTTTTTAATGGCCAAGCGTGGCAAACCCTTTGATTCTCCGTGCAAGCTGTCCCAGACGCTGCTGATCCTCGGCTGCAACAATGACGGTTGTAACACTACTCTGCACCCCCTGTTCATGGCACCAGCCCGCAATGATGATTCTTCCCTCTTCTAGCTCGGCACTGAAGATCTTCCGAAACTGGGTCAAGCTCAGATTGATGAACAAGGGGAAAAATATAGCAGCGTCGTTGAAGCCCCGCGTAACGCTGAAGAATCCCTTCAAAAACCCCAGCGGGTGAGATCCGGTGACACGTATATTCAGATCAATCACTAAGTGCCTTTCCTCGGAGTCGGTCATGATGTCCGCTCCTAGCGGGCCATAATACCCAAGGCGGTTCATGTATGCGGCGATCTTCTTGGCAATAGGCATATACTCAGTCTTGAGACGTGACTGTTGAGAGTAGTCAATATGTCCGCCATCCCAATGACCATCCTCAGAGACGAATTGATCACAACAGGAAGTCAAGATTGGCTCTCCGTCTCGAGGTAAGAACAAGGAAATAGCGAGAGCCGAGCCAGGAACAATTTCCTGCACGACAATGCTTGTTGGGTGTAAGTGGCTATTGGAGTCGTTTAACTGAACAAGCATATGATCCACTTCCTTTCGGAGTATCTCCAGACTTCCGGACCTATCGGACTCGTTCCGAATAAGGAAGGTTCCCTGGCCGGACAGGGCCTGGGGAAGCTTGACCACAAACGGAAAGCTCTTTTGCTCGATGCATGTCAGCATTCGAGCTACTTCGTTGGCTCGAAGCTGCGGATCAAGAACCTGCTTCGAATCCAGATGAGTGTCAATCACCATGGAGGGTGGCGTAGGTAAGCCCGAGAAGACTAAATCCCGCTTGGAGAGTGCCCGATAGTGAGATTCAAGCGGAACTGCCGCAGGGAGATGCTCGAGACAGTCCATTGGATTGGCCAGGCTGAGCTTAGCCGCCTCGGGGATCACGACATCCGAAGCGTTACGCACGTAGGTGACTGTCGGCCGCTGATGCTCGCAGATCTGCTGCATGATATGTTCCGTGTCCAATCGAGGCTGCAGATCCACATCCTCGCTGCCTGGTCCGTCCAGGTCAAACATGATGAGTCTCATCTTGCCTGCAATGATGCCAAATAGTTGGGGGACGACTTGGGCAAAGATACGGGCCTGAATGTCGCGATCCTTGTGAGACAGAGGATCTTGGTAGGCGTATTTCTTGCAGATTGGGATTCCTCTCGTCATTTGAACCTGAACTGTTGGGATCGTATAGCAGAGGTGGATCTCGGCATTGTCACCAGGACTCAGGGCATAGAGGTCCTTGAGCGTGGAGTCGAATTCAATGGTTGAAGACATGGTTCTGAGAGTGATGAGAGTGGTGTGTAATGAGATGTAAGATCTTTCTACGGATGCCATTCGAGGGAGACATAGATGATCAAGTTGTTTATCTTATAGCCGTCAAATTACGACATGAGGTTTGTCAGGGTTGCCATATACTGGGTCCAATCTCTCACTGGAAAAGAGACACGGAGCTCATACCTAATGGTGAAGGACACGGTCTGCATATACGCTTACGGCACGAGGTCTGACATTCCATTGTGAGATGTAGACCTTCGTACAGGTACTTGATGTAGACTTAACTCTCATGTGCATTGTTAAGCTATTATTTTGATTCAAACTGTCATATATCTGCTGCGGGCTCAGTTTGGAGATAGCCAGATCTGCAAGTAGTCAGACCACTTCGTCATAGCCTTACTCATATTATCCTGTAACACTAACTAATTCAACCTGTCATACAATGATAACGTCCATCTCACGCACCTTGATCCTAAGCGGATTAGATCTGACGTCACGACAGTAGGTTAGAGGCGATGCATGTTAGGTAACAAGGAGATACTCTCCTGCAAGAGAAAAGTAGTGGCGGCAATTATGCGTGATCACGGCTTGCATAGGTTGATCACGCAGGCATAAAACTCCGAAAGATGCAGAATCGAGTATTCCACCATCTACAGGGATATGGTAGCGTTGCTACGACGGAATGTGAATGCCACGTATGCATGTTTACGAACGAAGAATGTGAAAATTTTCATCTGATGAGTCGAAGCCTGTACGGTGGTGCGGTATTTAGTTCACAGGGAAAATAAACTAGGAATGCTACATTCTTCAGTAATAGAGAGGACCCTATTATCTGCTCAATTCGAATATTCCGTTAACTGAACTACAAGCGATTCACCATGTCAAGTGGGCTTTTGGCTTCCATTATGTCTTTGACATCAGTTCAAACACTATGCCTTGCCATCCCAGCATCAATCTTGGGTGTCATCGTGTACAGACTCTACTTCCACCCGTTAGCCAAGGTTCCGGGCCCCAAGCTGGCAGCTATCACATGGCTGTATCAAACCTACTACAGCTTCGTGGACGGAAGTCGTTTCTATTTGGAAATTGAGAAACTGCATCAGATTTACGGTAATTATCTCGCGATGAATAGATTCCTGTCGATAAATACTAACCTGCTTGTGTTCTAAGGCCCTATTGTCCGCATCACGCCTGATGAGGTACATCTGAGCGACCTTGAGAACTACGATAAAATCTACTACGTAGGAAGTCGTTACAGCAAAGATGCGAATTTCTATGGCGCCTTTGGCAACGAAAACTCTTCTTTCACGACGCCCGCCAATGAACTGCATCGCCAGCGTCGAACTGGTCTGAATTCTTTCTTTTCACGCAAGATTGTAATCGATCTTGAGGACATTGTCCAGGATAAGGCCCGGAAGGTATGCAAAGCAATTGACAAGACCATCGCAACTGGAAAGCCAATGGATCTGCATCATGCTTTGCGTGCTGTGTCTATTGATGTCATCACTGAGTATGCCTTTGGTGAAAGCTATGGCTTGCTAGACACCCCTGACTTTGGCTATGACTTTTTCATGCTTGTCTTGCGCTTAGGACCTGCTGCCTGGATCTTTCGCCAGGCTCCATGGCTCAAATCTGTCTTGAGGTCAATCCCCGAGTCTCTCGTCCGTGTTGTCAGTGCGCCGATGACCAACGTTATCGACATGCAACGAGTAAGTCCACTACTCATCACATATAATAATTCGAGATAATATAACTAACTCACTATTAACCAGCACTGCAACACCAAGTTGAGAAACATTGAGAAGCAGCTTGATGTAGGATCTGTTGAACTCAATGGCAGAGCGACCATCTTCTCAGCTCTTATGACTCCCGATGACCGTCGAAAGCCAGCTGCTGTAGCTCATCTTGAGGATGAAGCTTACACTGTTCTCACTGCTGCGGCCGATACAACTGGTAATGCTATGACTACTATCTGCCGCTACGTCTTTGCAGACTCGTATGTCTATGACAAGCTTCACGCGGAACTGAAAATTGCCTTCCCTGATGATCATGAAACAATGAGATTTCAGGTTCTGGAAAAACTTCCATATTTGGTGAGAAAAACAGCACAAGCTTCAGTATCGCCTCAACTTGACGACCCGCTAACGATTATAGACTGGTGTGATCAATGAGGGCCTCAGGCTGTCATTCGGTGTTGTTGGAAGACTTCCTCGAACTGTTCCCCATGGCGGGGCTAGTTTTCACGGCTATAACCTTCCAGCTGGAGTAAGTACTGCAATTTCCCCTTCGATGAAAAGCCCTCACACCTTTGTCTATAGTCCGTTGTTTCCATGAGCTCCTGGCTGCTCCATCGAAACGAAGAATATTTCCCAGAGCCCGCCAAGTTCGATCCAGACAGATGGGTCAATGCCGCCGATCCACAACGTCTTCACAAAGCCTTTGTGCCTTTTGGGAAAGGAAGCAGAGCATGTGTTGGTATGAAGTATGTTGCTTTACAGCCCTCTTCAATTGATGTATCTGCCATGTGCTATTATTTTACTAACGGCCTTCTAGTCTTGCATACGATGAAATCTATGTTACGATCGCCCAGATCTTCCGTCATTACCCTAAACTGAAAAGCAATGCCCATGAGCTTACTGCTGAGGATTTGGTTTTGGACGACTACTTCTCTTCATACAACCCAGCGAACGCCAAGACGCTTGAAATCTTGGGTTAAAATTACAGGCTGTGTTTGAGATCGTAGCTGCGCAATACTGCTATTGAGACGTGCAAATAGGTAGAGGCGTATTGTCAGAGAGACCTTCTTTTAGCAATGACCTTAGTATCAGCCCGGGACCTGGTATCACAAGGCTTGTTATAGTAGTAGACCAGAATGCGATCTGAAGCTCCGGGGACAAGTACTCCTGTGCCACTGGCAGTGAACGATGTCGTGGGTGCTGTCAATAGTCCGTCTCATAAGTGATTTCATCGAATTACGCTGGAAGTTACTCGTGTTGCATATTCCATATCTGACATGTTTCTCCGAGGAGTGCCGGGGAATCTTCGCCAGCCATTGTCACAAGTGAACCTGTGATAACCCCTTACGTTATTACTTGATATCGGTATTCTGAGCAGGATCATGTCTTGGGAGGTGTATGCATGGACCCGGGGAACTCAATTCTTGGTTAGTGCATTACGAGTTCACTTCTTCGAGTTTCCATGAAAGCACGTAAGTGGATTGCGTAATAATCTATCATCATATCTGAAAAAGACCAGCACATTCGGCAGATGTACCTGTACATAGTTGAGACCTAGTTAGGCTTCGACAGTCCTGCGACCTGGTGGGTCATTGTGTATAAGCCTGCACGCTTACGATAGCAGGGGCGTTTTATCTTTGATGCACATAAGCTTGCAGGGGCAGTCACGAATTGTTCAAAGACGGGAAAAATCACGCTATGACACTGCCATGTCATCAAGGTAGCATTTCCTAAGTCGAGGTGTAACTTAGATTCCTGTCCGAAGATCTCGGCTCGGGCGGCTACTGACACTCTGTAGACCCAAGCATCCTATTGACTAGGGACTGGAAGAGAGCGAACACCCGGCTTTCCGCCTTGATTTAACTATAAAGAAGAGGGGCGAGACATGTAAGGTCAGGATAAGCAACCACCAGTCAATATGCCATCTTTCCATGATTTCGACTTTTCAAGCTATCAAATTCTCAGGTTTCCAAACAGAATTCAAGATGAGAAGCCTGATCCAAGTATCGTATGGATGCTTAAGAAGCTCAATATAACGCATGATGGAAGTGGACCACTACCTCCACCAGGAAAACATCAGGCTCCCAACTTCCGTCCTCTTGGTTCTCATGGACACGAACTTCTTGAGACCCACGGCAAAGCCCTGCGTTCAAACAATCCCAGCCTACCAAGCACTGTGACGGAGTCGTTTCTCCATGGACGATCACAATGGATTGACGAACCAGTCATTACCAAATGGAGAGAACCCAGTAAAGAGCTTCGGGCGGTGCTTACCCGAACTGAAGAGCTTTACCATCAATGGAGCCTCTCGAAGCCATCGCCTTTTGACCCCTTCTTTGACAAGCTCTGGATGGAGACAGCCGATATTCTCCGAGATGCTGGGCTTCCATGGCACAACAATAACCTAAACATGCCCGATGAAACCGATTCAAGGTGAGTTTCTGTCCCTGCTCTTGCCACGATCTGACAGACACTGATTTGTGTCAAGCTGGCCTTTCCACTTCAAGACATTTGAGAGGGTTGCAGTCCTCGCCAAAGGAAAAAGGGTCCAGGACCCAGATGCCTCAGGCTATATCGCCAACTGGAGTGAAGGCAACTACTATGGGATCAGGGCTCTGAAGCAGGAGCTTTACTCGCAGTACCCGAAGCAAATGCCCATCCTTTTGATTGATCATCTTGAGACAGATCTTGCAAAGGCAGCTTCCCACATATTTGGCCTTGAATGGCACCGAGTTTCTCTCAACGATACAAATGCGTTGATGGACAATGTCCACCGCCTCACCATGTGTGGGCAGCGACCTATCATATTCGCCGCCACCATGGCCAATAGGAGCGGAGAAGTGGATGATATATCTGCCATTGACAAGATTTCTCGCAACTTCCCCCTTATGCTCCATTTGGATGCTTCTCGCGTTTTTGATTTCTTGACAACAGTCGGGGAGGACTTTCGTCAACTTCTCAAAATACCTCGACTTCGTCTCCACCATGCTAAACATGGTGAGCATGGTTGCCTCCTTAATGGAGAAATCCTGGCGAGCACTATTGTTGCGGGAGGTTCCAATGCCTATGTCTACCCGCCTCCTGTTGTTGCACTCAAGCCCAAACTTCTCGGTAACCAAACCCCAACCCGAATCGAATATGTTAGGGGTACAGATGGGACACTGTCTGGATCGAGAGACTCTATTGGCCCTCTAATGTTATGCCTTCAAGAACTTCGATTCGGACGCAGAGGGTTCCAAGAGATCTATGAAAGCTGTTTCATCAGAAGAATGAGATTGGTAAATGAACTCAAATCCCTGAACGTGCAGGTTCACGCTCCCTCAAATTCATTGGACCTGATTATCCGAGCATCCTCTGGTTGGGCCAGTGACTTGATGGAACTCGGAGCCAGAGAGGTCGGGGGGGACAAGTACCTTCTCACCATCCAACCCAGCATCGATGGCGAAAATATCAGATCTCTGTTGCGCGTCCTTGGGGCTCACAATGAGTTGCATTTATCCAAAGCTGCAGTACAGATAGAGCTGCAATCGCCTAGATCGCGCTATCGTCTGCCGGATGGAGTGGTACAGAAGGTATGGCAGACAGTCCAGAGCTTCAAGATTGCGGCTCGGTATTCATGTGGCTATCCCTTGAATCAAGCTCCCTACTCGGCCCTAGGCCCTGTAGTTGGTCACTTTCTGGGAGTTCGAATCCCGGAAGAATGGGCTAGATGCGAAGCTTCCAATATCCTGCAGCGGCGAAAGAAATCCTTGGGCCTCTTGACTAAGGAGTCACAAAAGTCCTTTAGCGCCTGCTTCACCACGGGTAGCACAATGGGCAACCGGATCGGGCTCCACACTGGTCTCATCCAGTATCCTGACGCGTTTGTGTATTTCTCTTCGGCCTCACATTATAGCGTCAAAAAGACTGTTAAGGACTGTGATACGTGGACCCGTCGCTGGATGCCCGGAAGACTCCCTCGCTTTGCCGAGATCCCAGCCGACGAATATGGTCGTATGATTCCGACTGCACTCGCGCAGCAAGTCTCGTCCGACAGGGCCGAATGTATGTCCCACAAGGAAGAGTATCAGGTGATTCTTTTCGCCAACATGGGCACCACTTTTGTTGGAGGTCGGGATGATATTCTCGAAATCACAAAAATACTGGCTCAGATCGAGGTAGTCCCATCTTACATCCACGTTGATGGGGCATTGGATCTAGGATTCGTCGCCAATGGGCTCCATCTAGGCCCCCCGGGTACCCAGCGGGCAAGTTCAAAAATTCCCGTAGTACAGGGTATCACACTCAGCCATCACAAGGTATTTGGGATCATGGTTTCTGGGGAAGTCATCAGCTACTGCCCCAACCACTCCAAGCAATTTGACGCCCTGGCCGGGACCGTCGACCCGCGAGCCGTTTTTGAAACTTGGCTCTTTGAACAGGCCTACCACACGGCTGACTTGGTCACCATCTGGAAATATTGCTTGGACAACGCGAAACTACTGCGCGAGCTCCTGGCAGAACACAAAGTTCCAACGCACTTCAATCAAGAGAGCATTATCACACTTTTGGAATATCCGCCACGTTGGCTAGTCGAAGAGTTCCACCTCGCACCTGAAGGAGACTGGGTTCATTTTATCACCATGCCTCATATCAACCCTACAACCATCAAACGGTTCGTGCGAGCGATAGCGTCGGTTGATACAAGCTGTGGTACTGCCTTCGATTATGTCGGACACTCACTTGCTTCATCTTTGCATTTGAATGGCCATGCTCAGCTCCGACGTCTCACAAGTCGGAGCATCTATAGCGAAAGGGTTCTAGCAGTTGCAAACTTGGCCATCTTGCAGAATCTCCAAGCTCAAAATGTCCGTGATGATCTTGGTCTCAGAAGCCTCAATGACATACGATCTTGTTTCATTTACAGTGCCATGTCTTTTGCAGTGTTCAACGACCTGAATGAGCCGCTGGTCGTGTTTCTTGCCGATGGAGCTGGCGACAGAGTGCTTAAACCTAGTTTGATGCTCGTGAAATACTCCTTCCATGACAGGGTACACATGCTGCACGATATTGCAATGCAGCTCTATGGACATGTGGGGGAGTTAGCAGACGTGATCATTGAAGTCGGTGCTTGGAGCTATCAAGTTATGTTCTTTTAAAATTAAACTTGTTTTTACCAGCGATCTAGAGCTGTCCGATTAACCCCTTAAATATTTCTTAATTTAACGCTTACAGCTACGTGTTATTAAAATGCAAGATATGTTATCTATATTGTATCGATTGAAACTGAAATAATTCATAATACATAGTAGGTCTAAACTGATTAGTTGTTCGACGACGTCGTGATCGGCGAAGAGCTCATCAGCGGTGGTCACCGATTATAAGAGGGACTCCAACCCATCCTTCTCAGCACCTATTGAACAACGAAACCAAGTAATTTAAGCGACACCACCCACAGCCAATGACCTCACAGCTCTTGTATATATCTCTTTAGTCGTTATCAACAAACCCCACAGTGAGCAGCTTGTCGCTTTGTCCTTGACACTAACCTCTGTCTTACCACCCTGCTCACTCTATCTATCTAGACTTCTGAATAATATGTGGGTGATGAGGCATTATAAAAGTAGCCCTATAGACTAGGATAGGGGAGGGTCAACCTGCTAGTACTATAATCCTTACATGATCCCTATACCCATTTAATAATGGATAGTTACAGTAACATTATGTGTAGCATTTGAAAAGTATGGAAGATGTATAAAGCAAATAGAGCCTTGAAGTCTCATCATGTCACCCCGGGCACGTTCTGTTAACCTGCATGAGGTATGCAATTTGACGCTGTCTATGCTCTATCTAATGACACATCAGAAATCGTCGAGCTAGCTAGAGTCGAACAATGCTGTAACGATAGCCTCTGTATCCAGCACAATATACAGTCAGGTTGTGGCCTGTCGACAGGTAGATCTGTGTTCCTGGCTAAGTTGTCAATGCTCGTGGTCCGTCTACCACGCCTGGCAAGACGGTGCCTGACTTCCTGTACACTTGCAATCCGTTCCCTTAGGGCACTAATCGGAGACTTCCTAGTGACCCGTAGTATCACATTGCATTTACGAGGCGTTAGTGTGTGTTTTTGAGTACCTAAACATGATAGGATTTTATCCAAGAACTCTAGTAGCGTGCTACTAAGTTACCGCCATTGCATCCCCAATCTCCGATGTTACAAGGAGCCTTTCTTGCTGCGTGTTCTGGAACGCATTTGATAGCTTCGGCAGGCTGAAGGAAGAGGGCCAAAGTTGCGGCCAAGATGGCGGGTTGGAACTTCATGGTAACTTGTAGAAGAATGGAAAGAGTAGATGGTAGAAAGCTCTTGAGGGTGGAATGAACTTGCAATGGATGTTTGAAGAACGGCGGACTTGTTTGATATTTATGTCCAAACTGTCCCGTACTCGCTTGTTCGACATCCATCAAATCCTCACTGTGCGTTGTGCAGTCACCTCATAAATTCGGATCAACTTGCCGTCCCATGATCCGTCATTGGCTCGGCTACAGCAAGGAGTCGAAGGATGCTCGACGTGGAGCAAGCGGAAGGATCTCAGTGCACAGATCTCTCTACGCGAGGTCCAACCTACTATAATAGGTTTTACGACCAACGACTGAGAATCAGGTTGAAACTGTGAGTAACGAGCCTTTCGGTCCTTTAAATCCTGTCAAAAGGTCCTGGCAAATTCGGCAACAATTATGGACTCAGTGGTCAAGCATAGCAATCCCCTTTCTACTTCATTCCTGTTCTCGCCTGAATTCTTTATGATCAACTCAACGACTTGTATTGTTCGTTCACGACAAAAGAGGATTTCGTTGTTAGCTTGACAGAGAGTCTAGGAAAATTGGATTTGAAAAAGGAAACAATTCTGAATTTTCCAGATTCCATCGACGGTGCTCTTTCGGTCGTTCTCTCGTGTGCGTATTGTCTCCACCACAGCATAGAGAGTGGCTCAATTGAGTACCAGTAATTGTTGCAGGAATACAATCACAGTGGGTTGGTGGTCTCTTCTGTCACTGGCTCTTGGAGTTCGTTGCATGACATCGGTGGCAAACTAGACTAAGATTGTGGCAACTGCATGATATCGTATCAATAGCACACCGCGATCGATAAGCATAAGCCCGGAGGCAAGAAACCTAGATCAGTTCTAGGCAGTCTAGAACATTATAATTCAAGCTTAAACGCCGATCTTACAGTTCTAGACTACACGCGGGGTAGACGGGTATTTCCACTATCCGGCAATACTAACTTGAGCGCCTACAGCTGAAAACTAGTGAAAGCTTGTCTTTGAACGATAGATATAAATAACGTGGCTCTTCCCTTCTTCTCTAGAACAATTACTACTAATAAATCAATCTCATCTTACACTTTGAACGACTTACTTTATTAAAATGACAACAGATCTCGCACATCGCTACCTCAATTCCATGAAACACCACCCGTATGGGAATGCGCTCTTCGAACCAGCCCCATTCTCGCGCCTTCAGCCAGGTTCCCTCGGCTACCTGGACGAGTTGCAGCGATGGCATCCAATCTTGAACCTTCTGGATTCAGAAGCCTTGAACAAAGCGGGCTACTCGCCCTTGGGCGAGCTGCGACCCAGTGAAACAGACGTTCGCCAAGCCCATTGCCAGTGTAGCTCGCGGTGCTTGTACAGATCAGAATTGGTCCGGTTGCCAACAAATCTGTCCTTGGGGTAAGTTTGGCGGTCTAGGATCGTACTAAACCTCGAGCTAACTATGCCAATAGAGAAAAGCAACAGTTCAGTCTATGTAAAAAAGTGCGATAATGGTAAATACTTCTGCCGTGCCTCTGAAACCCACAACTGTTGTCGTGAGGGAGAAATCCTATTCTCAATCAAAGAACCTGGGACACCAGTTGCTATTATAGCTGGTAGTACCGTGGGAGCGGTTGTTGGTACTGCAATTCTGGCAGGCCTGGGATGGTGGTTCTGGAAGAGAAAAAGAGCAGCGAGGGATCCAGCTGAGAGGGATACCGTGAAGTCGTCTCCAGGAAGCCAGGTTGCTCACCCTTCCGTGGCAGAGGTTGATGCTGGCCCTGATAGCGTACTGGTTGAGTCGGATGCTCGACCTACACAACCAACGAAATTGCATGAGCTACCAGCCTAGCAGGCTAAATTGCAGAATAATTCCAGTATCTACATCCTGCAGGGACTTTCAAATCTTAATCATCGTTTCTAGCATTGGATAAACTGTCTCTGCTACACACAGCTGGACTCGGCTTTTGGATGGATTAGCACGACTATTGCGAAAATTTAGCTGATCCTCGACACAGTACAACAAAGCTCATTACGGGTTGTCCGATCCAACAGCCAATTAAACAGAACAAAATGTATTAGATACTATCAACCTCAGTCTATCGGTGAATTCTCCCTGACAATAAGGCTTCCATCTTGCACACTTTTCAAGCACAATAACTCCAATGCTTATGCGGGACCTTCTGACTGACCTTGTTATAAACGCGCTTTAATAAGCTTAAATCATGCTCTCCTACCCTAAACTTGGAAAATTCTAGGGAGAAATTCCACTCTGCTGACACGAAATTGACGCCACTCAAGTCTCGGTTGCAATCTAGCGTACTGTGGCCAATTGCCGCTGATGTGCCCCTGATCATCCCTGTCGAGTGGTCCACTTAAGCCGAGCTAGCATCAGCAGAATTGCTCATGATTTCTAGAAATAATTCTACTAACAGCGCTGGGACCGCTAACCACATCTTTCTAGGTAGATTATCAATCAATAGTTTGTAAAAGAAAAGCTGGGCATACGACCAACAGCTCAGTGACTAGCAATGAAAACAATAGATAAATAGCGTTGTTTGGCGTCAATTTTGTTATCCTCCATTGCACACTTCTTCTCCCCTTCGATTACTGTTGTCCCCAAAGATGACTCGTCATCTTGTCCGTTCGTTCGTTCTAGCTTCGGCCCTCTGCTCCTTCGCCAATGCAGGACCATGCCGCCCCTCGACTAGCTTAGCAATTGAGGCTACAACCACTATTAGTACCGTCCTCTCTCCCTTACCTACCACCGAGACATCTCAAGCAGAGCCCACTACTATCACCGATACCACGGTTGCGGTTGGTGACAACAGCGATACATCCACTGTCACTGAAAGCGAGACCCAGACCGCTTCAGTCACTGCTGAGACTGGATACACCACGACTGAACCCAACACTTCAACTACAACCCAGGAGACATTTGTTGAAACAACTTCTGAGGCTTCTACTGTGACAGTTGAGGATTCTACGACCACGACTGAGGCTTCCACAACAGCTGCTGTACCCGTTCCAAGCTGTGTTAACAACCTCAAGGTTACTGCACCAGAAAATGCCTCTTGTGGTGTGAAGGGCTATGCCACAGGGGACAGTGGTAGCTTGATCTATGTGGCTGACGCTCCTGTTGGTACCCGACTCGATTGCTACAAGTCATGCGTGGCAGCACCTAACTGTCAATCTTTTGTCTTTCAAGAACAGGTATTCTGTGCAATGTACGAAGGGTCAATTGGAAGCACTAATGGGGACAACACCAGTTTTGACTGGTATGAGCTTAGCTGCTTTTGTGATACAGACTAAATGTATCACACCTTGGGTTAATAGTGAGCAATGATTGCAAATCAGACTACAGTGCATTTTCAGTATACACATGGTATGAATATCGAGAACCAGTATTCTTTTCTGTTATCCTACTGGGTAGTCTGGCGTCCCTAGTGTAATAAACGGTTATTCTCTTAGACTTATGCCATGAAGCTTTAAAATTGTTAATATTCACAGAGATGTAAACACTATGAATGGTCTGACATCGTTATGTATCTTTGTTTGCAACTTAATGTAAACCAATCAGCTTAGTGAGATCATATCATCGTTTAAATACATATCTCTTATCGAACTCGGGAGTTATACTGCACAGGGAGGCTTATGCATAATTGTTGTAAAACCTTGTACCTATCACGTTGAATATCACTTTACCCCGCCCAGGAGAATCAACACTGGCAATACAGGCTTTACCATGGAAATAAGCCAACTCTTGGAATCCACTGGATCACAAAGTTGATAGCTAGGATAATCATGGATGAAGAATTGCAGCAACAGATCTTATACTTGAGGGAAGTCGCGGCAACTCTCCCTGATGATCACATTCAGCGTCCTGCTTGCCTTGCCCAACTCAGTCTCCTCAACGGAACTAATTTTGATCAAACGAATGACATTGAAAGCCTGGATGAGTCAATCAAAGTCGGACTCGAATGCCTTGAAGCCACATCTCAGGATGACCCTTGGCGAGGAGGACGACTATGCAACGTGGGTTCCCGTTTTGATGACCGATATTCGACCACGGGGAACCCATCTGACCTTGAACAAGCTTGCCGTTTGACGAAAGAGGCAGTGCAGATCATCCCATCGGATCATCCCAGCCGAACTCCCTGCTTGATCGTGCGCGGTGTTGTTTTAAAGAAGCTGTCTATCAAATCGGCAAGCACTGAACATATTCAAGAGGCGATAAACGCGATCCTAGAAATCGTGCGAAACGAAGGTGCCCATCAATATCATTTTCAAGCTTTGAGGAATTTGGAAGACTTCTTCAACGAAAAGTACACGAAAAGTAAAACAATCGCCGATCTTGAGGCAGCGATCGAATACAATCGACTGGCTTTAAAATCAGCAGAGGAGGACCCTGATAAACAAGTCGAAATTCTTTGTGACAGGGCCCTCCGACAGCGGGACCTATATCTCGCGACAAAGGAAGTGAAGACGCTTGATGGTGCAATGGAAACAGCGCGACTCGCCCTGGGGATAGCGTCAGCCAATGGAATTGGTCGGGAAATCTGCCTGACGAATCTGGGCTCTCTTCACTTCAACAAGTTTGAGTCCTTGGGATCACCTATCGACTTGGATGAGTCAATTAAATTCGTGGAGGAAGCTATCACTCTCATCCCCGATGGCGACTCATTGAAATCAGCCGACCTGAGGAATCTCACGGACAGACTCGGTCACAGATATGTGTTGACTAGCGACCTTTCAGACATCCAACGTGCTATCGTTGCTGCCAGGCAGGCTCTAGAGCTCATGACACAAGACCATTGTGAATGGGTGTCGTTTTCATGCAATCTGGCTCTCCGCTCAGCACAACTTTACCATAAGACGAGAACACTTGCAGATTTGGAAAGTGCTATAAAAGAGAATCACCAGTCTTTAGAGCTGAGTGGTAGAGATGGTGATCTACACGCTCAAATCCTGACCAATCTCTGCTATCTTTTGGGCGACAGATATATCAGGGAAGGGACAATGTCCGATCTGCACGAAGCTATAACGCACGGGGAAGTTGCCACCAAACCACCGACCTCACCAAAACATCACGCTGCGCGTTTGATGAACCTAGCTTCAGCGCTCCGCGAGCGATATGTCATCTTCGGTGACATTGTGGATTTAACCTCAGCCATCGAGTTTAGCCGCGAAGCCATCGGAGGCCCATGCAAGAGCGAGTCAGAACGTATTAAGTATTCGAGTACCCTTGGGACATGGCTAAGCGAGAGATGGATGCAATTAGGCAATGAGACAGATCTTGTTGAAGGCCTGAGGTTTGCCCGTGAGGCATACGAATCCTTCGGAGCTGGTCAAGTAGACCGAGATGACCGAGCACAATGTGCCAGCAATCTTGGAAAGCTTCTACAATCGATATACGAGCGTACAGGTCGAATGAATCAACTAGATGAATCTTTGCTTTTACACTCCGAAGCGTTTGAGCTAAGCCAGGAAGATGATCACCACCGGGCATTGCGGACGGTTAATCTGTCATCCGCTCTCGGAGGCAAGTATTCCTCTTCAGGGGAGGTAGCATACCTTGACCGTGCTATTCAACTACTCGAAGATGCACTTAAGGAGGACACTTCTTCGCCTGAACATTTTGACCTTTTACACAATTACAGTGTCTTGCTTGGCTACCGTTACACAAAGACGCTGCAAATCTCAGATCTTGATAAGGCTTGCGAGCAGCTGACAGACGCACTTCAGATCATCCCGAATGACCACCCAACTAGATGGTCGCTCCTTAACGCCTTCGCCACTCGACTGAATGATCGGTTTTCTGTAAAGGGAGACATTGAGGATCTGCAGAAAGCTATCAGTTTATCACAAGAGGCGTCCCTGTCCTCATTCGACCCTATCAAAACTCGATCACTCAGTACCCTTGGCACCCTTCTTGGTGATAGGTTCCTGGCGCTTGGACAGATAAGTGATATCGATAACAGCATCAAAACCTTAGAAGAGGCTGAGACCAGAATGCCTAAGACCCACTTCGAACGGCCAGGAGTTCTTGGCAATTTGGGCGTCCGTTTTGGTGACCGTTATACAAGGACAGGGTCAGTGGAGGATCTCGATGCATCTGTCGATTATACCAGGTTGGCATCAGAAACGACGCCGAGACAAGACGTCAACTGGGCCCCCAGACTGAGTAATCTTGCAGCGAGACTCGGGGAGAGATACACCATGATAGGGAGAGCAGTAGATTTGGACGAGGCCATTCGTATCGGACATGAGCTGATAGCTCTTCCCAACCTCTACCACACGAACCATTCTGTCTACCTCAACAATCTCGCGTTACGCCTTAACGATCGGTACACAAGGACTGGGCTTTTGAAAGATCTTGAAACCGCAGTATCCTATGCGCAAAAGTCTGTCGACGCGCTCCCTACAGGCCATACCGATATCTTCGCCCGCCTAAGGACGCTTACATCTCTTCTTCATGAAAATTACCGCAAAACGGAAAGCGACACCCATTTCAGCCACGCCATGGGTATAGCGAACGTCGCGGTTGAAGCTTCAGCTGGTGGTACTTCACACCCGGCGTGCCTAAACAACAAAGCAATTTTGCTATTCAATAGGTTCTACGTGAAGAAGAGGCAGGAAGACTTGATCGAGGCTACCACCCTATTTCGAAAGGCAGTCGAATTGAGTCCGGAGAAACACTCCCAACGCGCAGACCGACAGAGATACCTGGGAGACGCTTTGCATCATATGTACACTTATGATAAAGATTCTCAGATCTTAGACGAGGCTATATCCTGTCACAGAGCAGCGATGAGTCAGGCGAATGCTCCTCTTGGCGTTCGGCTAAGAGCTAGTAGGCATCTTCTCCAGAGCCTCGCTTTGAAGAGCGATTGGGGGACAGCCTTCGAAGCTGCAAAGGGAGCACTGGACCTCGTACCTCGACTGGTCCTACGATCACTAGACAATCTAGACAAGCAGTACCTTCTAACGCAAGTTGCGGGACTAGCATGTGAAGCAACCTCTATCGCCATCAAAGCCGACAAAGAGCCTACCACTGCTATCAAACTTCTTGAGCAGGGGAGAGGTATCCTCGCTACCTCGATCAGCGACATGAGGGTCGACATTGAGGATCTGAGAGAAAGCTACCCCGATCTAGCTACGACATTCACGCAAAACAAAGAAGACCTGGAACGGCTGGGACGCACTACGCAAGCGTCGGACTCAGCTGAGGTTGCCCGGCAGTACAGACTAGAAGAACAGTTCAACAATGTTGTTGCCGATATTAGAGCAAAACCTGGGTTCCAGGACTTTCTGCTCGCCCCTAGTGAACAGAGAATACGCGGATGCGTGAAGAATGGTTCAGTCGTCATCATCAACGTCAGCGTGTTTCAATGCGACGCGATCATCCTCAAAGGCCAGAAGGAGGAATACGTGCCATTGCCCGAAGTGGATCAGGACGAAATTGAACGAAGAGTCCAAAACGGCCGCATATACACATCTGAAACTCTGGAGTGGCTGTGGGATGTTATCGCTAAGCCAATATTTGACAAATTGGACGTCTCTCATGAGACAGGCTCCGGTAATTGGTCACGAATCTGGTGGATACCCACAGGGTCCCTTTCCAGATTCCCTCTTCACGCAGCTGGCTATCATTTGAGGGATACCAGAGACACTGTGCTAGATCGAGTTATCTCTTCTTACAGTTCATCAATCAGAGCAATGCTCCTGACCGACGACAAACCACTGCATGAGTCAAGTCGACGGAAGGCACTATTGATTAGCGCCGAAGATGGAGACGCAGGCTCCTATCTACCCTCAGCACAACGAGAAATTGGCCTTATTAAGGGCATCTGTGATAGGATGGGTCTGGAAGTGGTCGTCGACGACGGGAGATCAAAAGTCGACGTGAAGTCACACTTGACGGAGTGTAAGGTATTCCACTTTGCGGGTCATGGCCACACTGACGCTAATAACCCTTCAATGAGCTATCTCAAATTGGGTGGCGGAGAAGATGGACATTTGACAGTGAGTGAATTGATGGATCTCAATCTTAGCAGGGACCCTCCTTTCCTGGCATATCTTTCAGCATGCGAAACCGGAAGATTTAAGGATGTGAGATATGCAGATGAGAGCCTTCATCTTATCGGCGCTTGCCAGACCTCAGGGTTCCGGCACGTCATCGGTACCTTGTGGGAGGTCCGGGATGACTTGTGTGTGGAAGTTGCAGCTGCCGTGTACAAGGGTATCTCGGACCACGGTACAACGGATCGTGCGGTTTGTCAGGGGTTGCATAACGCTGTAAGAGCTCTGCGCAAGGATTGGGTCAAGAATCATGGAAATAGGTTATACCGAGCATCGCAACAGATTATCCGAAGGGATGTGGCGGACAAGTCCAGATTGGAGCTGCGCAATATTGTTCTGGTGGATGACGATGAAGACGAGAAGCTGGAATGGATCCCCTTCGTCCACTTTGGAAACTAAGAAACCTCTATGGATTAGGTGCAAGCCGATGGCGAACGGTCTTTCTTGACTATGTCAGAGCTGTCTTTTATCCTTCCAATCTAAGGCAATTGAGCAGCTTGTCATGCCTTCAGTTTGGTGAATTCCACTGAATTAATGGTCCAGGTCAAGGGAAAGGAACTTTGCGCGGATGGCCGTATACGGAATACACGTATAGCAGAAACCCCTGCGTACTAACCATCACACGGGCCAATAACGTTTCTGTAGAGTTACCCCATTTAATACCAGCAATTCACAGTCCCCAGCGTCAGGGTGTTAGAAGAATTAGCTATAAAGAGCATAAGGGACGAAATAATTTAATCACCTTATGCCGGTCTTAGGCTTGCAACTTGGCTGCTTTATTTCTGTAGCCTAAGCCTTAGAGGATAATTCTTCTAACACCCACCTGCCTAGCACTAGTACAGTAGAAAACGTATTAAAGAGTCTCTTAAGTAATGTAACCTTCCTACTCATCCTATACGTTATGTAAGGGATACTCATCAACCGTATATCCGGGCTTTACAGCGCCGGAACGATTAGTCACCTGGCTAGAGTGAAAGATATTGAAGAGAACAGCAACAAAGGACATAAGCGTCGCATCGAAGATATAGAGCCAATACTCCTGAGCCTGCAACGCCCCATCCTTCCCAAGAACATATTCTGCGACACGAAAAATCGACCGAACGAGTACAAAAAGACTCGAAGCATAAAGGACGACCAGCAACTTCTCCCAGGGAGTGTTCAAGACGAGAGATCGAGATGTTGGACGAGAGCGGATCCGCATGTGAAAGACAACCGTGACAACCATGAAGAAGCCGAAGAAGACGATCTGGATGAACAGTCCGCCTACGATCATGTTCTCCCCCATTTCGACCTTATCTTTGGACTTTGCCGAGGCAAGCATTCCGCCGCCTCCACTCTGTGCCAGGAAAGAAAGCACATCGCCAAGCACGAAAACCTTTGTTAGCCACTTTTTCTGAATGAGGGATAAGTGATCGGCATCCAAAAGAACGATCAACCGGCCCAGTATCATGTAGATAGACGCGGCGAAGAGTGCAGGACCGAGGAGGAGCAATATCGACTGCAAGATGTACGGGTTCTTGGTGTATTCTGGAGCTTCGTCTGCGGAGAGCGCGCGGCCGACGTAGCCGAATGCCTCAACTGTGTAGAATGAGCATTTCTTAATTTCTTCGCAGATTTGAGAAGGAGATTACTTACAGAGGCAGCCGATGAGGAAGGGGATAAAATACCACGTTCGATGCCGGAACATTTGCCATAAGTGGATTAGAGTGGTGATGATGAAGATAATGACAAATGCGACGGCCGCTGGTAAGGAAGGCTCATAATTGTAAAAGGTGAAGCCTGTCATGATGCTGTGTTAGGAGATTGACAGCGGTGTAAAAACGAGTGTGGAATTTTTAAAGTTTTGTGTCAAGGAGTGCGTTTTGTTGTGTAATGAATAACGAATAAGAAGGTAAGACAGAGAAGGAAATCCAACAAATAATTGAGAGATGAGAGCAAACATAAGGTTAAAAGCACACAATAAGAAAAGATTAGAGATTGTTTGTTTATTCCTTTTTCTTAAGCTTATAATGAAATGAGGAGTCGCCTTTTACAATACGCGGACTTAGCCCCTGCATTTTTGGAGCGCGTACCCTACGCAGCAAGTTGCTCTAGAAAAGGGGACGAGTATTCAAATGTCTTAAGCTTGTTTTTAAGCGTCTCCACTAGCCATTCAATGTGCCGTTTACATCACTATCCATTAACTAAAGCACGGATGCTACGGTAGGCCCGTTTCTTATACACGTATAATCATTGCCAACAGGGATATTTCCAGCCAATCCCTGACACATTGTCCGTTTCACTCAGCCTTGGACTAAGTCATCTGATCTATCTATAGTAGCAAAAGATTCATTCAGACCGTAGGCGAAGTTAAGTCAAAGCCGCATCATTATTAAGGATCCAGAAGTGCGGAAGCCAATGAACGACCGGTTATTGAACCTGAGAAGCCCCACTGCCTTTACTCTTCCAGTGGAGTTATCATTTGGTCAACGTATCTCGATAATCACCTTGAACGAACATCAAACGAGGCGGGGCATTGCCAGCGACGGCACAACCAAAGACGAGTGGCTATCAAGAAAGGATTGTGGATTACATTATAAACCCTCCACGTAAACTTAATCTGCAGGTATAGCCAACTGGGATTCTGCACTCTGGCGGTTACCTGAATGATTGACACAAACGCGCAGTGGCAAACGACAAGAGGGCCAGAGTATCGCGGAGTGTTTTCAGGAGCGCGGTCTAAGGACAGTCTATCAAGCTTGAACACTGCCACTGACCTATTGAGCTTGGGAGTGGAGCCTGTGAGACATTCAATCAAGCTGAAAGAAAGTTCATTCCCGGCCGACGCGTTCACGCCATTTTGCTAGATGAAAATCTCCCTCTTCTAAATCTCGTGGGTTACCGACAAACATGAAAACATAGCCATCATTCTTGGCAGGTTCCTTTCCATCTATATACTTAACGAGGCATGGCTGAACTCTGTAGCTGGTTGTCTCGTATTCCGCCAACCTCTTCCCATGGGCAACCGACTGCACATGGTAGACAGCACCACTGACTTGTGCATCCTGCGGACCGTTTTGCAGAGCAGGATACTGCCCCCAAAGCTTACAAGAGTAGCCTACCACCTTGGCCGGGCGCAGCTCAGGCACTTGGTCCAATCCCAGGACATCAGCCAGCATTTGTGGGTCCATCAATGTCCCATACACGAAGTAGGGTCCTGTTGGTGGCTCAAAGAGATCGACATGTGCGGGCGGCTCGGGAGGTCGATAGAACCAATCTTCTGGCGCATGTCTCACTTTCAGTGCAAACGAAGAGGTCTTTGTCCTCTTATCGTGGAGTGTGGGTGGAAGCGGGGGAGCAGGCGGGGGTGAATGGGGCCTATTTTCAGACATTTCCTGCCGCAATGTGACTTTTGTGAGCATGATCAACGCCGTATAATTTAGCCTGATGAGTCCATACCTTCTACCGAGACAGAAATGAGCCTGGGCAAAGCTTTCACTCGGGTGACGAGATAAGAAACAAGAGGAACAATTCCCAGATGGGAGATGGACCCCAAATTCACACGCTAAAAGGATGGAGGGGGCGGGAAGGGTAATCTGCAGCAAGGATGTGACTCCGCGACCCTATTCGTCCACACATAAGAATAGCAACTTCAGTGAACCAACAACATAAAATCTACCACCAACAGCCAACAAATACCTCAATAGCCAGAGTTGAACGGTTTTCTATTCGCTCGCTTACGTGCCAAGTTCATATCATGATAAATGTTTAGGGCACGTATTCTCGTGGTGATGTCAAAGCGGCTGAGTTGGCTTCATTTAGTAGTCATCCGACATGAATCCTACATGAGAAGACAAAGAGCTCTTTGAGCCTTACATTGAAGGGCGCTTATCAAGACCAGTCGTCGACGGGCACGTAGACGGTAGGATGAAAGAGAGACTATTTTTGAGTTTTTCCGAGGCGTAAGTCCCCAATATACATGAAAGAGAGACAGAACTTGGGGGGATTGTCGAGTTGCTGAATGTGCAGAAATAGCATAAATATGTCGACGCAATGCCCCATATTGTCCATAGCCATTCTTCAGCAAAAACCCAATCCCTACTATCTTACTACAACATCTCTTCAGTATGATCACTCTCTGGATCTTCCTTTTCTTGGTTGTGGTTTGGCGTCTTATCGTCTCTTATAATCATCTGTCCAAAGTTCCTAAAGAAGTACCATGGGCCACTGCCGGGCGTTTCGTCCCACACATTATCACTCAGATTAGAGGTCTCTGGAACATGCCTTATGTTATGAATACCGCCTACCAGAAGGTACAAGATTGTCTTGCTCATCCCAGTACATGAACTAAGTCAAGAAACAGTATTGCAAACACGGATCAATCTGCGCCATCGCACTACCTTTTGCCCGCCCGGAAATTCTTCTACCCTCAAGTCTTATCCACTGGATGACCAGCCAGAGCGGCAAGGTTCTCAGTCCCACTCCGGTGCAGATGGAGCTTGTGGCTGCAGAGCATGCCTTCCTCAACTCATTCGACCAGAAGGAGTCTGTCGTGTATGATGTCCTGCGTGTGCAGATGAACAGACGCCTCCCAGCTCTAATTCCTGGTCTTGCAGAGGAGTTGAAAGCTTCTATCGACAAGGAGTTTGGATCAAACACAGAATGGAAGGAAACTCAATTATTCGTCGTTGTGCGACGTGTGGTTGCAAAGCTTATCACATGGCTTGTGGTCGGTGACGATCTAAGTAAGAACCTCGCACTCTGTATAAGACACCACTAACCATATGTTAGGTCGCGACAAGGAGCTTGTGGAGAATTTATCTCGGTTTTCTCTTGCCGTCATGCCCAGTGCCATGGGTATCGCTCTTTTCCCTCCCTTCATGCAACCAATTGCGGCTCATTTGACATGTTTTCTCAACCGCATCTACATGAATTGGGCACTCAAGGTGCTTGGTCCGTACATCGAACAAAGGATCATGGAAGTTGAGACAGGAATCTCCAAGACTCAGCCACAAAATGATGTGATGACATGGCATATAGAGGAAGCTCTTCGCAAGAAGGAGCCCCGTGAACTGATGCCACAGTTAATAGCGAGCCGCGTGTTTGCTACCACGATGGCCGCGCTGGAGGCTATCACGCTCACCGTGACCCACACCCTCTTCAGTGTCGCTAGCAGCAACTCATCGGCGCAGATCTGGAGTGCTCTTAAGGAGGAAGCTGAACCGGTCCTAGCCACCACGCCAATCAACGAAAATGTTATCGACAAGCTTCACTTTGCTGATGCAGCCATCAAAGAAGGTCTTCGACTACAGACTGCCCTCAAGGCTCTGACCGTGCAAGTTATGCAACCTTCCGGGTTGACTATCAAGGACACCGGAGTTCATCTTCCCCAAGGCGCTCGTATCAGTGTGTCGGCATGGGGTATTCACCATGATGAAGATATTTACCCCGACGCATACACATACGACGCCTTTAGGTTTGCGCCACAGAATGGAGGTGCCAGTATCTCTCAGGGTGGCGACGATGACCATTTGATGACTACACCTTCGGAGAAGTATCTTTCTTTTGGGTTTGGAAAACATGTATGCCCAGGCAGGCACCTTGCCGCTGCCGTGACGAAGCTTTTCCTGGCGCATGTTGCGGTAAACTATGATCTGGAGCCACTAAAGAAGAACCCAGGACTTCTAATAATTGGACATCTCCCAACGCCATCAACCAAGGCAAAGCTAAAAATCAGAAGAAAGAATGGTCTGCCCTTTTCGAAGGAGGACAGTACGATTGTTTAGATTTAGTTCAAAGTTAGCAACTTAAGATCAGACTCCAGACTATTCAAACTTCTAGGTTTATTCGACGCATAAAATGTCATTGTTCTAGATACACTTTTCTCTCAAGCTCTGCTCCTCCTTCAGTATAAATAAAATCCATCAACCGTGCCTTGTCCAATTTACCCCATTTCCGCATTGACCATCGGCGACATTAGTTCTACTCTTTCTTCACATTACCTTACAACATCGCCGTCGACCCACCTTCGGATCGCATTGACATGTCTTTATCTGTCTTCCACCCTTTCGCCCGTTTACCGAAGGAATTGCGACTCGAAATTGGAAAGCGGCATGTCTCAAATCCACTACCTTCAGCCGCGGCCTGCATTATATCAGCGTCAGAGATAGGTGGGCAAAGCCAATACCTTCCATCCAGAACCTATCCGGCTACTTAATCGACCACGGTCTCTGGAAAGCCTGTAAAGAGTCAAGACAAGCTATTTGTCAACACTCTCGGTTTTACGATTGGCTCGGAATACAAATGCGAGCGATACACGAATATGGATTTTTCAAAGACTACAATCCTCCCGGCCAGTTCGGGTTCAACCCTAACCGAGGTAGAGGAGAGGACTACCAACACCCTGCCATCATCGATACCCGCGTAGGCGAACAAGATTACCGTATGCTTGTTCGCCCGGGGAGGGACATGTTCTGCCTTAAGATGCAACATTGGACATGTCCTGTAGGCCTGCCATTCGATGCAGATATACATATGTCATTCCTCAGCCACACCTCATTTAAACGCGATCTTGCGGCATTCCAGCGCCTCAAGCTCAGGAACATCGCTATTGAATTTGATCAGAGCTGGTTTAGAGCTTTTCCTGATTCCATACACAACCTGAAAAATGAGGAGTCTGAGAGAGGGTACTTGGGATATTGGCTTGCTTGGATTAACGGGCCACAGCGTCTCCCAAAGCTGTGGATCATCGACAAAGAAGCGAAGTGGGCTGGCCCATTTTTCAACCACGACATCGTATACCGAGACTTCGACGCAGAATATATCCAAGTTGACTGGTCCGATGTTGTCAACTACGAGGGCTATGGGGCTCCCCGTACTGCATCCCTCTTCATGAAGAAGATGGAACTTTGGTGGCGGGATGTTGGTTACCGGCCAGTTAATGGCGATGGCTTCAAACCGAGAGACATTTTCAGGCTTCTTGTTCGCCGGGATAACGAGGTGGAGAATCCTGGGCTTAGCAATTGGCATGATGGGTTCGGCTGGGTCATTGACAAGGATGATGATTGGGATGAGCGTTTGGGTATGATCGATTACTCGGATGGGGATGAGGATTCCGATGAGAATTTGGATTCGGATGCCAGCTCGCATGAGGATTAGGGTTTGCTTCAGGACTCGCTTGGGAAACAGTGAAAAGGCAACGGTTACACTTGCCATTACAAGATGCGTACGTACGAGTATAATATTTTCCGTCACCAATTTACATTTTGAAGCACCGTGACTTCTTTTCTTACAACTGAGCTTTGGTTACGCTACCGTAGCATTAGAGACGAGCTAAATTCGGACGGCCAAAAAATACTCCTTCGGTCGGGTTATCCACATAATAGACTTTCCCTCAATAAGATCATCGTGACTCCGGTGCCTAAATCTGCTCTCGATATGTGCTAACGACCGCCCCATCGTACCGATACATATCTTTCGCCAACACTAAAGCCGGCTAGTTGTTTCTTATGGGTTCACCGTGGATCGCGCCCTTCCATTCAAAGTTTTTGAAGGTCAGTCCTCAAGCCGTACAGTTCAAGTCAACACAATTGGATCGCGCCCTTCAATCACTTAAATACTGGGAGCAATCGCTGCAGGACGGAGAAGCTCGATCCCTGAGTTGTGAAAAAGGTCCTACAAGAAGGCTTTCAATTATGGTGTAATCGGCGGTGTGATAGTCAGCAATAGGGCATTTTGTATCTCGTTACGAATCTCATGTTAGGGTATGAGTATCAGAATCATCTTGCGTAAATTGAGACTAGTAAATTGACGGTAAAAGGTACAGTAGAGTATCGGAGTTATAGCTCTTCGAATTTGCGACTTCTCTCGACGAAAGCTCTAAATAGCTTTTTCCTAAACTCGGTCCTGCACTTTTTGTAGCAGTCTAGCAGACAAACCCTCAGCTACTACTCTCATCAAAGCATACATTGGATATCCGACACAGTATCGTGTTCCCGGGCAGAATTCTTGCAAGCTCTCTCCTCTTCGCTGCAAACGCACCATCCAATCCCGTGACATTTAGGCTGGCAATCCATTGTGGTACGGCTGACTTGGTTGTCCCGACGAGCAAGAAGCTTAATAGTGCTTGTAAGCGGAACATCGTCATTCGAAGTCCAAGGAGGGGGAGGGGGAGGGCCGTACATGTAGGTGACTTCCTGCATTCTCTGCACTAAGGCATCAAGCTTGTGAATGAATCCGCGTGCGCCGATGGGATCGCATTCATTGTATCGGGGAGCGACTTGTGAACATTCAATCTCCTCATACTCCGCATCGCAGTCCCAAAACAGAACGTGTCTTGGAAAGGAAAGTGGGGGAGTCCAAAACCATTTGGCCTCTTTATCAATGATATAAAGTTCATTGCAGCGGTATTTTACTCCGTCAGTCAGTCTCTGCTGGATTAGATATGCTAGGTACCCTCACGCAGAATCTTCAAAAGGGAGGTTATATAAGGAATTTGGAAGTTCAGTGGCCCAGGAGGGGTCATACAAGAGTGCGATCTTTGAGACGACGTTAGGAGGATATGCCATATGAGGGCGGTGCCGGACCGACAGCTCAATCAAGGGCCAGAACTTTTTATCGTATTGTATAGCCAACCAGTCGTCCACCTGGATGGAAAATACATCGACAATCGGGTGCACAAAAGCGAAACATTCCTCGTCTTCGCAAGAGCGGATGAGTACAGGGCATTCTCTGTATAGCCGTTTTCCCTGGATCCCATCTACTGTGTATTTCTCGACAGGTCTGCCTGACCTTTCAATCCGCGGTGTGCTTTGTGCCAATTCGTTCGAGCTCTGCTCTCATATAGTGATATTTCTGTTAAGGAACGTGTGCTTAGCGATAACCTCTTTGGACTCCTTGCAAGCTTTCCAGAGGCCACTATCAAGCATATACGTAGATCTGTTCTTTTTCTTTGAAGAAGATTCATTTGGGACTATTGCCTGACGATAATAGATATCGACATATTGTAGGCCGCAACAGTAGTCGGTAGTAATAACCTGAGAACATGCTGTTTCCCAGATTTGAAGGCCTAATTCGGTAGGTAGCTCGGGGAATTTGTGAAAAGAAGATGTGTCCATGGTAGGATGTTGCTTGGTGATGGGAGTTATCAGATCCATGGTGATGAAAAGAAAGGGACTGGAGAGGGGGGTGTCCAGTCTTCTTTATAGGCCATATACATTCGCTTTACAGCAGTGATTCAATCTTGTGTGCTGAAAAGTATAACCATCACGCGTAACAAAAAGTTTCATATCATTTGCTGTGTGCATCTTGAGAGCTTAAAAACGGAACCTCAAAACTCTAAACCCATTTACACCGCCCAGTCACTGATAAGGTATGATGATGCAAGGGTTTCCAGGACATCCACATCCTCGCGGTTGGTTAGGGTGCGGATCTGTTCCACGACATCTGAAGCCTAGAGATTAGCAGGAATGGCTTAAAATATTCGAACTTTGGCAACGAATATGTCTCTAACATCTTCAAGTCTAGAATACGCGGACTAACTCTGCTAAGTCTAGGTAACGCTTTATTAGGAAAGGGATATACTGTTACTTATTAGCGCTATATGAGAAGCTTCAGTACTGGAAGAGGTTGTGACATCGTAGACCAAGTATAATTACAGTTAGATATACTAGCTGATTTAAGAAACCTTTCGTCTAACGATGTTACATATTTTAAACACAATCACCCCAGTTCCTGAGCGAGACCGTTTCCATCAGGTGTCTTAGACAAGCATCTTGATCCTCCCTCTCTTGCCTCCGTTTCGTCTTGTCACCACTGCAAATACACCACCCCTTCCTGTCGCATTTCCCTGGGCAGCTCCATATGGGTTCTTTTACTTCGTTATCTCGACAAACAACAAGATTGATGACATCTCTAAAGTAGGGACCCCAAGGACCCAGTATATAACCATAACTCTCAGGCTCTGGGTAAATGTCGTCCTCGTAATGGCGAATTTTGTTCATAAAGGCCGCTGCATTGGGGGAGTGTCCCTCATATGTATAATCAGCGACATCCTCCCAACTGATCTTGATATACTCAGTATCAAAGTCCCGGTACACGGTTTCAGCAGGACGCTTCGCAAACCACTTCGCCTCGTCATCAATAATCGATAAGCCTTCATCACAGAGTATGGCATTCTCATACAGCCAATCCACCAAGTATCCCCGTGCAGAATTCTCCCGCATCATGTCCAGATAGAAATCGGGGATGTCTGTAACCCAACTAGGATCAAACTCAAGTGCAATGTCCTGGATGTTGGGCTGTTTGAATAGCGACCGATATCGATTATGTGACCACCACTGAAAGTAATCTTCGTCATCGTCGTTATAGCGGATAAACGGCATTTGTATGTCGGGATAGCGGCCTCGGCGGAGCGGTTTCCAATCGTCGACCTTGATGCAAAACATATCCCTAGAGGGGTAGACGAGCATTCGGCACTCTTCTCCACCTTCACCATCGTAATCGATGATTGCAGGGGGAGGGCCATGATGTGAACTGGGCTGTTGATTTTGAGCTTTTTCCAAGGGCAGGTCCCGAAGTATATGGATCAGATCAATACGAGAAGAACTGGGCTGGCGTCGGATAAGTTCCCGAGTGTCCTGAATAGGTTGCCTGTGTATCTGGAGCCACCTGTAGTACTCTGTATGCGCAGCGATGACTTGTCTCGACTCTTTACACGCCTTCCAAAGCCCACCGTTGAGGAAGTAGGCAGATCTATTGGTGTTTTGTGATAGTGACCGAGGCCAACTAGGCCAATCGCAGGGTATAGCGGCTGCCTCGATGTCGTAATCCTTTTGTTGAACAGTGACATACTGCAAACCGCGACGAGAAGGCGGAAACGAAAGACAGGCCTCTTGCCATATTTGCAGTCGTAGCTCGGCAGGTAGTTCAGGAAACTGTCGAAAATAAGGTGAGCACATGGTAAGTTAGTCGACGGTAGTTGAAACTGTTGCAGTCAACAGCAAGGTGGTGATCGATAGTGATGCGGAAGGAAAGGACTGAAGTCCTGGGTGGTGCTGGGTTTCCTGTATTCCCAACAAACCCTCTTTTAGAGTTTATAGCAAGTCTCAGTTAAAGAGTCATCTTATCACCGGATGTGTCACAAGCAAAACCCTGACTAACTGAGTAGCTTGCCTACTGAAACCTATTGGACGCCCAAAGTATAGTCGGCGAAAAGGTTTCTATCACTCGACTTTTCCAATCAGTGAAGCGAAAATGGCTTAAATCCCCCAACATACAAAATTGAGAATTAACGTGGCACTATGCGTGTTATGAAGCATGACGCAACAACGAAACGCTATCTAAGCAGTGGCGCTGTCAACGCCTTGGCTCTCGCAAGCTAGCATCGGCACATACGTCGAGCGACATCTGGACGAGCTTCACGATGAAGGAGTCCCATGACTTCAGCTGGTTCTTTCCACTGTCTTCGTTCATCGAAGCTCAAGATATTATCGTCATAATGGAATTAACCTATAGCGACGAACGAAGCTTTCGAGAATTGGCGTTCAAATGGGCTCTCGCCTGGGAGAAAAAGGTAGTGAACACGTTCCGATTAATCATTTCACACACACTGACAACGACAAACGTTGCAGGACATGTCCACGTTTCTTGCAATATCTACTCACCAATTCGTTGGAAATTACTCTGATCTTCCACTTGTCTCGAAAGTTTTCAACGCCACGAATGAGGAATATTTCAAACAGTGCTTTAGGACCGAAGCACTAGATGATCCACGCTGTAAGTTACTGCAATACGGTCGTCGCCCAGACCACTTGCCTAACAATTCCAATGCCAGTGCAAACCCAACACCTGTTGGGGACGGCGGTCTTTACACGAATTAGCGAGACTGAAGCGAGAGGTGATTGGCAAGTCCGAGCTCGACATGTGAGAGTGTTTGACAATAGTGAGACTCGTGAATGGGATTCCAGTGGTTTTGTAGAGTTTACATATGTGAAGGTTGAGGGAGAGTGGAAACTTGGCGGCATCCGCCCCCATACAGTTGTAGCTGCTACAGGGAAGCCGGAAGAGGTAATTGGTCAGTTCTAGGTTCTTATTAAAAGTCTTATTGCAATCAACTATTCTATTATTTCTCAATTGTAACAGTCTGGCTCTTCTTCTGTTCCACCAAATACGTCCCCAGAATTTCCAACAGAAATCTTTCTCGGTGCAACATATGTCTCGGACCATGCTTCTTCAAGAAGGTCAACGCTATACCCAGTATAGCCGCATGGTGTTCCTCCTCTGTAGCCAAAATCCCATCAACGCTGATCTGTGCACTGACACCCCCAGTCTTGACAAATAGATCACGAACATGCTTATTCGTAACCAGCCGAAGAGCAAATTGCTCAAACAAGTCATGCCTCACAAAGAATTCCAGAACTTCCTTCAGACCAGCTGTACCGCCACAGATGGTCTCCAAGTCGACGCCTGCGCCGTCTTGAATGCTGAGTCGAAGTTGTGATGATGCTTCGAGTGCTTCAGTGATGGTGTCGACGTTCATTGTTGGTGGGGTTGGGATGTAGGGTCGATCGTATCCCACGCGGTGACGCCACCAAATGTTGCAGAAGATAGAAGAGATAATGACGGGAATGAGTATCACGTATCCCCACCATCGCTCAGCCGTCAGCATGGACCCGACACCACCAAGAACATTCGACGCGCCGTTGACGACGAAGAAGACTTGGACGTTGAAACATCGCTGCCTAAGAACAGGTAGTGCGGGTGATCCTTGGAGTTCCTTTCGTGCGACAGCGAGGTGGGCGTTCATCTTAGCCACTACCATGGTCGCCCAAATAGCGCTCATAAGACCGAAAAGAGCGATCGGCGCATTACCGAGATATCCGGACAGAATGTTACTGGCGAACCAGACCTTAGGGTTCGCACCGCCAATGGCCATGAATGTACCGATGCTGATGAGCATAGCACCACCACCCATCAACAAGTCCATCAACCATCTATTAATCATCTCGATCCTCAACTCGCGTTTCGTGACCTCGGCAAACGTATCCCGACTCAATTCCCCTTCAGACTCCTTCAAAACTTGTCTCTGATTCTTCAAAAATCTGATATTCCGCAATGCTTTTGTTGAATCGCAGAAGGCACATATTGAGAGTACGAAGGCAGAGCATCCTCCTATTGCCATGAAGACAATGGCGTAGATGGGGACGGGAACCTCGTTCCAGACATTAGCGGCGAAGTCGCCTGCGTTGGCGAGTTCGAGAAAACCGACGGCAGCGAAGAGGTTGTTTCGGAGGCGATTATCGTCGATGCAGGACCAGCCGGATCGAGATTTTGTCAAGGTGACGCTTGAAGGGCCGGGAATATGGAGTGTTGTTGACGTAGGCGCGGCCTCTGCTTGCGCAGAGGGTACTGTGGTGATGTCTTTCATCGTCAAGAGACAAAATGATTCTTGTCCTGTTAGTGAAAGAACGAAGTTGGGTTACAGAAAGACACATAAACAGGAAGAAGTCAACGGCTGGGGGACATACGGAGTAAGCGAAAGCAGCAGCAAACCAGTTTATCCGTACATTAGACTGCCAAGAAAATAACAACGGTCACACAATTACGTTCATTGGAGAGGTGAGTCACTACCAGACTCTACGAGGGAAATGCATTGCTATAAGATACGATCGAGCAAGTTGACGGAGCCCGCGGGTAAATGAGACAGGAGAAGTAGTGACAGTGAGATGACATGACATGTGCTCGGTCGTTCCGAGACTTGTCTAAGTCGGAGTGGATCCCATCTCCACTCCCAGGGCCGTTACACCCGACCCAGAACCCGTGAGGCGCAGCACCCTGTCTCTACTCAAAATGACTTGTAAGTCCATTAACCACATATATAAACATCGAATGTCGCCTATTCAGACCTCTGAAACACCCATTTGCTAACCATTGAACCCCAAAAGTCCAGGAGAAAATAGGAAGATTACAGAAGGAAGGAGTGCTTGGACAGGATCAACTACTTGGCACAGTGGAGAAACGGCACCTTCAAGCCGAAGGCCACGCAAGCCTTGGCAAAAGAACTTTTTTTGAGCAGATTAATAAGATTGGTCTTGTCGTAGAAACGTCAATCAGATCAGGAACCAGAAACGATAAGGCCGAAAGGAATTACCCGCGTTAGTGGTCAGGCTAAATATAGACCAGCATCAACCGCGTATAATACGAAACAGCCAATGAGATGTACCTGAATGCCAAGATTCCAACTTCATCTTCCTGTTTTAGGAGACTAGTACGCCCCGCGACGGGGAGCATACTTGGGAGCTTTGACGTACGCAACCGGGTCTCGACCAGTCTGTACTGGATGGCCAATCTTCAAGTTAAGACCCTCAAGATTCGCGCCTTTCTCCAATGCCCAAAGTCCGATACCGATCCAATTATCACCACGGTAGTTGAACACACCTTCTGGAACGGGGAAGGAGGATTGAGGGCCGATGTTGCTTGTGTACCGACCGTATTGGAAACCGTTGACGTAGAGGAATGCGCGGTATGAGCCTGTGCTGGCGGTGTTGTTCTTGAACTCGAAGGATAAGGGGATGTCGTATTTGTCAGAGGGAAGGTTAAGGTTGAGCTTGGCTGTATAGAACGATACGCCTGGTTTGGAGATGCCTTTGAAAGGTGAGCCGGACTTGAAGTTCTTCGTAGGTGCGGATGGGAGATGGTAGCCTTGTCGTTCGAAGAAGAAGCCGCCCTCATTGCGGGGACCGCGGAATTTGTCGACGTAGTCTTCTCCTCCGAGATTACCTGTGATCTTCCACTTTGAGATCTTTGTCTCTTTTCCAGAAGCTGATTTGACAGACCAGTCAAGGATACCGCGTGGCTCCTTGCCCACCTCTTGACCAGGAACCCAATTCCCGTTCAATCCCATGTTATCGATGATGACAGTAACAATATACTTCTTGCCCTTCTGAACTTTCGGAAGTTTGTACGTAGAGGTATGGTTGTTGCGCGGTCCCTCGCCAACCAGAGACCCCAGGTGCTGGTCATTCAACCAAACCGAACTTCCATACCCCATTCCACCGAATGCCCAGAAGGTAAATTTATCCTCCGAGCCATCGGCCGTAAAATGACCCCGGAAGAGCATCGCTCCGGAGTGAAACCCGTAATCTCCGCCGTAGAGTGAAACAGAGTTATTAAGCGGCCACTTGGAATTGAACGTCTCCTTGAGATCAGCATTAGGCCACTTAGCATCATCGTACTCTTTATTAATCTCGGGAAGAGAGTCGACGGATTTCCAGTCTAGACTCTTTAAGTCAGGGACCTTGACTTTTGGGACTGCGACGGCTGGGTTGACGAGCCAATTTCCGAGCTTCGACTTTGTGTAGGGTGTTTCTTTGCCGTTGATTAAGAGGCTGGAAGTTCCTTTTGGTGCACCGATGATTTCCAAGGGTGAAGTGGTGTTGAAATCGGCGCGGATGGAGAGCTTGGACTTTTCGACGGTGATAGAACGGATGAGGTAGGCACCGTTGACGATGAGTGCTTTGGGGTTCATAACAGACGATCCGAATGCACCACGGTCGCCCTTGCCTGGGATGGTGGGGACCCAGTAATTGTATGCAGAATTGCGATCTGGAGATGTTAGCTTACTATCATTATGTTGGCAGGGAGACTGACCGAGGAGGTAGATGTGAAGAGAGCCAAACTGCACCACACGACGCTTGTAGCTAGTCTTGAACTGCAAGACATTTACTCCCTTCTTCGTCTCCATCTTGACACCATCACCTTCAACAACCTTGCCTTTGTCATCGCCCTTAACAGCAATCTCATGCACTTCATCAGGTCCACCATAAACAACAAGAACAGTCCTATCCCCAAAGTCCTTCCACGTAAACACCTCAGCAGTAGAATACAACAACTTGTACTTCCCAACAGGATAATCCACGACATGGATCTTGGAATCTCGTCCATGAAGTGTAAGCGAACCGCCGAGTTGAGGAATTGTAACCTCGCCGACAGAGGTCTTGAGTTTGAGTTTGTATGATGCTGAAGAGGTGGTTCGATAGTCTGCGTGACGGACGACATAGAATGCATCGCCGGGTTTGGTGGTTAGTGCTGTTACGGCGACTTTCTTGTTGGTCGTGTATTTGCTTGTTGTGACGTTGCTGGGGTTTGCGATTGCGTAGTTGGGTGAGACGGCGAGGAATTGGCCTTGGAGTTTGATCTCAGAGTACTTTTCGCGGGTGATGCTTCTGTCTTCTTTGATCGCCTGTCATTGCGTTAGTTCGATGCGATGCTGATATTCAATAATCAGACTCACCGCGCCGTAATCGTAGGATGTGTATCCATCAGAGTGGCCAAGATTTCCCCAGTTCGTTCCTCCCCAGGTCTGACCAGTCAGTCACGATTGACTTAAAGGGGAGTATTTGACTTACCATGTAGATGTTGAAGATCGTAACACCGGCAGCGAGGTTGTTCTTGTAGAAGATGCGGGCGAATTCGTGGTTGGTCAGGTCGTAGCATTTGTCGAAACCAGCGCCGCCGGGTGGATCGAAACCACCGCCTTGGAACTACGAAGGTCAGAAGAAAGCCTAAGAGTTCACGATGGGGACTTACCTCAATGATCGAGTATGGAGTCTTAGGACTCTTGTCCATATGCTCGGCGTGCCAAGTCGTTGGCAGTTTGTCCTCGGGCCATTTGTAAGGGTTGGCCTGGGAGTATTAGCAAAGCCCAGACCCTCTTATTGGCCACACTTACGCAGTCGAATCCAACAGGATAACCATCGTGTCCCTGATCCCATTAGTAACGTAATTCACATCTGATCAATTGACGTACGTAAATGTCCACAGCTCCCTTTCCAGTTCCAGGCGCACCAGTACCACCTTGCCAAGCATCATTGTTGATAAGAGGGACAACAATACCAGCCTTGCGGACTTGATCGTTGACGTATTTTAGGTAGTCATGGTTGGGGAAGGGTGTTCCTTCAGTAGCACTATACTCGTTCTCGGGTTGATACAAGACGACTGGTCCGCCATTGGTGATTTGGGCCTTTGCGATAATTGCTCCGACCTTCGCAACATAGCTGCCAGATGTCAGATGTGTACTCAACAACAGCAAAAATGAGTTTGTCATACTTATCAGTCGCCTTCAAGAAGTCAGTAGCATTAGTCCTCAAAAACCCCTCCACGCGCTGAATCCACCCGGGAAACCCACCCCCCGAAACCTCAGCATTAATATACGGCCCAGGCCTCGCAAGAAGATAAACACCCGCCTCCTGCGCGGCATCAATAAAGGGCTGCAAATCAAGCGCTCCCTCAGACCTGAACTCCCCAGGCTTTCCTTCGAGGAGGGCCCAGTCCACGTAGAAGGACACCATGTTGAAACCCATGGCCTTGACCTTTTGGAAGAGGTCAGGATATAGAGAAGGGACGGGAAGACGGAAGGGGTGCAGCTCGGCGGAGAAGATTGTTACGCGTTCTTTGTTAATGAAGAGGGAGTGCGAGTCGAAGGTGATTATGTCTTGGAGGAGGGCTCTGTCGTGGAATTGGGATGGGCGCGTGCCACGAGGGAAAATGGATGTGGCATTGCTGCCAGCCACGAGGGCGGCGAGAAAGAAGTTGGACAACTTCATGACAGCGGTTCAATTGACCCAAGTCGCCCGTGAAGCGACTCAAACTATAGCATTGGAGTTGCTGCTTTTATATACTTTTCCGACAATGGTCTCATCTTCACCCGTCGGCTTACATCCCGAGTATGCCGCACCATGCACTTCGCATTGGTGGACATTTCAACTCCGTAAGGGCAATCCCGTCATAGTACTCGAGTCATTCCAAGGACATATTTAAATATGCTTTTCCGTGTATTTCATTTATCCAGATTCCTGACGGATTGCATGATTGAGGGGCTTCGGATGAATTGATGAGCGTTGATTGGAGCTGCTACGGTCATCGCATGCAGATCTGACGAGATGAGGGGTTGCGATGAGGTGGGATGATGGGGGCATGGCTCACTTTTTGGGGACTTCAATTGTTGGAGGAAAATAGCGAGCCGCAGAGATGGTGCGTATAGTTGCTTCCAAGCGATAAGATATGTAAAATCCACCGAATCATTATAATTCTATACCGCACTTACGAGCCATTGGCGAGGGGATACGACATCACAAGAAAGTTGGCAAACATTTCATTCAAGTCGTCAATTGAATCTAACTAAAAACAACTCCTCAACCCAATCTAAGCTCCGTAAGCGGCCATTAGCTTCTCATGCTCCTTCTTAGTAATAGGAATAACAGTTCCATGTCTCGGGCTAGTAGGCAGCTTATAGTTGCTCGAGACCTTCCAATCAGGCTTATCCAAGTCCGTGGTCTCCAATGGGACATAACCCTTGCCACCATACTCATCCACAAACAGATAAAACTTGTCGCCATTGACATCAGAAGGGTTGGCCTTGAAGGCTGTAGGTCCTTCAACAGCTTGTAGTCCAGCATCGGCACCAATGCAGGTTGCTTGCACGCTCCAGTCATCAACGGGGGCAAGAAGAGAAGAAGACTTTTCTTGGATGATGTCTGTGCAGCCACTGACGGAACCTTCGTCTTTGGTGAAACGGTAGAAGTCATTGCCAGACTTGATGACGGTGGTGTCGATGCGGGAGGTCTTGCTGTCCTGCCAGATCTCAGGCGCTGAGAAAGTCTTGAAGTCCTTGGTGAGGGAGTACATCATGCGATGGTAAGAATCATCAGAGTGGTCTGCTGTATCATAGAGCGAAGACGCCCAGAATACCACGTAGGAGTTCTTCTCGTCATCCCAGAAGGCTTCTGGAGCCCAGGTGTTGCCGGCATTGTCAGGTGAGACCTTGACATGGCGTTGCTCGGACCAATTGATAAGATCGCTTGACTCCCAGATCTCGAGGTAAAGACTTCCTTTGCGGACGGCATCGCCCCAAGAGGTACCACTTCCGATAGAAAGATCAGTGGCAATGAGGAAGAACTTGTCACCCTCGACGGAACGAATGACGAAGGGGTCCCTCAATCCCTTGGTTCCCTTAGTTGAGCTCAAAACAGGCTTTCCACCATTGAGCTCTTGCCAGTCTAGCGCATTGTTGCCCTTGCTAGCTGCAAAGTAAATCTTCTCGCCTTCAAGTGAGTTGCCGGTAAAGTATGAGAAGGCGTATGCTTCATAGGGTTCAGCTTGACGGGACGAGAGGGTGACAGGTTTGGAGATGACGCCTGAGGTCAGCGCCAGCAGGGCTAGTGAGAGGGTTTGAAGGTTGGGAAACATGGTGAAGAAGAGGACCTGGCAGAGTTAAGACTGAAGAGTTGGCTAGTCTGTCACAAAGTGCATTGCAGAGTCCGGTACTTTTATACTACGGTACTCTGACTAGTTCAAGTTGACTCTTGGCCGTCGTCAGTCCCGCCATTGTCAAAGCAATTCCAAGCTATTCCTGACTTATTCAAACTAGTCCTGACTATTTCCTGCTTTACAAATAAAAACAACCATCGTTCCCTTGGCAAAGGGTCATTCACAACGTCATTCGGTAGTTATTCCCCCGGATCGACACATCTTATCAATTTTGGGAAATCCTCCCGCCCCCTGTCGATCTCGTCTCCGCACTTTTTCCGCCATGCTATTCGCGCGCGAAATGAACACGATGAATTAGGTTTTTGAAATGTCTCGTTCCGTGCCTGACTTGGAGGGTCATGTGCTTATGTTGATCTTGCTTTTTTAGAGGTGTTACGTTACAAAGTCTGGGGTTGGGGTTGGGCCGAGGGAATTGGGAGGAAGATCTGGATATGCACGTGGCAGAGATTGAACTGTGAAGCCCTCTCGTATGCAATTTTGATAGCGACCCAATAGAGAGATAATATAGGTTAAGAAAAAGGCTAAGTCAATTAAAGTAATGCTGAACCATGAGGTCGTAACTAAGCGCCCCGTATTAACAGTGGATGCGCCTCTGTGTTGAGAACCCACTTCATCTTCCCATCGCTCCTAACCTGAACATCCATATCCTCCGCAAACATCAGGTACAAATACTTCAGCGTCTCTGCTATCCAAAAACTCTCCATCTTATCCACATATTGCTGCGCGGGATCATCGACACTCTTCATAACACTTCTCAACCCTGTGTACCCACCATCCACTTTCGTCCTCTTATTCAGTGCCTCAAAAGCCTCCCACGCCATATCCTGCCACTTTTTCTCACCAGTAGCTCGGTACGCGTAGTAGAGACTCTCAATTGTCTCAGGACGGAGGATGTATTCTGGATTCGTAGAGTAAAATCCAGCCTTTTCGTAGAAGGATGTCCATTTTTTAGGTGGTGGTCGGTTGGTGGTTGGTCTAACAAGAGGGTTTGCGCCGTTATCGAGCCAGCGGAAGAACTCAGGCGCGATACCAGCGTGAGTTTGGCGGTAGGTCTCATAGTAGGAAGAAGAGAGCTTGAGGCCAAAATCGATGAATGTTTGGTTCTGGAGGAGAAGACCACCGAGAATTAAGGAACCGCCACAAACGCTTGCCACTATTGTTGTTAGACTGTGTCACAGAAATTGTTCAAGGGGACTTACAGTGACTTGAGATAGGAATCATGGTATTTCCTCGCATCTCTCCCAAAAAGGTCAGGTCCGGCCTTGTGGATGGCGACGAAGCAAGATACTTCATCGAAGACTCGGCAGCCTGAACCCAACTCTCCCCATACTCCGCGAACTGGACAGGATCATACGCATACATCTTGATAAGGTACTCGTAGTAACTATCAGACCCACCACCCCAACCAGCCTGGTAGTCGCCGAAGTAGCCATTATCAAGTCTAACATACGTGCCAATAAGACCGGGCAGTGTGAATTCTTGATTAGTCTTGGGATGAATGAGGTGGTCTTGAGCACGCTGGGCGAGAGTGGCATATGTCTTGTTTCCGGTCAAATCGCTGAGGCGCGTCCATTCGAGAACGAGTGTGCCGAAACAGGTGATTGAGTTGTCGATATTGCCGTATCGGCGGGGCGTTGGGTTGAAGATAACTTCATCGTCAGGGATCCCACTTGGAGTGTCGAATGCGATGCTTAGTCTGTCTGCGAGAATGATGGATGCTTTGAGGAGATTTTTTCTCAATCGGGCGTCTTTGATTAGATGTTTGTGAGAGCCTGAGAGGAGGTCGTAGGCTGATAATAAGCCTCCGAGGTAGCGAATGGTAGTCTCAAATAATGAGATGACCTGGTTAGGCACCACAGTAACAGTAAAGTCCGTCGCAGCAATTTGGTTGAGAATTTTATCCACAATAACGGCCTCCTCCATCAGAATGGCTGTGCTCAAGGCGTCCACAGCCGTCGCACCCCATCCATTTCTGCAAGCATCAGCTCATATCCCATTCAACAGGGAAGCTCATACCTACCGATCATCTTCATAAGCCTTGCTGACGGGGAGAAGTGTATCATGCGGCGCAGCATATTTCTCATAATTATCCCACGAAAAGCGAAAAGCGTCGACAATAGCTGCGGCACGTTGCACATCGCCGGGAGTTTTGACCAGGTTTGATGTATCCTCGAGCTTAGACTGGCTAGGATTTGATGGTCCGGTAAAGAGAAATGTGAAGATGTGCCATGTGATGAACAGAGCTCCGACCCAGAGGAAAACTCTTTGCAGGGTTTGTTTGTGGCGCGTTCTCATGGTGACTATCTTCTCATCGACAGAACAACTTCAAAACAGACCAAAGTCACCTCGACGTTGATAAATATCCTCGACGAGAAATAGGAGTAATTTCACTGTGATCGCAACAGCCCCTAAACGTTTCTTTTCTCCAGCTGAAAGGCTTTTTAGGGGCTTTAGCGCCGCCACAATCGCTAGCTTCAGCTGTAATGGCCTAGCGTCTTCCTCGCTTAAGCTCTAGCGCTTAGATCTCCCCTGTATCATACCTTAAACTATTGAGGCGTCCACGCTAAACAGAAGAAAACAGAAGTCTAGATCGAATCCAGGCTAGGTTTTTGAAGCTATCGTTTTATCAGACCAGGTACAATATTAGTTCGACCAACAGCTTCTCCTAAATGAAAGACTTGCGATCGTAATTTAAAGGGTAGTCTTGTCCGCTAATCGACGGATCCTCTTTTCCTTTCTCTTCAACGTTGTGCTCTTACACTCTTTCAGACGCCACGTCCACCACTTTCGTTAATCTTCACGATGCGTTTTACTTCACTTTGCGCTGTCCTCGGGGCTACGCTGCTTCCCGTAGTTAGCGCTGCGCCATGCAAGCCGAGCAAGCCTACTTCCGTTGTGCCAACGACTTCTGCTACCACTACGGCTGAGGCTGAGACGCTCTCTACTGATACACCATACGAGACACTCTCAACCGACTTCCAGTCTACTGTCACCAGTGATGCCACTAGCTATCTAGAGACCACCGTTACTGAGAGTGCTACTTGGTCCGAGACTACTACCTTCGTCTCTGACTACACCACCGAGTACACTGCCACTACCGACGCCACTTCCGTTGAGGATGTTACTACCACCGTCACTGAAGCTGCTCCCGAGCCGACCAACCTGATCAAGAACAGTGATTTCGAGGACCAGCCTAACGTTGACTGGGGCCTACGAACCAGTGAGATCGTCAAGGATGAAGACAAGGCAGCATCAGGCGAAAGATACGTGTAAGTACTCATGCGAGAACCTCAAAATACCTCTACTCACTCGCCACAGCCGCTTCCAGGTCATCAACCAATCTGCCAGGGGTGGCAATTCCGTCAATCAAACCATCAGCGACGTCGAAGTGACACATCGATACCGTCTTTCCTTCAGCGGCGCCGCATTCGGTCTCTTCGACACGGGAAGCAACAACTGTTACATCGAGGCATATCAGAAGGGCGACGAGATCCAAAAGTGGAAGCTGGGCGACGTTCTGCCTGATGAGTATAACACATACTCTGTCGACTTCACGCCGAAATCCGATAGTTTTGAGCTTGCGTTGAGACTTCGTTGCGAGGCAGGTGACCCGGTTACTATCACTTTCGGTATTGATGATGTTTCCATGGTTGATATCGGCCCTATGATTAAAATTGCGCCTCCGATTAAGCGTGGAGAAATTTCTGAGAGTGATTACTGATCATTCTCGCTTGCTTTGACTCTAATGCTTCGTTTCTACGATTGGATGCTATACACAGTTCTCGGCGGCAGTGATGCGTGACTGAGGCTGTTTGGTATTTACCATTCTTCTACATAGCATATACGACTATAGATATTACGATAAATTAATTTACATATAATTATGAGTCGTGCCTTTCACGATTGAGTCACTGTCTAGTCAAGTGTCCAATGAATTTCATTGTCACTACCGGTCGTATTTACAAGGGCTAGTGAGATACGAACAGTAATCTCAGACGAATCCATCGCAAAAGACGAAACAAAACCTCGAGTGCACACTTCCCACGCCCATTTCCTCGCCAACATAAAACCCCATATCTTACAACTTCTGACCAGCAGTACCAGGGATAACAGAAGCAACCTTCTTACTTCCCAAAAGCGTAACCTTGTAAGGCAAGCTAGCAGCAGTAAGCGTACCCTTAGGGGCAGAGTTGACAGAACCACCAAGATCAACATCATCGACAACAGCATAGCCAGTTTCCTTGGAATCAGCGAAGAAGATAGCGCGCTCAACAGAGTTGGCGAAAGCAGAGCTTTGAACAAGAACTTGAGCACCCATGCGGGTGTTGACACCGGAAAGAAGGATCTTGTCCCAGTAGTTGTTGACGAGATGGACGGTGGCGAAGCGAATGAGGGGTTGGCGGCTGTTGACGTTCTTCCAGTAGTTGTTGGCGTAGGTGATGTGGAGTTTGCCTTTGTCCTCGGAGGCGTTGGAGTCTGAGTGGCCGATCAGAGAGCCCTTCCACTATGGTCGGTTAATTAGTAAAAGACGTATCTAGTGGATTGGGGGTTAACTTACGTGGTCGTGGAAGTAAGTGTTAGACACAGTAACCCAATCAGCACCGTGAGAGATGTCGAGAAGACCATCAAGGTCATCCTTTCCACCGCTCAAGTCACCAGATAGATCACAGTGATCAACCCAGACATTAGTAGACTCATCGATACCGATGGCATCGCCGTTGGAAGCATCAACCTTGGCGATCTTGAGGTTTCGAAGAATAACATTCTTCTGGCGACGAACGTAGAAGCCGATACCGGTAAGTGCTACACCGTATCAGCTGTCACTTTCTCGAGTCATTTACAGGACGTTGACTTACAGCTACCAGAAGCACCGATGATTGTCTTGTCAGAAGTAGGTCGGACCCTATCGCTACCGGTCAACTTGCCGTTGACGATGATAGTAAGAGGTCCATCGCGCTTGGCGGCTTCTTGGAGAGCAGCGAGGGTGGTCACAGTGACGGTTTGACCCTTTACTCCACCGGTAGTTCCACCGTTCTGGGTGCAGTAGCCTACGGTGCAGGCCTCTGCGGCTTGACGCTTGAAGACGGCATCGCGGGTTTCGAGGGGTGAGCTGGTTGCCAGAGTGGCGAAGACAGTGGTGAGGATTGAGCTGAACTTCATGGTGAAGATAGTCTGCTAATTGAATGATTTCTGGTTTACGGAAGAGACAAAACTCAATACGTGGTCGCATCGCTCCATTTTATAGATGTCCATCTTATCTCAACACTCGTACTCAATTACGATACTACATCAATTTTTCTACATTGAGCATCGGAATCCGGAGATTTCAATTGAATTACCTATTCTGGTCACATTGTCTCATTGCTATTGGGACATTAAACGGATATTGAAGTTGCGTGAAACAATCAAGTTGCGACCCGACGATGATGAGTGTTACCTTTCGGAGGACAGTTATGACATGACGTCCTGTTATTGGTGGAGTTGACATGGATACGCGGCAGTGGTTGGTGGAATTTCTTGGCTTATGCCGATCGTCACTCACTACCGTATGCACCTCGGCATCCATCTGCGATGACACAATAGCTCAATCTGGGGTAGAGGATGCCATTCTCAATTGACTATTATGAGTACCGTTGTTAATGGATTGTCGGTATTGATGTGTTCATTGAGGCTCATTGGAATGTTTGTTCTTTCTGTTGAATTGTTCTGGTCATCTTGCTTTAAACTTGCACACAGGCCATGGTCTAAAAGAATCTACAGTTCTAAACATCGGAGATGAAATAGTTTAATGTAATATTGGGGGCATAAAAGTCCATTTTCTCTCAAGAAAAGCAATATTCAGGACCTAATTCCCGAGCTTCCTCTCTGGGACTTCAATTGTTGGAATCTTTGGGGGTTTTGTTAACAACTCACCCTATACCAGCAGCAAACGACAACCATTAACAATTTCCCGACACAGTTCACTAAACGCGGTAACGACATGAAACGTGAGATGAGAAGTATCCTGCTTCAACTTTCGTAACAAGATATAATTTGCCAGGCATTTGCCTTTCACAAGGCAAAGGCACGCCGTCGTTGTAGTGTTGGTCTCTGGCTTTTAGATTGGGGGCATAACACCTGGCACCCCCAAGCATCCCATGTCAGAAGATGAGCTACCCCACAATCTTTCAATAGAATCCCACCATGAAAGGAAATGCAAGTTCTGGATTTAGACGATCGTCCAACCTTTTACCAGCCGCATTGAAGACTTTATCGGTGAGCTTAACCTTGATAAATCTGGGGAGCCGAGGTAGCCTATGCGTGATTGGAGGAAATACTCTATGCCGACGGTGTACCAGAGTTTCCGCCTATCAAATCCAGCACAAGGGTTCCCCGCCTTTCAAGCTCCCCCCACAAAGCTTCTCTTCTTCAGCATCGAGAACAGGCTCAACGAAGCGACCCCGGATTTTACATCGTGTACACGAGATGCCAAGACCTGCAGAGGATTATCCGACAGTGTTCCTTGACTATGATTCATGGATTCAGTGACTCCGGCATGTCACTAGAAAGAAGCTACCCTTGCCATGGGATTACCGTGGAATTTCCAGACCACTGAATCCTTGCAGATCCACGAACTTGCAGTTGGAAGCATGTCACTATGTAGATTCGAGAACCCGGCAGGAATATGTGAAGCTATATACCCAACTGTTGAGAATAGCCAGATCTGTATAAATACCACGAAGTCTGCCATCAAGTTGACTGCCTCCTGCAATCTCTCCCCAATTCCACCTCTAGAGACAAACGTCATTCACCATGAAAGCCTCACTCCTCCTCACAGTCCTCCCCCTGGCTCACTCCGCCATAATTCCCCGCCAATCCAAAACCGGCGACGGCGCCCAAGGCGACACAGACGCAACCCAAGGTGATCTCAGCCAAAGACCACCACCACGCTTCCCATTCCCCATCACCAAATTCCCCGTCGCCAAAGAAACAGTCGTTTTCAAGAATGCAAAGTATATCATGCCCGGTGAGGTGTTTGACGGCAAGATGAAGCGCTATGAACGTCCGGAGGGAAGCTGTAATGAGCAGGCAGAGGGCACGGATGCTGATACTGTGTTTAATCTCATGCCTGGTGCGACTATTAGGAATGTTATTATTGGGAAACATCAGGCTGAGGGGATTCATGCTTTGGGTGATGCTTGGGTTGAGAATGGTAAGTCAGCCTTTGATACCTTCACAAGTAATTCTTCTACTAACTGTGGCAGTTTGGTGGGAAGATGTTTGCGAAGATGCTCTTACATCCAAGGGTCTCAACACTCAATTGAGAGTCATTGGCGGTGGAGCTAGGAGTGCAACGGATAAGGTAAGCTGTCTCTGCCTTATTGCAAGAAACATGACTAATCTCTTATCAGATCTTCCAAGACAACTCTTTGGGAGGCAAGTACAACATCACAGGGTTCTACGCCGAAGGCTTCGGAACATTCTACCAATCCTGCGGCAACTGTCTCAACCAAGCAAAGCGAAACGCAACCATCCAAAACGTCGTTGCTCGCGACGGTCTACGAATGGGCATCGTGAGTCAACCACTACCCTCACCATCTCTCATACTGACCAGTCTCAGATTAACCCCAACTTCGGTGACGAGTTCCGACTCAAGGACGCCCAGATCGACAACGTCACTAGCATTTGTGACAAGGAGATTGGAAACAATGTTCAGACGGTTCCTTACTACGTCGGCAATGGACCTGACGAGAAGTACGCTTTGTATAATGAGACGAGGGATAATATTACAAAGTTCAAGGGTGAGGTTAAGTTGGCTTATGAGCCTGAGGATCCTTATGAGTGGCTTGAGGAGTTTTGGCCTGAGGGGTTCAACTGAGTTTGTCAAGAAGACTGAGTTTTAACCAGCCAGTGTTTGGAATTCCTTCATCGGTCGCGTTTGACGCGTAATTCTACAGTACATATTTAGCTATCAACGAATAATTGTCGACTATCATTTATGCTTAATTCGTCTTGCTCCGCGCGATTGGGTTCGAAGGTTCTTAGCAATTGATAGTGATACTTTCCACTCACGTCAGAGGCAGGCATGTGTGACATCATGACGCGTTTCGGTATATGATTGACAGCGGGGAATATAAACATCAGACTTCCCGTCATCGCGTCAATTAATCTTGCGACTATTCATATCAATTGATTCTCCCAAGTTGATTCTCTTTCATTATTTTCAGTATGCTGTGGAAAAGCGCTTTCCTTCTTGGTGCGCAGCTTGGCAGCGTCATCGCCAGAGACCAACAATTTCTCGGATCAGACGGTCATTCTCTCGACGAAATTCGGGACAAGTACAATCATCTACACCTTCATAAGTGATATTAGCTGACATTGTTAGACTTTTAGAGTCCCAGGTTATCCCAACAGTCATCGATGACTTTCCCCCCACTCTCGCACTCAGCGCATCATGGAAACATGACTCCGCAGATCTCGGCAACACCCTCAAGCCAGACCATCTCAAAAAAGCACCCAATGTCCATCTCGACCACGTGAAATCAGACCCGGCCCTTGAAGCTGTTCTCAAGAAGAAAATGAGCTATGTCATCGTCCTCACCGACCCCGACGCACCATCTAGGGATGATCCCAAATGGTCAGAATTCTGCCATTGGATCGCGGTAGGAAGAGCTAAGACCTCATCTAAATCAGCCAGGAATTTATCAAAGAAGCACAAGAAGCATAAGAAGTCTAAGCATCATCTAAAGGATCTTATCAAGTACAAAGCTCCTGCTCCGCCACCAAAGACCGGCAAGCATCGCTATGTCTTTCTCGCGTTTGTCGCAGCGAATGGAACGAGTGAGAAGCTTCATCTAAGCAAACCTGGAGAGAGGAAACATTGGGGTTCAGACCAGCCTGTGTATGGTGTCCGGGAATGGGCTCATGAGAATGGTCTTGCTCCTGTTGGTATGTTCATCCTACCTATCAAATCGAATGAAGCTAATATGTACAGCTGCAAATTTCATCTATGCAGAGAACGAAGAACAGTAATCACATGTCGAATATCCGTCACCATCCGAATAGAAACGGAAGCTCAAACATACTTTTACGAATTCCCTGATTTACAGCCAAGACAAAAATGTCACTCGAAATGTCATTTGTCCAAGTCCACTCGCTCCGGACAAGATTCCTATTTTAGAAACCCCGCATTGAATGGTCGGCTCCCGAAACTCTAAGCTACCCAATCCACGATCAGAGGGCTCCCACGATCAAGATCGCATCCATGTCTCCCGTGAGCTTAATTAAGCAGGTCGGCAATTAGAAGAAAATGTACTACCGAATCAATTGATTGAACGTTGGCGCGTGACATTCCAATCGTGTTTTGGACAGAGATCATTACTGTGTTAGGAAGGTAGGCGATGCAAGGGAGAGATCTTGGCGGGAGTATTGGCGACGATCGATTGATATAGCATTGATGGAAAGATGTAATTGTTGCGGCTGGGAAAACATATAAATAGTCTCAATAAGTCTAGCAAAGAGATATTCAGCACCAAACCAGTCCCTCTCATCTCCAGCCAAAATGAAGTTCACTCTCCTCGCCCTCCTCCCAGCAGTTCTCGCCCTGCCCACCGGCGAAGATGCATCCATCTCCAAGCGCCAGAGCGCAAACACAGTGACAGACCAGCTCCTCTTCAGCGTCACGCTCCCCCAATTCACAGCCCGTCGTAACGCTCGCGACCCTCCCACTCTCGACTGGACCTCTGACGGCTGCACTTCATCCCCCGATAATCCATTCGGCTTTCCCTTTATCCCCGCTTGCAACCGCCACGACTTTGGATACCACAACTATCGCAAGCAGACTCGATTTACTGTTAGTGCCAAGGCGAAAATCGACAGCAACTTCAAGACCGAGTGAGTACCTCAGATTGATGAGTCAATGATCGATTGCTGATAATGATAGTTTGTACTTCCAATGTCAATCTTCAAGCGCCGCTGGTGTTTGTAGGGGTCTTGCGGATGTTTACTATGCTGCTGTGAGGGCTTTCGGTGGCGATGATGCTACGCCTGGAAAGAGAGATGAGGATCTTGTTAAGGAGTATGAGGAGAAGGTTGAGATTTACAACCACCTTGTTGAGGATGCTCAGAAGAAGGGTGAGCTGCCTCGTCTCGATTAAAATTGGAAGTCAAGCGCTGGATTGGCTTTTCGTTAAATGTATATAGTTATGTTAGTTACATACTTGGTCGATGAAAATTGATGACTTGATGGAAGATGTCTACATTTTTATATTGTCATACCCTGGTAGTGAAATTCTCCAAAATATGTTGGTGACAGGTTTAGACGAAGATGTAAATGCTCGAAGTTATTTATTGTAGTTAGTTATACTCGCTTGTGTTTTTGCAGAGCTAACACCAAGGGCGCCAACTAAGTCCACTCGGAGTTCCTCCACAAACTTCTTCGTGGATTATTTGTCCACTTTCTTAATCTATCTGGACTTTTAAAGAGGGCCCTGATACTCTGCCACTCAGGTGGACTGAGATATCAACGACCTTCGGTCCACCATCGGCATCTTTGCTACCTTGTGCCATGGATGGTATTGTTACTGCTGGTGTTCATCATCCGTGACGGTTACGTGTTCAAATTCGCAAGTGAACAATACATATTAGAAGGCCTCATTTTCAAGGATCAGGGTTTGACAGAACGCGACAGCCCCGCCAAATTTCATCTCAACCGTCTTGAAGTTCCTTGACCGCCGTTACTAAACAAAAATCGACTGTACCACGCGCCCTTGCATATCCGGCTCTTAGACATATATTTCACAACCTGACCGAAAAACAAGAAGTCCCTTGTGTATGGCTTGATTACGATGTTTACGCTACGACCTGTCAATCGAAGTCCTCAAGCTTGGACCACGTACTTTTACCCCAGAAATCTCTTCGCTTTGACCTTGTGCAGAAAATGGTGAGGGAAGAGCAGGGCTGAGAAAGCCCGACATTCGTTAGCCTATCTCCAGGAAATGAACCCCAGAAACCGTGAGTAACTTCAATCTGAATCATTGACTAGCTATAGTAGCACTTGGCATCGTCATTTGTCTTTTCTCCGCGAGTCGGATCCCAACCATCCGCAAATCGAGACATCAGATGAAACCCACCACGGCACTCGATATCCACTTCTGTTGAGCTCAAACCATGTGTCTTAGCATCACGCAATCCTTATTTCTATCTCGTTGGGCTACTAATAAGTCGCCTAGCTGTTAGGCTCATCAATTCTGACAGATGACTCGCCCGCTCTAAACCCGGACCATTCCACCGCGCCCAGCCGACCAATACCAACGAGTCAGTCTATCAAACACTAGTATCAATCCGGCAACTAGATTGCCCATTTGTCAGTGGGGCGATAATTGCGGAGGGGAACTTCAAGGCTGGACCTTCCCCCGCGTCTGTCTTCCAATAAGTTAAGAGGAAAAAGCAACGCTGCAAACCCTTTGACCGGTTTTGCCGCTTTTCTTTCCTCTGTGCCAAACTGCTGGGAAAAGGGGGCTCTGCTCTACTGCCGGTTGTTTAAAAGTGGACTCTTTTACCTCATCTTTCTTTGGATCGACTCTAGGATGCTGCTAAGATAACGACAACCGACACCCGACTTCAACCTTTACTCTAACCCCTCATCCTCAAAATGTCATCACAACTCACAAAAGTACCCAAAACTCGTGTTCGCGTTGTAGAAGGCTCTTGCTGGCCCTGCAAAAAACGTCGTATCAAATGCGATCTTGCAAAACCTAGTTGTTCACGCTGTGCAAAAGTCGGAGCGGCATGTGACTACAACCAACGCCTAATCCGATGGAGCACGAGACCTGCTGTTACTGTACCGGCTATCTATCAAATCACCACCCACGATGAACAACTCGCTGCTTCATTAGCAGTTTACGAAAAACGATCACTGGATTACTTTCATGGAAGGTTCTGGCCTTTACTTACTACTTCGTCGAAACCCTGCGCGCCGCCGACTATGATTGCGCTGCAGCATCGTGTTGTGCTGCTTGCGACGTGTGTTCTTGCGGATTCGCATCGATGGTTGCAGGATGGGAGGAATAGTCGGAGTATCCTGAATGTCAAACGGGCGGAATGCTTGGCCGCATTAAGGGAAGAGGTAGATGGATGCTGTTCGAAAGACGATGGACCTTTGCAGACGCTACTTTTTGCAGTGCTGCTACTTTACTTCCACGATGGGTTTCTGGAGTGTGCGCAGACCTCGGCATCGACGTCAAGTCATAGAGATGGTGTGCTGGCTATTATCAACCAATTAGGTGGAATGACGAAGGTTTTGGCCTCGGGACAGGATCCTTTGCATATGATGCTTTCGGAATTCGCGACGACGGACCTCACGAGAGCGATGCTCACGGGCCAAGCACCATCTTTTCCTCCGACGATTTGGGAAGTGGTGGATCGAGGGCCAGTCTGGTGGGGACGAGATACCCAAGGATACTGCTCGTTATCAACAGTATTCCAAGAAATATCCGCCATGGCATTTTACATCCAGTCAACATCCCGGATGGTTGAAGAATTCTCCATTGAGCGTATTCGAGTTTTCGAAGCCGCCTTACGTCCAACATACGCCTCTCTCGCTGTCGAAGATCTTTCTTCACCGCGAGCTTCCCCAATCGACCACCCGCCCATCGAATGCGACACCGAATCTGCCCAAGCATTCAGCCTCGTCCGGATCTTTCAACACGCGGCACTAATCTATCTCTACCGTGCAGTCTGCGGTCTACCCGCCAACCATCCTCTCGTTCAACAACACACACAATCGTGTCTCGACTGCATCTTCAGCATCCAAAAGCCGTCCAAGATCCTCAACTGTGCTGTTCTACCGCTTTGTATCGCTGGGGCGCACTCGCAGTGTGCGAAACAGCAGAAGTCTGTACGGGCGCTCGCGGGGTTTATTTATGATGAGATTCGGTTCGCGAGTGTGAATTCTGTTATTGCGGTTCTGGAGGATATTTGGAAGAGGATTGGAGACGATGAAGAGATGACGTGGAATGAGATGTTTATTAATTTGAATGGTCAGGCACTTGTGTTGTAGATTTTGTATAATAGTTTACGATTGGTGTTTTGGTCCCTGTGTATTATGGATGGGCGCTAAAGAAGGACGATGGAACCCTTCTGGATGTAACAAGGATGTTTTACTGTATAGAATGTTAGAGTTGCATTCAACAGGTAATATTAAAGACACGTCAATTTCGATTGCCCCTTATTCGGCCATCCAGACCCCTCGAATCGTTATCCGAGCTCCATCCATCCTGCCTCATACTTGGAGACCAAATTGTCACTCTCCGCCATCAAGCTCTCCGCCTACACGAACCACCAACTTCCCTCTCGTCCTCCCCTCCTTCAATCTCCCATAGGCCCTACCCGCATCCTCCAATCCGAACTCCTCTTCAATCACAATCTTGACCTTTCCATCTCTGATCCATTCCGCAATTTGTCCAAAGTCCTTCCTGTTCGCCACGACGGAGTGGAATTTGAACGGCCGCTTTCCACCAGCTGACCATCCTGGTAGAAGCTTGATGCTCATCAAAGTTTTGTAAAAGCTGAAAGTAGGTGGAAAGCCGACACAGATGTATTTTCCCTCTGGTTTAAGGTAGTGGTGTGACTGCCAGTAGAGATTGGTATCGCTGAAGATTGTGTCGTATACTAGATCAAATGCCTCCTCTCCGTTCTTCAAAATTTCCAATACGTTCTGAGATTCGTAGTCAATAACTTCACCAGCGCCCAGAGAATGGCAGAAATCAGCATTGGAAGCTGAACAAGTGACCGTGACGTGAGCGCCTAGGGTCTTAGCCACCTGGATGGCAAACACACCAACGCCACCACTACCGCCATTAATAAACACCCTACCGCCACGTTCAACGAACGGCATGAGAGATTGAACAGTTGAAGTTCCGCAAATACCAATACAAGCAGCATCGCTCATCGACACACCATCAGGTACGGCAGCGATACCTTTCTCGTCCACGACGACATATTCTGCCAATGTGCCGCCAGTAGGTAACTCTGTTCTTCCAAACACTTTCCGTCCAGCCTTCAGGTCATCGAGTGTAGTAGAGACGATTGTGCCGGAGTAATCTAGACCTGGCGTGACGGGCTTTGTGAAAAGCATACTGGAGAATGGCATTTCGGCGACTTTGTAGTCCAGGTGGTTGATCGAGGCGTATGCGACTTTGACCAGACTCTGGCCTTTTGAGAGGGACCTGGCATTTGCGGGAAGATTTGCGCTTGGATTTAGAGTTAGAGACTTATCGATGCCGGATTTCATGGTGCGCCATTGGGCGGCGCGCATTGTCTGCGGAAGCGTATTTGATGTCATGTTGAGCGAATGTCAATTGGACGATTTCAATAGCAAAATTAATTCAATTTTAGGTTCAAGAATGTGAAGAATAGCGAGCCAGGATTCTCTCGCCATTCTTTATACGACCGTGCTGACTCTTGATAACGTGTTTGATCAGATCATGGAGTGATGTTGTCTTGGCTAAATTGGGCTGAAGTCTCACCAACCAATCCTCGTCAAGGGTCTTGAGATGGTGGCTTAAAATGGCCAGTTATGCTTAAATAATTCGTACTGTATTCTGACCTTATTGGCACTTTGGGATGACATGCGTGACTCTGCCGTCGGTGTTTTTGACTTCCGAACTTTGTGGCTTGCATCAGCTTATCGCTCGAGGATAGAAGAGGACAAGAAACTGCCATAACCATCTATCAAGCCCGCTACATCTCTCTTGTAACAAACCATATTATATCCTCGAGTTCCCTTGTCTGACGATAGATGTTTGCATGGCAAGTCTTTTGTGAACATCTTGTTATTATCCTACATTAAAGAAGGCATTCTAATAATTAGAAAATAATAATAATAAAAATTTATAACGGGAATATCTATATTCTAGCTAACATGGTCAATAAGTGGTAGTGCACCTCTTTTATCTTTTTTGTTAACTCCAGCGAAACTGTATCAGGCCTTGTCGTTGCATCATCTTGTTCTTTGCAACCACCTCAAGCGGCAACGAATTGTCCGTTATTGCACTTCAGATTAACCTGGTTCCGTCCCGAAAAGTCGAAGGTGGATAGGTCTGCCTTATTAATCGACACCATGGCTCCCGTCTCGGCGTTGGCCTGGAACCAGAGCGCAACGCGCAACTTAGGGGTCAAGAGCTCACTTCCATTGGGGTCGATTGGCGGATTGCTGACGTAGAAAGGCACATATTGGCCATTGACGCGTCTGAAGAGCACAGCACCGGCTCCACGACTAGTTCCATTCACCATCTTGAATGATTTCCCAGGTAGCTTTTCATTTGCAATATTGCCATCGATCCAAGTGGGAGGAAGCGTGTAGACTTGATCAAACTTGATGCTCGCGAGGTTGGTAGCCATAGTGATTGTACCTACAGGAATTGTTAGTTTGATGGTAAACAGCACGTGAAAAGTAGATCGTACCCCCATTCTCGAACCTGCCATTAGTGGCTGCGATCTGGAACTCGTCATTCCACTGAAAGGTCACTTTGGGAGTGATAGCTATCGAGTATTAGTTGGGTCTGGGTGCAATTCCCACCACAAGGTACTTACTGGCAGCTTGGGCAATCACGTTGAAAGCGGGATTTTGTCCCACGCCGGTGCCGAAACACAGTCTGTAGCCCTTGCCATTGTACATTTCGATCTGTTCCTTAGTGAACTCGATGTCAATCTCTCTGCTACCCATGGTGGACTAAGACGTAGTAGATGCAGAGAAGAGACTTAATCTAATCTAAAGGTTTCCTGTTGGTTTATGGCTTGGTAGATGTGGAAGTGCAGATAGTATGTGGGATCGACACACCTATTTATAAATCACTGAGGCCTCATCGTCGCTAACTTCCATGAGCGGGGAGTTGAGACAATGGAAGCGTCTGGACCTTCAGGCATGAATTCAGCTTGTTGCGCCAATAGTTTGATCTAGTTACAGGGCAAGTCCGAGCACTAGCTCCTCCAAGCTTAGACGCGGCGGGCCCCTCTCAATAGTTCCGAAAATACTCGAAGCGACGATACCGGTGAGGGAAAGTCCAAGACAAATTAGATGCGGCTAACTATAAATGGACTTTAACAGTATTCTCAGCTATAGGGAAAACGCCAATGGGTTTCAACAGATACGAATAAAGCTATTTGACTTTTTCCGAGGCGTAAGTCCCGAGGTATACAGATAAATTCAACGCCTCTGCTATGCCCTCAAGCCGAGACCACGACTTGCTGGGCTTGCAAAATACATTCACTACATGTCAACAGTATAAAATGTTTGATTGTGCTGATCTTAATTCAGTCTATTGAAAAGGGAAAGTCAACGAGTGACTAAGAAGAAAGTTAAGTCTATGCAATGCGAGTAGGCCCGCATAATTATCAAGCGATAGTCCATCCGTCGTAAATCGGACTACCCATAATACTCTGCAGGTCCACACTGCAGATAGAGAATATCTCTACCGATTATTCAAAGTTGATAGCCTAAGGATAAGTAGTCAAACTCTCCTCACCAGGAAAGATAGTGCCGTTTGAAATCGCCGCAGCATGTGCCCTAGCCACATATCCAGCAAGAGGAAGGTACTGTCCCAACCAAGGGTAAAGCTCTTTGCTGCCAGGAGTGTTCCTCCAGTCCCTCATAAGCTCACAGATAATTGAGAACATACTGACAACCTGCACGCCAGCATCGCGCATGCGATCGTTGGAAACATCGCGGATGAGAGCACTGGTGGTACCGGAAGCTTCGATGTTGGCCCAGACGGAGTAGCCTGCATCGCGAAGTGATAAAGCAAGGAAGGTGGTGCAGACGTCGGTCACGATACCGGCGAGGATGATTTGCGATTTGTTGGTTGCCTTGACGGCGTCGCGGAATTCTTCGCTGTCCCAGGCGTTTACTTGGCCCTGGCGTTGGACCAGGGGAGCGTCGGGGTACATTGTGCGAATCTCACGCGTGAGGGGACCGTTGGGACCTAGAGGGTCAGTATATACCTTTCAAGTATTGCGTTGGGATTTACCTTGATCAGCAGAGGTGGTCAGGATGACAGGCAAGTCGAAAGCCTTGCCAATGGCAGCATGGGCCAGAGACTGGTGGTGATAAAGAGTAGGATCCCAATCTCGGGTGTACTGGAAGAGACCTTCCTGGATATCAACCACGAGGAGAAGCTGTAGCCGTTAGTATACTGTGATAGGTATTGATGGGGAGTGACTGACAGCATCGTCCTTGTCGAGGCGCTCATACTCGTAAGGGGCTTGCTTGGCAAGAGCAGAAGCAGACAGCAAGCCCGCGGCGAAGATAGAGGTGAACTTCATGGTGATGAAGTTGAGAGTTGGCTTGGGAGTATTGAATCTGCTACAATTGCTGTTCGAGGCTGTCGAGTAACTTCTCAAATCTGGGTTGCAGTACAGCTATATATACGCAATTTCTCCCGGAGATCTCTCTCCTGCAAGTCTCGAATTCCGCGTTTTTCTATCTGAGCCTCCCCTTGCTGATTCCAAAAGAAAAATGCAGGGTAAAATGCAGAGTCGGACTGCAAATCCGACTGGGCGGCCGAACCTGAAGCGGCCGAACCTGAACAATTCCACCACAGAAATCTACACTTGCAGGTGGGTAACAACAGACCTACTCGCTAATCCTTAGGGAGCCAAAAATAAAAAGTGATCTAATTGACAGCATAAAACAAATAAGTTATTTTGACTGTTATACTTCAAGCGGGCAATGCGTCTCACACCATGGCGACTTGGCCCTACCTGAGAAACCAATATACCTTCATGCAAAGCCACCGCAGCCACAGTAAGCTATACGAATATGCATAAGCTGCGGGCCGTCTGCGATGGTGTATTGTCATACGCTTGTAACGGTTTGTCATCATGCAGCTATACCCTCTAGAGTGAGGTCTCCCCGCTTTGTGTAAGGTTGGTAAGCCGCTTTCTCAGCATGGGTCCAGTCTGGATACTACGGAACGTACTTTTGAAGTCGGAATTGAATTGATTGTTCGGAATATTAATACCGTTGAAGTCGGTGATGAGATCTTGTTTGATCCTTGAGGTGCGATGTCGCGACGTGCATTTGGACCCTGAGATTAATGTGGTTCCTGCTTCTTTGTCATAGCGGGTCTCAATCCCGACGGCGGTGTTGGACCCTTGAGGCGACATGGAAACTAACATGATTATTGGCGGACTTTATCGTCCTGTCTTTCTATGCTGCATTACTTGTTACTGACGCATGCTTGCATAATATTGATTCGTTAATACTACCAGTTGTAGAGACGTCCGAAGTGCTTCGCTGTAATGTCGCAGACTCGCAGTGTAACACGGCACGATAAAATGGCAATAAATGAAGTGAGGGGCACCCAGAGACATGTTCTCGCTTGTGAGATGCTGCGTTGTGCAGTTTTAGATCTGGTAACGATCGGCCACAATTCCAAATCTCTACAGCGAGTCAGTTTTAAGTCATCGAAAGCAATTGCTATGTCGGATTTTTCAAGCATATCGCTTCAATCCGGTGGGATTGTGTCAGTGACTTGATGTGTCAAACAGTCAAAATTGTGCTCTTAGTTGTGTGAACTCGATTGGTGTCTGGTGGTATCGATATATCGCACACAAGCGGGAATCCAGTATGGCTGGATTTTTTCTTCTTCTTCTCATCGATATTTTCTCTACATATACGATTGCGAGCAAATGCTTACTAACAAAAACAGCTTGGTACTGTGGTCTAGTTGGTCATGACATCTCGTTAACACCGAGAAGGTCCCCGGTTCGAGCCCGGGCAGAACCTCATTTTTGGCCCTTGACCGAAGTACCTAGAATTATTATTCGCACATTCTATCCTCCATTCAGTTTTTCTTTTTCTTTGAAAGTCACGTTTTCAAGACGCACCATTAAGTTATGGATGATAAAGCGGCTGCACTGAAGAGTCGTGAACACGATGCTGGCCTCTCAGCTGAAAAGCGATAAAGCCTGACCAGATTGAAACCCATTTTATTCTTCAATAATTTCATTTTATTCCATCGCGACATAAAATCGACTATTTCTCTCTGTTGCAGTTTTCGTGGCTGTCATCGCAGTGAGCAACTTGCCAATTATTCGCTTATCTTAAAATGCCGGTCCTTAACCTGTACCCTGATTCAGTTCCTTCTAGATTGCAAATTGACTATTGAACTGTACGGCTTGACGACTGACCTTCAAAAAAGCTCAAATAGACTGTTGAGCTAAGATCCGACAGAAAAGAATCTCCCGAACTAGTGTCAGCTTTTTTGTCGAGTCAGATCTGGCAATTCGGCCATGATTGGCGGCTCACTGAATCCCAAGTGTTGGTGTAAGCAGAGCCTCGTCTCAAGTTCATCTCAACTCCATGTTACTAATATAACAGATATTGAAGGTTATGGAACTCAGAAAATATTGATCATAAGCATGTGTTTGTAATTGAAATGATTGAGCTGTCTGGCCTCAGACTGAAGTGGGACACGTAACCTGTCAAACAGTGCGTATTCTGTCCTATCAAAGCATCCATCCATCACGACAACTTCCACCAACCCATCTCCCAGTAACTCTCCATTGACCCTCAAATAATGTCAGATGCTCACTAAGATCTCCAAACATCCTTTTCTCCGACTCTTAGGACATATACAGCTCGCAACCGCCTCCGCAAACTCCCTCCGGACCCGTCTCCGCAAGCTACCAGACCCACAACAACATCTCGGAACCGCAGTCATTGAACCACAAAGTGCGGGGTGACTTGCTAACAGTTTAGTGCCGAGCGGGGGAGGATCCTCAAACGTGGGGAAACAAGGGAGCCAACGGTTCAATAATATCATCAAACTCTACTGTATGTTTCACAGCTTTCGGCATACATAAGGTCCCATCTTCCCCTCACTTGGGCATCAAACTCTATCCTTCATCATTCTCTCAACTACAACTTTCACAATGGGCGACATCATTCCTCAGTCTATTCCTCGCTCTTCTCGAGCTTGGGCAGTTCCTGGCTCTACCAACATCATTCCCGCCAAATTCCCCTCCGCTTCACCAAAAGCGCCTACAGATCCGATAGAAATCGCCACCCGCGTTGTCAATGCTTTCAACCAGGCGCTTAAGAGCAAAGACTTCCCCACTCTCTCACAGCTCTTCACCAAGGATGGTTTCTGGCGCGATCATCTCGCACTGACTTGGTCTTTCCGCACAGTTCAGGGTCCTGATAACATTTTATCGTTCCTCAAGACTTGTGCTGGATCAAAGGATGGCTTTCGGTTGAGCAAGATTGGCCTTGACACTAGCTCGCCTGTGCGAAAGCCGCAGGTTCTTCCTATTGATGGGAAGGGCGATGTGCAAGGTATTCAGTTCTTCTTTGACATTGATACTGTTATCGCTACAGGATTAGGTCTAGCGAGATTGGTGGAGGTTGATGGACAGTGGAAAATCTTCACATTTTACACGCGCATTCAAGATATCAAGGGTCATGAGGAGTCTGTCAATGAGCACCGACCTAGAGGTGTTGAGCATGGCGGTATGCCCGGACGCAAGAACTGGGCCCAGCGAAGAGCTGAAGCTGCTGAGTTCACCAAGGACGATCCAGCCGTTCTCATCGTTGGTAAGTTCTAATATCCTTCTGCGTTGTGTTCCAATCACTAACAATTATAGGCGCTGGCCAAGCTGGTCTGACAGCCGCCGCTCGTCTCAAAATGCTCGGCGTCGAAGCCCTAGCAATCGACCAAAACGACCGCGTAGGCGACAACTGGCGCAAGCGATACCACCAACTCGTTCTCCACGACCCAGTCTGGTACGACCACATGCCCTACATGCAGTTCCCACCCCAGTGGCCCATCTTCACACCGAAGGACAAGCTAGCCCAGTTCTTCGAGGCGTACGCTACCCTTCTTGAACTCAACATCTGGATGAAGACTTCTCTCATTGACACCAAGTGGGATGAGGCTTCCAAGACGTGGACTGTTACTGTGGAGAGGACTAAGGATGATGGCACTAAGGAGAAGAGGACTTTCCATCCTCGTCATATTATTCAGGCTACTGGACACTCTGGAAAGAAGAATATGCCTGATATGAAGGGTATTTCTGACTTTAAGGGTGATCGACTTTGTCACTCTTCTGAGTTTTCCGGTGCGAAGGAGAATAGCCAGGGTAAGAAGGCCATCGTTGTGGGCTCCTGCAACTCAGGCCATGACATTGCTCAAGATTTCCTCGAGAAGGGATATCACGTCACCATGGTCCAGCGCTCCAGCACCCACGTCGTTTCCTCGAGAGCCATCACCGACATCGGTCTCAAGGGTGTCTACTGCGAAGACGGTCCTCCTGTCGATGACGCTGATCTTCTTGTCCACGGTCTTCCCATTCCCGTCTTCAAATCTCTTCAAATCGAAACTGCCAACAGACAAGCAGAATGCGACAAAGCCATCCTCGAAGGTCTTGACAAGGCCGGTTTCAAGGTCGACCGCGGTCCCGATGGAGCCGGTCTTCTTATGAAATACTTCCAGCGCGGAGGAGGCTACTACATCGACGTCGGCGCCTCTCAACTCATCGCCGACGGCAAGATTAAGGTCAAGCACGGCCAAGAAATTGAAACCGTTCTTCCCAACGGTCTTCGCTTCGCCGACGGTTCTGAGCTGGAAGCTGATGAGATTGTGTTCGCGACGGGATACCAGAACATGCGGACTCAGTCGAGAACCATGTTTGGTGATGCTGTTGCTGATAAGGTGAATGATGTTTGGGGATTCAATGAGGAGGGTGAGATGAGGACCATCTGGCAGAAGAGTGGGCTTCCAGGATTCTGGTTCCATGGTGGTAATTTGGCTATGTGTCGGTATTATTCTAAGTTGTTGGCGCTGCAGATTAAGGGATTGGAGGAGGGGTTGTATACTTATGATGATATTTAGGAGAGATCGATTGTGTTTAAATTGACTAGCTGCATATGCGTTCCAGTACAAATAATGTTTTTTCCAATGAGCCTCGCTATCTTTAATCTATTTAAGGTTTTAAAAGGTCAGTCATCAAGTCATACAGTTTAGATCAACACAATTACTATCTTTTACCTAAATTTCTGTAGACCATTCAATGGACTGTTTTGATCGAAAGTCCCTTAATATGGAACAGGACGTTACGAAGGAGGAGCCAGAGTTTGGAGATAAAGATGCCACTGCGGTTCCTCCCTGCCTGGTGCAAGCTCTATCTAAATATGAATATTAAATAGAAGAAATTGAGCTACTAAATAGCTGGGTGTGAGGACATATCATCTGGGTCTTATGTGTTCGTCAATACCGCTACCATCGACCTTTAGTTATCTCTCAAAGGTGAAATTTGAAACCCCTCAGCATGTGGGCTAGGCAAGGTATAACACATATCCAAGTTCTGACTCCCCTCACCCACAGAGATAACCCAGCCGGGAGATTCCTCCTGCCTGATAGTAAACCTGTCAGAACCTGGTGCTGAAGGCTTGATAAACCAGTTCCACTGAGCGTCACGGAGCCTACGTCCTTTAGTGGCGTACCTGAGAGTCCTTGGGCCATCACGTATTGTCAAACTGGCCAAGTAATCGGTTCTTTCAATCTCTTGCAGCCAATAAGCAGATCCATTGGATGGTTCAAGTGACTTCCTGCCAGATACAGGTATCAGGTACCACTTCTGCCAGGGCGCATTTGCCCAGCCTATGTCGTGGACGGTAAAGTTTGCGACGTATCCGGATATTCCGATTCCCGAACCAGAGCTAGTCGCAAGCCAGACTGGCAACTTCACCTCCCCCTCAAGTTTCATCAGACTGTTATAAAGGTCGATAGTAGCCTTGCCAACTGATGCCTCGAAAAGCTCTTGCTGCTTCTCTAGGTATCCAAGATGACGGGCGGTAGTCTTCTCTCCCTCAGAGAAGTGGACTTTGGGGGCTCTTGTCGCCATTTCCAGAAGCTCAATACCTCGACCGACCACTGCCCAGTAGCTGTAGACCTGAACCTCTAGTTAGTTATACATTTCCACCCCCTGATTCTCTAATCAATTGTTACTCACTAAAGCTCTACATCGGAGGTAGAAAATTTGGAATTCGTCTGAGTTGTCAAACGCACGCTGAGCGAGTTGCTTCAGGAATGAACTGTTTCCCTCCTCGCCGAGAAAGCTATTGATATGTTCCAGACTCTCAGGGACGTTCTTGGCAACCTCCTTGAGTCGATTGTCCATTCGCTTTTGTAGCTCACGCATTCTCAGCTGGCGTTTCTCAAGATCCGCAATCTCAGAGTCACGCACAACAGTCTCGAAAATGTCAATAATGCTGTTGTATAGACTGTTGATCTTTGTTAAGTGACCCTTCAAGGAGTCACTTCGAAGCTGCAGGATGCTGTCGGCCAATTGACTGGAAAGATTGTCGATAGACTTCTTGACGTCGCGGACTTGATCGATGACTTCTTTGAGTTCCTTCTTGACATCTGCGATCTCGGCCTTGATGGTGTTTTCGAGTTCCTTCTCATCGCTGCCAAAGAACTCCTCGAAGCCTTTCTCAAAGGCCTTCTCTCCGGCAGCTGATGCAATGCCACAGGCAAACTTTACTAGAAGCTTGGTCCCGATTTTCTCCGCTAATGCCGACATGTTGTAGACCTGCTGCAGTATCCAATAATGATGGGTGAAAAAAAGATATTGGCAGGGTAGTTGTTGAAGTTATGAGTAGAAATTGAGGAAGAATTATATTCTGAGCTGGATGAAATCAACGGATCTCGTTCTTCATAGAGAATTCGCTCCGGCTCCATTTCTGTCTCGTAAACTACATTATGCCTTGGGCTGAAAAGAGAAGAGGGAGCTAGCAAGGTGACTTGGATGGGGGTGTTGTGGATGGCTGACGGACGCAATGCCCCATAGCTTGGCAATAAAGACAGGTCTAGGCCAGTTCAGCTGTCATCCTCCAATGCATGCATACCTCCCGGGTAGACCAGTCATTGATCAGATTCGGGCGGAATAGGCCCACGCAGCAATTCCGATTTGTTTTTAAAGTGTCACACAGGTCAGTAAATGGTCTCAACAGCAGACAAGGCTAACCAGATTGACAGTCAATAGTCGATAGTCTGTCCCAACTCGGAGCAATATTCCCCATTCGCCTCAATAATTGGCCCTTAAAACGACAAGGGTGCAAAACTATCGAATTCTCGTGCATAGCTGAAAACGAAATTTGGACAACACGAATATACTTACGGAGTAGCCGGCCGGCTGACTATTTTTCTCTCAACTCCAAAGTCCCATCACCGGCTTTGCTTCGACATGGGCCGATCATCACCGCTTCTAGACCCTCTTGAACTCCAAGTAGAACTTCTTTGCAGTTATTCCCTGTGCCATCACGCGATCAAACACGTGCTGTGCACCGTTGCTGACCAAACTTAAGCTTGAGTCTGAAAGGCAGCCTCATCATTTTGATTGTAATGAAATATAATCCAAGAGTAAAATGTCACCTTCTCAATAGCGAATCTTTATTCCAAGCTCCTCCGAGTCTCGCACAATCCTTTCTAAGCGTTCCCAAGGATAAACAACGGCCGGGTCATCGTCACCACGTCCCCGCTCTTGATGCTTAACGGTGATGTAGATCTCTCTCAATGTCTGTTGTCTTTTCGAAGCAAAGTCCACCATTGCACGCACCCAGTCCTCATGTTTTTGGTTGAAGTCATGTACGATTTTTGCAATACTGTCCAAATTCTGGGTTACGTTCCAATATCTTGTGAAGACGGGATGTTGTATTTCCGCTATCAAACATGTCCATGGTGCAAATGAGGAGATCGGAATACATTTCGGGTCGCGCTAGGTCTCTGATGCGCCGGCAAGTGCTTGATAGTGGCACTGTTGCCCTGCGACGCCAAGGGAACCTCGAGACCTTATCGAACTCTGCACCAATGGCCAAAACTATCAGGATAGGAGATGCCGTGGCCATAGTGACTGGAGCGAAAACTGCAGTTGTTGGTGTCGTGAAGATGTTGGGACGGGTATGTTAAGTTCAATTGTTCCTGGTGCCTGAGCGGGGTATAAAGAAGATGACATAGATAGAAAGCGACACGGGTAAAGGAAAAAAAGCAAATACGTCCCTGTGGTAGCCAACAGGGTGAAACAGCCACACGAGTCAGACAACAATCAATACGTATAATTTGAAATGGTAATATCATTAAGTCGTGATATGGCTACATAGAATAGAATTATATAACAAGGTATCGAACCATATCCATCATTATACAAGCTCAGTACTTGAAAGTGATTAATCACATTTAACCAGCCTGGTAAACAGCCAGAGCAGCAACGTGAGGGTTGAGCATAGTAAGGTTGTAAGGCGTAACATAAACATCCGAATCCGTCAAAGCGAGGAACATGGTGCTGTTGATAGCAGGGTCGCCCATCCAGGTGGAAACGTTGGGCTGGATAGTGTAGGCTGTGCGATCCTCGAGACTGATGTTCTGCAGAGGAGAGTAGGTCACGTTGAGTTGAGATACCCATGCGGCGAACTTGGGCGCCTTGACGTTGGTGGAGGTGATGTAGCTGTTGTTGGGGCCGACGGCCTGGCCGGGTGCGTCCCAGTTGAGGAAGACCTGGCGGCCGGGGTAGGAGAGAGGGATGCTGCGGTTGTTGGTGATAGCAGCGGGGCAGTCAAGAGTCTTGTCGGTAGCATTGACACAGAGCTCATCCTCCTCGATGTCGGCGGTAGACAGAGTGTTGGCGTATCCACCAGTAGTCTCATTCCAGACATTAGACCCGTTGATGCGAGCAGGGTTAGGCTGGTTAAGAATGTTCAAAGATGGGAAGTTCTGCCACACAAGGCGAGTCTGATCGGCAGGACAGCTAGAAATATACGGAGCAAGCAAAGTCCAAGCCCAGCTCTGTGGAATACCAGGAGTGTGCCACTCAGGCATAGCAAAGTTACCACCAAACTGGCGGAAGATCATCTGCTGACGCGCCTCAATAGTAATACTCTGAAGCAACAACTGAGCAGCAGGTCCAGAGTTGAGATGGGGCAAGAATCCGTAAACACCAGACTCGCCCCAGCGGGTGAGCTTCTGGTTGAAGTCGATGAACTCGGGGACGTTGGAAACGGGGTAGTTGTACGTGCACTGCTTGGGAGCTTGGGGACCGAGCATGTTGCTGATGACAGTAGCATGGCCAATTTCTTGCTGCGCCATGTACTCGATCAAATAACGGTCCTCAGCGCCAATGCCGTAGGCGTCGAATTCCTCCTTGGAGAAGGTAGCGAGACCCCAGCGGAAAAGATCGAGCTCGATCCACTCCTGGTACAGAGCGAGAGCGAGAGACTGGTAGTCAAAGTCGCTCTGAACACGGTACACAGGTGCAGAACCGTTGGTGCCGACACCGCCATCGGGGGTGTAAGGCGCAGGCTGGGGAGCGTTCAGCTTGCCGTTGGCAGGGTAATCATAAGAGCCTGGTGGTGGAGGCTTGGGCGCCACGGCGGATGCAAGAACGGTCGTCGACACAGCACCGGTGGTAGTAGGCGTTCCGGTGTAGGGACCGTGAGAAGTCACATCGGTGTACGGTCTGATTGGTGCAGCGACACCTGATGAAGAGACTGTTGTCTGAGCCTCTGAAACGACGGGCACGGCGGCGGAAGTGCCTACGAGAGCGAGCAGAGCTACGCTTCGCAAGAAGGAGTTTGTCGACATGGTAATTGATGAAGATTGATGTCTACTGCAGAAGAGAGATCTAATGCAGGGCCATCTCGGGCATTTTATTTACTTTCAGATCTGACTTAGAAATTTGTGGATATGCGCAATCACTATAACAGAGTATCCACTATGATGCGTACTACAGAAAATTATCAATCAACTCCGTCATGCAAAAGCGTGATCGACATCTCGTAATAATGCCGTCAAGCAAGACAATATTTCAGTGCTGCAAGCTACATAGCATGGATGATTCCAAAGTTTACAAAAGTCAATGACATTATGACTCGGCTATCACCCTGGAAGTCTGGAAATAAAAAATTGCGAGGTCGTATCACCGGCGGGGAGTGGAGAAAAACTAGTCCTTTTATGACGGTTTGATCCGAACGACTTCGTTGTCGTACTTGTGACTCGATGATGGCGTAATATTTGGTTAATGTTCTGGGGAGAAACGGCAGTTGAACTCAACATCCCGGGAAACAAATTGAGTTCCTTGTACCATAGAAACGGAATATTCCTTGTCTTACTTGTCTTGCCCGTCTGCCTTGGTCCAATGTTACAGCGACCGGAGGCTTTCACCCGCGACTACGGGACGTCCAATTAGACAGGCACGGGTACAACCATTGATAAGTCATCTTGATTCAATCGTGTTTCTCGATTTCCGATCGATTGCATTCTTTTAAACTTTTCTCATTAAACACGCATAATGTACGGTGCCCGATCCCCGGACATGAACCGCGGAGTATGATTTGCCCGACAGAGACACATGTTTGTGTGGCGAGCTGTCAGCTTCGACCTATCATTATGAAGGGACCTGTCCGCCCCGGAGCTAAGGGCCCGGAGTAAGACAGCTTCATAGCTACAGCAAATGAGAAGCTGCATGTTACGATTGATGGTCTATGAGTGGTCAATTGGGTAAGTATGATTGAGCTATCACGAGTGAGGCTTGTCCCAAGTCTGTCATTTGTTGCGCTGTTGTGCGTCAAGATATGTGATGAATGTTCAGCTACATCTCTCATTTCGGCGTCATGATAACTCGTGGTATGTTGGCACAAGCTGCAGGCCAAGACATGAATAGACATATATGATGACTCCATGTAACCCATTTCAATTCTCTAGATAATTAATTAAACCCAATATTCCCAAAAATGTCATCAGTCCGCGCAATTCTCACACCTCAGCTTCGAGCAGCAATCAAGCCTCGAACATTCCGTCTTCAACAGAATCCAATCCGCTTTCAAATCGCAGCCATGTCCGCTATTTCCGACGCCATCACCAAGGACCATCGTGAACTGAGGCAGTACTACAATGAAGTAGTCAACTCATCCGACCTCGATCATCAGCAGAGATTTGGAAATCAGTTTGTTTGGGAACTAGCCCGACATTCTATCGGGGAGGAATTAGTTGTCTATCCCGCCATGGAGAAGTACATGGGCGATAGGGGAAAGAAACTCGCCGACGATGATCGTCAAGAACATCACGAAGTACATACACCCCCCCCCCCCCCC